CGACACAACTCTGCCAGAGACTTGGGCTTGGGATGCGGTGTGATAACATCAAACAAACTCACTTTCCGTTGAGCAGCTGATAGCCCCACATTGCACTGGCATGACGGACCATCATGAAGATGTCCATTAACAAATGGTATCTCGTCGATAGTTGATATACCAGGAAGACCGCCGTGTTTCACCAGCAGCTCCACAACAGGATCGTTGGCTGTTCTCGTACACAAAAGTCTGTTAACAACTGGTGGCGTGCCATGGCTGAAGTATGCAGCAGCTGTAGCTTCAAATGAATGAGAAGCACCTGGAGGGGGAGGCATTAGTTTTAGTACTTGTTGCTTGGTTTCATCGTCGATACATGCTGCAAGCGCCGCAGATCGTCGATCAAACTGAGCCCCATCAACACTTTGAATCTGACGAAGTTCTTCTCTGCTCTTGAATTTTACAGGCGGATGGCCACGCAGTTCGGCCTCCTCAATATTGACTCTCAGCCATGCGCTGCACAGTGCATCCGCATCGGAGACTGACAAACCAACTGGACTTGTACCCTCTTGGAGAAGAGAATGCACAAAGCTGGCGGTGAGCTCGGCAGTGTGCATCACGTTTCCACCAAGCCCGGTCTCATCGATGGGATCCTCGCCGCAACAAACCTTACTCAGGTTCAGCGCACACCAAAACCGCTTGCATATCCGTTCAGCCTCCGTGAAACTGGCCATGCCCAGGAGTGACTCGCGGAATAGCTCTGGCATACACATCAGATTGGGTACCACACAAGGCCCTGGACGACAGCACGCTGTGTCCCAACGACAGTAGGGAAGCTTACGTATGAAGCGTTCTTCTTCTGAACTCCATATCGCAGACATCAGTGGAGGGTACTTGGGGTTTTGACACAGTGCTTCACAAGTTGCGGCATCATCTCCACACAAACCGTAAGCAGTGCCGTTGTGAAGTGGCCCCAAACTGCCACCATCATATGGAGACGCACCGTTTGCTAGAAGACACTTCACTATATCAGCATGCTTCAGGACAGCGGCAACACCAACCGGAGTGTGATTCGAAGCACCACCACGATCATCATCACATGTGGCTAATGTTTGTGTTGCATCAGCTCCCCATCGCAACAAGCATTTTACCATCTTCTCATTGCCGGTAAAAATGGCGCAGTGCAGCAACGTCAAGTTGAAGTAACTACACGTATGTCCACTTCTACACTCAGGCTTAGGCTTTACTTTTATTTTTACTTTACGCTCCATATTCACAAGTTCTCGAATATCAGGCGGAGCATAAAATAATCCTTGCCTCCCAGGGTCTGATGATTGAGACGATTGCAGCAATGGCGGCTGTCGGTAGGTCTGGCGTTTCGGACCGAGTTTATGGCGACGGTGCCCGCCAACTTTAGCACAGATCTCCACTCGTTCATAGCCAAGTGTACGATAGCATGACACTCGCTCCGCACCTGTACCACTACTGCCAGGGTGGGCTGGCGAGATTGCTGATACGCGATCTGACATTCGGAGAGATCTGCTCTTGGCTCTTTCGAGTTTTTTCAACGCATGCAAAGTTTGCTCCAGCGACGCTATGTTTCCATTGCTGACCAACTTTCTCAGGAAAATAAAAATGTCCGAGTAGTCCCTACTGGAGCTATCGGCATCTTCTCCAGTAGGGATGCAAATGTCCAGGGTTATGTCACGTTCTGCTTCGTTCACTTCATCCATCTCCAGAAGGTGCTCCACAGCTTCTGAAATATGCCCGTGAGCCTGCGGCGAATGTTCGGACGGCATGACAACTCTTGCTGCACTGGCTTCCGACCTATGACTATGTTTCCGATGCTCGGCCCGATGATCAACAAATTTCTCTGCGCGGAGCAGTGGACGGTGGTGAACAGAAGAGAAAATTCACCTCAGTTTCGATCTCAGCCGCGCCGACTGGTCCTGGAAGCAAGAGATCTACAAAGCTAGTAAGTAACGCGCGCGTAAAGTAACTAATACTTAGTTGTAGCTAAACAGTCATCAGTGTTGATAGACATTGGGTTTGCATCGTTCTTGCATAAAATTAATTTTTATCGGCAGTCTAGACTAATGGCGTAATGCCGCAACGGGTTGTTTCTGGGAATCCTTGTGTGTTTGGCCAATCAGCGATGTTTCCGATGTACATGTATGCGTGTAAAAACAAAATGGCGTCACGTCATTGTACTAGCAGTATAGCTGCTAGGCGATTCGTAATTTTTTTTAACTGAGTCATTTCTTAACAAATCGGTAAAATAATCTTATTGCCAGCGCCTGCAAACAGTCACGTCAAATTTCTTTTTGCCATTGCCATTGCCAATGTTCCGTCAAGTTCACCTCCAAAATTGAGACTGATATTCCTTCAGGAAGTGACATTGCAAAAGCATTCAGTCTACATGTGCGCAATGTTTACGGTAAAATAGCGTATGAGAGTCATAGCCGCTGGTTTCAACCTCCAGTGAGACATATTTTAGCTGAAGAGGAAGCATTATGATGCTACATACTAGAAACGACGCCTGGGAAGGCCTGTCGGTGTGTTGGCCCTGGTAATGGCCAAACATTGGCAATCACTGAATTTGCTAACAGATGTTGATCACAATTGTACATGAAATCAGGGTGACACCTATTGCTATGCAAGCTTGAATGGCTTGTATTTGAATGAACATGATCTTGTCTTGCTGGACCATCCTGGATGCGTAGGGTCTCCTATTGAAAACTGACTTGAAAATGTGCTACTAAGGTCTCAGTATTTACCATGATGTTAAAGGGGAAGTTAAGGCAAAAATTAAAATTTCACCAGTTGTAGTCTTCGGGGTCACGCTGAGTCGAATGGTCGTGGTCCGAGGAAGCTGAGACGCTCCCTTCCTACTTGAATCCCAATCGAACTCGCGGACTTCCACCGAAACTGGGTGACTGCGCCCTACTAGATGGGGATTTGTATGCAAAATGTCACTAAAAGCGCCATTTCGTTCTTATAAAAGCATGGTTGACCGCGATTGGCCCATATGTTGTAGTCTTTTGGACGCTGAGTTGATTAGTTTTGGTCCGAAAAGGCTGCGATGCAGCGCTCCTCCTTTATTCCCAATCGAACATGGTTGAACAAGCGGTCACGTGCTCCTGCGTACACCAGTCACCTGGTCACCGTGCCTGCAGGGTACAACTTACTAGCCTGTTTGACCTTCAAGTTTTGGGTGCAGTCCTGTCACTCGAGTTGAACTCGAGTTGAACCTTGGTGTGAAAGTTGTCGCCTGCTGGTGTGGTGACCAGGTGATTTGGGCACCCAGGAGCACGTGACCGCTTGTTCAACCATGTTCGATTGGGAATAAAGAAGGAACGCTGCATCGCAGCCTTTTCGGACCAAAACCAGTCGACTCAGCGTCCAAAAGACTACAGCATATGGGCCAATCGCGGTCATCCGTGCTTTTATAAGAACGAAATGGCGCTTTTAGTGACATTTTGCATACAAATCCCCATCTAGTAGGGCGCAGTCACCCAGTTTCGGTGGAAGTGCGCGAGTTCGATTGGGATTCAAGTAGGAAGGGAGCGTCTCAGCTTCCTCGGACCACGACCATTCGACTCAGCACCCCGAAGACTACAACTGGTGAAATTTTAATTTTTGCCTTAACTTCCCCTTTAAGAAATGACCACAACAAATAATATGCGGAAAAATTGCCATTTTTCTACTGCCACCTGCTTCCCAACAACAAGGATTATGTGAATGACTGGAAACCCAACATTGCAATCCAAGGACATCAGTATTACATTTTTAGAGGAAGAAATGGAAAGATTCACACCTCGAACCCTACGGAAGGCTTTCTTACTTTCGTGTTAAATAATGACGAATCACCTCGTACTACTAATCTACCTATAACTTTGAAAAAGAGACTTGTAGCAGCTAGTACAATGACGTGACGCCATTTTGTTTTACACGACGCCAACATGTACATCGCTGATTGGCCAAACGCACAAGGATTCCCAGAAATGGCAAGGAGGAAAGAAACCCATTGCCAGGAGACGAAAATACTGATAAAGGGCAAGAACTGCAGGGCTGAGTCGGCTGCTGACTATGTGAACCTCTTACATAAGTCATAACACGGGGAAAATACAATGAATGCAATGTTCGCAAATATAATGAAAACAGCTAATGCACAACACAACCTGAACCATGTTCAACCTCGATCATCTAGAAAGCAGGCAAAAAAATGCGAGTGACCAATCCCGAAACAGTATGACTGTAAATAGTGATACTGTGCTGAGAACTACGTAACGATTCCCGAATCATTCAGTCAAATACCTCTGCAACAAAAACTGCTCAATGAAATCCGATTGCGTGCATCAAGTAAGTACAATGTAAGTAGTTGGCCCTGCCCTGCGGCGAGCACGAGTGCACATACCAGTGTTCGCAGGTCAAGGGAAAATGGTACATCCGCGAATCGGTTCCAGGCCATGATCCGCGAAACCGTTTCCAGCACATGTGCACAGTCTACCTTCGTCTGTACATCATTATAATGATTGTTATGGGGCGTGGCATTCGCTGGCTTGATCGGATTTCAGGGAGTAGCAATGTATGCGGTTATGATGTTCTTTCCCGGAGACTGACTTTGTGCTTTTCCGAGCAGTCACCTGCCCCAAGCGGACTAATATGAGCCAGACGAACTGATCAGAGGAAAGGGGAGAAATTACCAAGTAACAAGTATGAAACGGATCAACTATGAAACAAGAAGTTATTGAAACATGAAGTACATACTGAGAGAGAGAGAGAGAGAGAGAGAGAGAGAGAGAGAGAGAGAGAGAGAGAGAGAGAGAGAGAGAGAGAGAGAGAGAGAGAGAGAGAAGAGAGAGAGAGAGAAAGAGAGAGAGAGAGAAAGAGAGAGAGAGAGAGAGAGAGAGAGAGAGAGAGAGAGAGAGAGAGAGACACACACACACACACACACACACCACACACACACACACACACACACACACACACACACACACCGACGGACGAACAGCAGCAGCAGGTAGAGGTAATAAAGACATCTGTACAAAAGAAACCGCGAGCGGAGCGACTGTCGGCTCCGATTCTTAAATTAGCAGCTACATGCGGAGAATATTTAAAAAAAACAACAACAACAAAACAAATACTGGTATCAACAAATGAACACATGTGCACATAACAGAAATTATATAGCAGGGCAATGGCAATAATGGACAATGCTGATAATACGGTACGGTACGTAATGACAGTGGTTTGTAGATGTGCAGAGGTAGCCAGTGGGTGAGAGGGCCGTCACAGAGCATGATCATTATTACACAAGGTGGCCAGTGGGTGAGAGGGCCGTCACAGAGCATGATGGCCAGTGGGTGAGAGGGCCGTCACAGAGCATGATCATTATTACACAAGCATCCAGCACGTCGGCGAATAATAGCGGCCGCCGCAGCAGCAACAACAACAACAACAACAACAACAACAACAACTGTACACTAGGAAAGGAGAAAATGTCACTAAAACGATAATGGGTGAGTAAAGGGAAGGACAGGACAGCCTACACCAGAGCAACAACAGCAAGCAATAAAGACGAGGAGAAGTGTAAAAGTTATGGCACGTCGTCGAGCTCTAAGACAGTGACCGTTGCCTGGAGAGGCAAGCATCAGCGCCACCACTGCCGGCACCACCAATCGCACTGCTAAACAACCGGCCGTTTGAAATAAATAGCGTTGTTCACGCCAAGACCTGACACGGACCTAAACCGTGCTGTGGCGCTTGCTATTACTGCTGCTGCTGTTGTTGTTGCCATTGTGGAAGTGCCTGGCCATTGAAGACTGCCGGCATAGGCTGGCCAGCAGCATTGTATGCCTGGTGACCTACGGCCGTTTGCTGGAAATTCGATGCAAACGAACTAGAGCTGGCCGCTGATGCTGCACTGGGGATGATGGGATGGCTGTTAGCTACGGGAACGCCTGATGGGCCAGCACTGGTCAGGCCAAAGCGTGATGCTAACGTGGTCTGTTGCTGTGAGTGAATGGGGTCTTGACCGACAGGGTAAGTGCTAGCGCCACCGCCGCCTCCACCGGGCATGGACGGCGTAGCGACACGTGCCGACATCACGCTACCGTTGGTGCCACCGCTGCTGGCCAGGGCCGTGTTCCCGTACGCCGCCGCCGCTTGCGGCGTGTAGTTGGCCAGTAGCGGTGCGCCAGCATCGGGCGCAGCTCCGCGCACGCCACCCACGTAGCCAGCAGAGCCGGCTGCCGCACCCGCCGACGCATGATCAGTGGCCATGGGCTGGCCGGTGGTGTTACCGGTGCTGGAGGCATCCGCACCCCAGTACGTGTCCGTCGGCGAGACATTGTTGGCTTGCACTGTGTGTTGTAACTGCATACCGCTGTAACGGAAGTAGGGGTTCTTCAAGTCCAAGCAGTTGGAGGAGCGCTGCGTTGTACCGTCAACGCCAAGATCAATGGTTACATCGTAGCTTTGCCTGAGCAGTAGTTGACAAAGAAAACATGCACACGCACGCGCACCCATTCACACCCATAACACGCACACGTGCGCGCGCGCACACACACACACACACACACACACACAGCGAGTGAGTGAGCTCACAGAGCGACCAATAGGCAAACAAACAAATCACGATCTGCTTCTTACGGTATAACCGTGTGTGCTTGACAGAGACAGCAATAACTGTTTGTGCTGCCACTCACCGGCTTGCACACCAGGTATAAGCCAAGGAAACACGGCGACAGTGGCGGGGGAAGAAGAATACGAGAGAGAAGGAACAACTGGAATATGATATTCTAATGTTTCACTATACGGAAGGCATTGCGTCATGTCAGTCAAACAGGATCGGTTCGGTGGTAAGGTTACGGCAGGCTACCAGCACAGCAATGGCATTGCTACATTGGGAGAAGTAAAGCAGCCTGAAGTTGCAGGCGTGCAATTCTCATGCAGCCGTTTTTTATAATGTGCTACACATCCGCATATGCAAGGGCCAGAAACTCAAGAGTATACTTGGCACCTGCTCATCTGTTGCTGGTCAAAAATGCGGATGAATGTGGTTGCTATATAGGCATTCTTACTAGAAATGGCAACACGTTTGTAAAATATCTCCAGCCACAGGCAGCTAATGCAAAGAGATGAGATGAATGAATTCTTCTGAATATGTTATAATATCGTAACTTTCGTTGTAAATGATCGATAAGTCGAATAACCGGTATAAGCGTCTCGGCCCTATTCAAAAACCAAACGCAGCAGTGCAGTACGTACCTGTTATTGGCCACCAGAGTAACACTGCCACTCAGTGTCTGACCAACACGTACCAAGAGCGGTGATTTGAGCAAGCACCGTACCTAGGATAACCGCACAACACAGGATAACAGCACAACACAGGATAACAGCACAAAACAGGATAACAGCACAACACAGGATAACAGCACAACACAGGATAACAGCACAACACAGGATAACATAACTAGGATAACCGCACAACACAGGATAACAGCACAACACAGGATAACAGCACAAAACAGGATAACAGCACAACACAGGATAACAGCACAACACAGGATAACAGCACAACACAGGACAACAGCACAACACAGGATAACAGCACAACACAGGATAACAGCACAACACAGGATAACAGCACAACACAGGATAACAGCACAACACAGGATAACCGCACAACACAGGATAACCGCACACAACACAGGATAACAGCACAACACAGGATAACCACACAACACAGGATAGCAGCACAACACAACACAGGATAACCGCACAACACAGGATAACCGCACAACACAGGACAACACAGGATAACCGCACAACACAGGATAACCGCACAACACAGGATAACAGCACAACACAGGATAACCGCACACAACACAGGATAACCGCACAACACAGGATAACCACACAACACAGGATAACAGCACAACACAGGATAACCACACAACACAGGATAACAGCACAACACAGGATAACAGCACAACACAGGATAACAGCACAACACAGGATAACAGCACAACACAGGATAACAGCACAACACAGGATAACAGCACAACACAGGATAACAGCACAACACAGGATAACAGCACAACACAAGATAACAGCACAACACAGGATAACAGCACAACACAGGATAACAGCACAACACAGGATAACCGCACAACACAGGATAACCGCACAACACAGGATAACCGCACAACACAGGATAACCGCACAACACAGGATAACCGCACAACACAGGATAACAGCACAACACAGGATAACAGCACAACACAGGATAACAGCACAACACAGGATAACAGCACAACCGGGATAACAGCACAACACAGGATAACAGCACAACACAGGATAACCGCACAACACAGGATAACAGCACAACACAGGATAACAGCACAACACAGGATAACAGCACAACACAGGATAACAGCACAACACAGGATAACAGCACAACACAGGATAACAGCACAACACAGGATAACAGCACAACACAGGATAACAGCACAACACAGGATAACAGCACAACACAGGATAACCGCACAACACAGGATAACAGCACAACACAGGATAACAGCACAACACAGGATAACCGCACAACACAGGATAACCGCACAACACAGGATAACCGCACAACACAGGATAACCGCACAACACAGGATAACCGCACAACACAGGATAACAGCACAACACAGGATAACCGCACAACACAGGATAACAGCACAACACAGGATAACCGCACAACACAGGATAACCGCACAACACAGGATGACAGCACAACACAGGATGACAGCACAACACAGGATAACCGCACAACACAGGATAACCGCACAACACAGGATAACCGCACAACACAGGATAACAGCACAACACAGGACAACCGCACAACACAGGACAACAGCACAACACAGGATAGCAGCACAACACAACACAGGATAACCGCACAACACAGGATAACCGCACAACACAGGACAACACAGGATAACCGCACAACACAGGATAACCGCACAACACAGGATAACAGCACAACACAAGATAACAGCACAACACAGGATAACAGCACAACACAGGATAACAGCACAACACAGGATAACCGCACAACACAGGATAACCGCACAACACAGGATAACCGCACAACACAGGATAACCGCACAACACAGGATAACCGCACAACACAGGATAACAGCACAACACAGGATAACAGCACAACACAGGATAACAGCACAACACAGGATAACAGCACAACCGGGATAACAGCACAACACAGGATAACAGCACAACACAGGATAACAGCACAACACAGGATAACAGCACAACACAGGATAACCGCACAACACAGGATAACCACACAACACAGGATAATTGCACAACACAGGATAACAGCACAACACAGGATAATCGCACAACACAGGATAACAGCACAACACAGGATAACCGCACAACGCAGGATAACCGCACAACACAGGATAACCGCACAACACAGGATAACAGCACAACACAGGATAACAGCACAACACAGGATAACCGCACAACACATACACATTATGATAAACAACATGCCAGGAAACAAAAACATCTTATCACTCCTGATGACGGCCCAGGGCAGAAATATTGATTCAGAATTTCATTTTATTTCATGCAATCGCAGTTCAGAGGCCGCACATTCGGACGGAAGTGTTTTCTTAAAGGAGAAAAAAATTCACGGTTCGCGTGAGACTCGGTTTCTCTATATAGAGGCCGAGGCCGAGAGTATAGAGGCCGAGGCCGAGAGTATAGAGGCCGAGGCAGAGTTTTTTTAAAGGGGAAGTTAAGGCTAAAATCAAAATTTCAACCAGTTGTAGTCTTCGGGGTGCGGAGTCGAATGGCCGTGGTCCGAGGAAGCTGAGACGCTCCCTTCCTACTTTAAACCCAATCGAACTCGCGCACTTCCAGCGAAACTGGGTGACTGCGCCCTACTAGATGGGGATTTGTATGCAAAATGTCACTAAAAGCGCCATTTCGTTCTTAAAAAAGCACGGATGACCGCGATTGGCCCATATGTTGTAGTCTTTTGGACGCTGAGTCGACTGGTTTTGGTCCGAGAAAGCTGCGATGCAGCGTTCCTCCTTTATTCCCAATCGAACATGGTTGAACAAGCGGTCACGTGCTCCTGGGTGCCCAAATCACCTGGTCACCGCGCCAGCAGGCGACAACTTTCACACCAAGGTTCAACTCGAGTGACAGGACTGCACCCAAAAAAGGTCAAACAGGCTAGTAAGTTGTACCCTGCAGGCACCGTGACCAGGTGACTGGTATACGCAGGAGCACGTGACCGCTTGTTCAACCATGTTCGATTGGGAATAAAGGAGGAACGCTGCATCGCAGCCTTTTAGGACCAAAACCAGTCGACTCAGCGTCCAAAAGACTACAACATATGGGCCAATCGCGGTCATCCATGCTTTTATAAGAACGAAATGGCGCTTTTAGTGACATTTTGCATACAAATCCCCATCTACTAGGGCGCAGTCACCCAGTTTCGGTGGAAGTGCGCGAGTTCGATTGGGATTAAAGTAGGAAGGGAGCGTCTCAGCTTCCTCGGACCAAGACCATTCGACTCAGCACCTCGAAGACTACAACTGGTGAAATTTTGATTTTAGCCTAAACTTCCCCTTTAAACGTGGATTGGCTGCAGTGGAGCCGGTCTGCGCACTCTGAAAATGGAAACAAAACCAAACACTGTACGTGAGAATCGAAGCAATTTGCACATCTAGCCGTAGGGACAAAGCACCCAACTTCATAATTACTGCGAATGGCGGGCATCTCCGAACAAAGCAATCTCTCAAGGCTGAGCTCTGAGCAGAGTTGGTCATTGAAGTCATCACTACAGTATACTTCAACAAGCAGTGATCACAATAGTTGTTGGATCATGTGCTCCACGGACACTGGTGGTCGTTTCCCTCCAAAAGATATCGGGAAGACTGGTCAGAGCTTTTTTTGCCAAATGGCGAGTTTGGACTACAGTCTGTTTCAAAAAGATTAGCAATCAAGTTTGGGTCTTAAAAAGTATGAAGATAAGGGAAATTTGGACAACAAAGTACATAAAACGGCTTGTTAGGGCACGGCAAATTGTTCTGTGAAGGTTTCGGAACAATTGGACCAACCGTTAAGGAGTTAGTATTTCGGCCAGGTTTCTGGCCTTTTCCCATGGTTTATAATTTGCCCTGGAAGCCAGTATCGATTTGTTATCAAAACCCACGATTTATCCCTTCCTTTTTGGCCTTGTGGTTAGGCCACACCGTTTTTTATCTGTGTTTCGCGTCCCCCGCGCGCATGTATTTCACAGCCGGAGTTAAAAAAACAAAAAAACAAAAACGGAACAAAAATTTTTTTTTTGAAAATGCAATACAAATTTAATGCAAACCCAGAAAACCGGAAAATGTAACCCAAAAGGAAAAAAACCCGAACATGATTGTTACACGTAACTATTATGTTGGTATCAATTAAATATTTTGTTCTATTTATCGCATGGTTGTACTCAGCTCACATGTGTGTGTAATATTAATAAGCTGGGCTGCAAGTAAAACAATCATCATGCCGCCTGTGTTTGGGCAATAAGGATGGCAGAGGGCATACACTCATGTATTCATGTACATTTAACAGTGCCGCGTCGCTTCACTGTACACAAATGCAATGCACGTACACTGTTTTTTTGGATGGCTTTTTTATTTTTTCGCCCTCCCTCATTGATTTCATCGGATAAGGTGACGCGAAACATAGAAAAAAACGGCGTGGCCTTATGAATGCTGTCTGCTGACCATGAAGTTGTGAGTTCAAATCCCAACAAATCTTCAAGTCAAACATTTTTTCTTCATTTTTTCATTGTTTTGGTGATCACGCTGGTACAAGACAAAGAAGGTGGCTGCGCCAAACGACTTGTTGTTGGAGCTCGCGTTTCCTGCCGAACTGACTGACACTTGACTGGCTCACGCCATGTGAAGTTGTGAACACACACAACACTGAAACCGTGTGAGTGAACACGGAGGTCATTGCGCTGTAGCTACGTGTTGTTGAATACACCGGCACATCGATCGATTTCTGTTTGAGAATTATTTTAGTATTTGAAGATCGCCAATTTATTTGAATTTAGGAGTCAACGCCGTCTTCTATCAGCTTCCACAGGCGTCTGCTTTTCTCAAAATGTCGTCGAAGTCACACGGATAGCTTTGCCACTTCAAGGCCTTGGGAATGAGTCTGTGTCGATGCCGTTTTCGTCACATCGTGAGAGTAAATTGCATCCGCTGCAGCTCAAAGAATCTATTTGGTCACAAAACGGACGCATCCCGCTCGTCAAAATTTACCACACTTTCGACATGTCCTCTCTGACTCCATATCGATGCGAGGAAGAACTCGTTTGTTGTAAACCAGACGAACATGTACGAGTACCGACGTCAGTGAGTTGCCATTTTTCATACTTTCGCGCGGGATATTTCTTCGAGTTCACAGTGAGTTTTTCCAGGCAGCGCTCGAGCGCTCATACGGTAAGACGGCAAACTCCCCGGGCGATCGCCAGGATTGCTAATCTTTTTGAAACTGACTATAGTAAAGTGCGAGAGGTGACAACAGTAACTACACAGCAGAGCATGTATCACACAGTCACACAGTAACGGCAGAGAACATGCATCACACTGCCACACCTACCTGATACCAGTGGGTCAGTGGCTCGTGAGGCGCTGTTGACAACCAGATAGTGGCCCTGCGTCGGAGTGGCAAGAAAACAAGACAGCAATACGCTCACACACCCACATACATGCGCTCTAGTTTAGTTTGTACTGATTGGCCGCGTCTGTGTTCAAAACACATTTGGGCAGAAGTCATAATTATAACATGACACATGTACCGCAAGAACACAAGACAAAATGACGGTGCGATTGTAAGAACAGCATCCCAGCATATCCTACACAAACTTACGATGAGCCGATAAAGGCGACATCAAACCAGAAGGCGATTCCATGCACGGTGCCGGGGGACAAGACTTGAAACGTGACTGGGAAATGAATTCTGCAAGCATAGCATACACACACGCGCGCGCGCACCATTGAGACAGGTGGACAGAGAGATACAGGACAAAAAATAATAATAATAACATTAGTACTCAGCATCCACAAGGTGCATATGGCTTAGACCACTCGCAGGCTTGGCAGCTGAAATGAGCACATCACAGTGTAGCTGTTGATCTTATTATTCTACCCTGTAAGTACCAGCTCTGCAAGGATTTAGGAGTCTAGTTTGTAGCAGGGGTGTGGGCAGCTTGTGTCCCATTACAATTTTAGTATTTTTAGAGGCCTTGTAATTATCGTTCACCCGTATGCCACCACTTTCACCCCCAGATTCAGCCAGGCTCAGAATTTCAGAGCTGGGCTAGCTGAAGCAGTGGGAGTCAAGTGACTTGCACAACGCCATACAGTGGCTGGTTGAAAAGACCCTGACACACCCACCCACATTAAAACATAGTAGTACACGGAGCACAAACCTGTGTAAGTCTTTCTCGTCCGCCGTGCTGAAGTCAACGCTGTGTCGATTGGGACGGGCAAGCAGAATGCGCACATCAAACGTGTCCTGTGGTGTTCAGGGCAGGAATCGGGTACACACAGGCACACAGAGAAACACACACATACCACCAAAAGCCAACAGTGATAAAAAGGAAAGCTCATTACCTGACTTCACTATATGACAGGGACGCATAGCAATGTTAAACCCGCTACATGCACCAACGTGTTTCTCCTCACTTCAAGATCAGCCAGAACCTACCCCAGCATTGTGATACTCCATGTATAATACTACTGGTGTGCCTGTGGTCAACACAATTACAACGTCATATAGAAATACTCACAACCACAGGCTGCCGAGCATACTCCTCTGCTGCAGCACTCCTTAGACTGGATAAATCGACACCATGGAATGATGTCATACACCTACGAGAGAGAGAGAGAGACAGAGAGAGAGAGAGAGAGAGAGAGAGAGAGAGAGAGAGAGAGAGAGAGAGAGAGAGAGAGAGAGAAAGAGAGAGAGAGAGAGAGATAGAGAGAGATAGAGAGAGAGAGAGAGAGAGAGAGACAGACAGAGAGGCAGACAGAGACAGAGAGAGAGACACACACAGAGAGAGAGACAGAGAGAGAGAGACAGACAGAGAGACAGACAGAGAGACAGAGAGAGAGACGGACAGAGACACAGAGAGAGAGAGAGAGAGAGAGAGAGAGAGAGAGAGAGAGAGAGAGAGAGAGAGAGAGAGAGAGACACAGAGAGAGAGAGAGAGAGAGAGAGAGAGAGAGAGAGAGAGAGAGAGAGAGAGAGAGAGAGAGAGAGAGAGAGAGAGAGACAGAGGGATGAACATGAATACACCCAGGATACAGACAGCCCACAGTGCATGGGTACATAGTAGCAAACATACACATGGCATTCCCCTACACCTCAGGACATTCAGTATACTGTAAAACTATACAGTCATAGACTCACTGTACATGTACACAGATCATAAGTGCAGACATACACGCATCATAGAGTCATCATTCATGTACGTGTCAGCACATACCAGAAGTTAGCCTTGTTGAATTGTTCCATTGACAGCATGTCATCCATGAATGGTGCACAGTACAGGTCACCCTGTGTTGGGAATATCCGACCTGTTACCGGAAACACGAGCAGGCAGAACACACACACACACACACACACACACACACACACACACACACACACACACACACACACACACACACACACACCTTTGACCTTTTGACGCTCATCGCCAGAGGCGATGATAGCAATGCTACGGCAGAAGCCATAGCAACTTGTGCTGGGATAGCACCATTCAACAGCTTGCAAGGCTGAAGAATTGACCGTCACTATTTAGCCTGGTCTACACCATACAGCTATTATGAAGTGACTTTTTCTGGCCAGTGAATCCCTATTTTTGGTCTTTTCATTCCCGCACACACATCACACCACATACTCCGGCATGCACTGGCTGTTGGTAACCACCCAGGAGAATGAAAGAAAACACACACACACACACACACACACACACACACACACACACACACACACACACACACACACACACACACACACACACATACACACACATACACACACACACAATACACAGGCGCATTAGCTCACTACGTTATCACCACGCCACGACACAGAAAACAAATCCAATACTAATAACTTGAATAAGCAGGAAGGCACCAAGTGATTCGATAACTTAAAGGGGAAGTATACCCTAAAATCAAATTTTCACCAGTTGTAGTCTTCGGGGTGCTGAGTCGAATGGTCTTGGTCCGAGGAAGCTGCGACGCTCCCTTCCTACTTGAATCCCAATCGAACTCGCGCACTTCCACCGAAACTGGGTGACTGCGCCCTACTAGATGGGGATTTGTATGCAAAATGTCACTAAAAGCGCCATTTCGTTCTTATAAAAGCACGGATGACCGCGATTGGCCCATATGTTGTAGTCTTTTGGACGCTGAGTCGACTGGTTTTGGTCCTAAAAGGCTGCGATGCAGCGTTCCTCCTTTATTCCCAATCGAACATGGTTGAACAAGCGGTCACGTGCTCCTGCGTACACCAGTCACCTGGTCACCGTGCCTGCAGGGTACAACTTACTAGCCTGTTTGACCTTTTTTGGGTGCAGTCCTGTCACTCGAGTTGAACCTTGGTGTGAAAGTTGTCGCCTGCTGGCGCGGTGACCAGGTGATTTGGGCACCCAGGAGCACGTGACCGCTTGTTCAACCATGTTCGATTGGGAATAAAGGAGGAACGCTGCATCGCAGCCTTTTCGGACCAAAACCAGTCGACTCAGCGTCCAAAAGACTACAACATATGGGCCAATCGCGGTCATCCGTGCTTTTATAAGAACGAAATGGCGCTTTTAGTGACATTTTGCATACAAATCCCCATCTAGTAGGGCGCAGTCACCCAGTTTCGGTGGAAGTGCGCGAGTTCGATTGGGATTCAAGTAGGAAGGGAGCGTCGCAGCTTCCTCGGACCAAGACCATTCGACTCAGCACCCAGAAGACTACAACTGGTGAAAATTTGATTTTAGGGTATACTTCCCCTTTAATGCCAAACAAAACATACATGTATGTACAGTGCATGCAAGGTCATGGGCAACCGCACAAGAACAACACACACACACACACACACACACATACACGCGCGCACACGCACGCGCGCACACACACACACGCGCGCACACACACGCGCGCGCACACACATACACACACACGCACGCACACATACACACACACATACACACACACATGCGCGCGCGCACACACACAGACACATACACACACACTACAGGACCGGTGGAAGCAGTTTTTCATTGGTCTGGCCATACCCTAGCCATTCATACTCTGTGCATGATGTGGAGGGTATATACATGACCTGTTCAGCAATAAACACAAGTTGGTGGCTAAAAAGTTGGTCCGGCCATGACCTGACCAACCGGACCGGTTCCGCCGGGCCTAACACGGTAACATACCCGTGGACGGCTTGAGCCACTTCTTCGCATGGAGAAACGTTTCCAGCATACGCTCATTGAACAGCATATAGCCCATTGGCTCGGAGATGATGATGTCCACCTCTTCGGGTATATGGACCTACAACAACCAACAGCATGCTACTACTTAGAGACAAGACAAAGACCTCAGCCACACGGCAGCATGATAAAATCAACATTGACCGTGTGAAGCGTACTCCCAGCACCCTTTGAAATGGAATAGGCCGGGTTTTCTACAATGAGCAGAGCAATTACTATTCAGTCAACAGATCAAAAAATATCAAGAATTGATTCACAGTCGCCGCAGTGGAAGAGAAGGCCAGGCGGAAATACCTAGCAGCCATGCTCGTAAGAAGATTCACTGCTGTACAAGTCATAACAGCAGTGTCCGTGAGGCTGCTGGAGGGCAAGGAGGTTAACACATAAGAAAGGCAGTACAATGTAACCATGGTAACACAAGAAGACACCTACCTCTTCAATCTGACCATGAATGACTTCAATTACATTGTCCATTTTATTGTTTTCAACGAGTATCTGCCAATTTGAAGCAAAGCCAAATGCAAAAAAACTGTTATACAAGTAGGAAGTACTGTTGTGGATATGGAAGTCCAGTCGATTGACCGGGGCCGGCGCCCTCAGAACGTTGCATGCAGTGCACATGTTGATCCGATGCGACCAGCGCGCTGCAGCGCATACATGGATGTGTGTACCGCTTCACACGGCTGCACGGCCAGCGCCCTGGGGCCGCTAGACGTGCGACCGGCTTTCCATGTCCACGGCAGTAGATAAATGGGGAGAGAGTGTGTGTAAGCATGTGTGTGTGTGTGTGTGTGTGTGTGTGTGTGTGTGTGTGTGTGTGTGTGTGTGTGTGTGTGTGTGCTCCTAAGATTATAAACTAGAGTGACGGAGTGAACAACTCCGCACATGGGTTCACGACATCGCATTTGTCGTTTACGTCATTTTCGACAATAAAAAAACAAAACAGTGAAAACTACTGTCACAGGTCGTACTGCCACAGTGCAACACTGCAGCCACAGATCGCAGTTTCCATGACCCATTGAGAATGACGTAAGCGATGAATTGCACTTTCCCAAACGCATGCTGAGTTGCGCACTGGTTTATATACTAGAATTATGAAGTCTGCGGAAAATGTTGAAAGATCTCTGCTGGGATGACGACTACACCTTAGCTCAGTGGTTAGAGCATCGCTGGTCTCAAGCAAGGGTCCCTGGTTCGAGTCCTGGTGGTGGCAGTCAATTTTTTCTTTAGACTTTTCCCGTTTGCGTCTTTCCCTCAAACCAGTGAATATTATACAGTGTCTTTAATGTTTGTCGGTACATGCATACCGGTCCGAACTGGTCCGTATGTGCATTTTATTTGCATCACTGAAGAAAGCCTTCTCAAGTGGGATTCATAGAAAGATTCTTGCGATGCAACGGCCGCGAAACTGGGAAGATGCCAAATTGCACATGCCGCGTAGCATACACAACCATAGCAAATGCCTGATCACAGAAGATGGCCTCCAAATTCCGAGGCAGCGCACAAAACAGCATTTTAACAACGGTGAGAGCTCAGGGTTGAGACCCACCTTTGCGTATTTCGCAACAGAGCTGGCTTCAATTGCATACACTTTGCGGGCACCGGCTTGTGCAGCAAAGAATGATAGGATTCCTGAGAACAAGCAAACAAACGGAAGAAACCAGGCATTAGCTGGTGAAACCGCGATAATACGTGCACCGAGATTGAGTGGCCAGAATTGTCCTAAATGCATTCATAGCAAAATTTAATGATCGTGTAAAGTTATACAAGCATATGAATGTATAAAAATTGGGCTAAAGGATTGCTGTCCAAGTGTCCATGCAGGTAGGCAGAAAGTAATAGTTGATGAATTCCAACCCCCACATGATGTGGTGGCATGTACATGTACGATGCAACAGATCTTCTCATTTATCTCTAGTATCCATTGCACCTAGACACACCAATCTCCATGATCTCTAGCCATGATAAAATCCCATTGGTAGGGAAGAGACAGGACACGGGCAACTCCTCGGAGGAAAGAAAATCAGATGGCTGCAAAGGCCAGAAACTCACCCGAGCCAGCACCCACATCCAATACAACCTGTACAGCAAACAACACACACACACCTTGACCTTTGGCTTTTTGACGCCCATCGCCGGAGGCGATGATAGAGATGCTACGGCAGAAGCCATAACAACTTGTGCTGGGATTGCACCATTCAACAGCTTGCAAGTCTGAAGAATTGACCGCCACTATTCAGCCTGGTCTACACCACATAGCTATGAAGTGGCTTTTTCTGGCCAGTGAATTCCTACTTTTTGGTCTTTTTCTTTTTTTCCCGCACACACATCACATCACATACTCCAGCATGCCGCGGTAACCACCCAGGAGAATGAAAGAAAAGTCAGGAGTCTGAGAGAGAAAAGAAAGACGCGCGTGACCATAATCGTCGGGAATCAAACCCGCAACCTCTCGATTGGAAATCGCTGCACATACCACTGCACCATACGGGAGACACACACACACACATGCATACACAAACACGCGAACACATACAAGCACTTGTACTTGCTCACTGCCAAAACCGGGCATGTGGGTCTCCCCGGAAGAGGGGAGAGAGATTCACAAGGAATCTTGAAAACACAAACACACACGCACACACACACGCACACAGACACCATTTGACCATTTGACGCCCATTCTACATCCTACCAACCCCTAGAGTAAAGAGGGTCCGAACCTGGGTTTTCCCAATACGGTTCAAATGGTCGCAAGACCGGGACTCTGCCAACCGGGTTATGGTTGTAGTCAGCTCAGGAGCACTATGCGTCCACGCCTTGTAACATGCTGTCAAAATCGAAAAACATGTTAAACTACCAAGCAAGGCTTCTTTATATGCCCATAGGCTTGTACGACGAAGCTTTGTGATGTTCGAACTAACCCCGGGCTTATGCACGAGCGTGGGTGGGCTTATCCGCGGCATTCTACGGTACGTGATGTTTCTTGCAGATACCTACCTTTCCATAGAAGTCACTGCCGTTCTGAAGAATTGCTGCCTGATACGTAGATGTTCTCGTGAAGTCCTGTACGCAAAGTATAGCGAAGCAAACGGACAGATCACAAAACAACATCGGCAAGAAGCATACAATACAAATTATACACATGTAATTATACTACAGTATCTGATTAATGCCTCTACGATCACCTTGTGATTATGAGTTATACATACATACATACTGCCGGGCGCCGAAGAACGGCCAGGCTAGAATTTCACCAGTTTTCAAGAACGGTCTAGGCTGGATTTTTTGCAGATAAAAACGGAAACCGTAATGTACACTCTAATGTTCACTCGGACGTATAACTCTGCATAAATGTACATGTAAGACTGTACAATCGAATAAGAACGAAACTGCTGTGTTCGCTAAATAACGGGCTAGGCTAGAACCCTGACCCCCCCCCCCCCCCCCGCAGTTCTTCGGCGCCCGACAGTACTGTACAGGGCCTTTCACAAACATCTTCAGAGCTTTCTCAAATAAAATTTGGACATTGGCAAGCAACATAATTATTATAGCAATCGTCTAACACACCTAGAAATAAGAATGCATTTGATGCCCCAGTCGCTACATACCTGCATCATGTTCTGTTGCTGGCACAAGTAGCCATAGAACTGGAACAGAACAACAATCAACAACACAAACATGTGCACACACAGACACACATACGTGCACACGTACACTCACACCCACACACGCACGCACAGGGCGGACACCGGCACGTGAAAACAAGCCAGGCAAACAATCATAATTAGCAATTCTGAGCAAAAGATCAGCATCAGATCAATAGCCTCTGATATTGTCATATTTTACAGACCCACATGACTCCCATCAATGACTCTAGATGTACTATTAGGTAGGTGCATTTGCGGTAAAATACAAAAGCTGCTTAATTAAAATGTGAGGGCGTACATGACCACAGTAGATCCATCACATAGCAATAGCAACTATGAAGCTGGGTCAACAAAATCAGAACATACTTGAAAGTACTGCTTTGCTGATGCCTCCTCCGTGCGTTCATCAAAAACAGACGCCGTCGCGACCTGCCGCTTGATGAGCGTAGCAAACTGACTGGAGTCTGTGAAAGATGAGAGCGAGAATCACAAACGTGAAGGAGCACACAAAAGCGAGCCACCACACACATAAATCTCAAAGCAGATCAAATCTTCTCAGCTGGACCTGTTGTCGCACACAGCGCACACACACTCGCGCACACACACACACACACACACACACACACGCATGCACACACCTGGTTTTTCCTGGGTAGACTATTGACTAACCAGACTGCCAAACTGCCTACATAACACACTAATAGACACAACTGGCCAAAAGTATCCCTGATTCCCAATGCAGGCCAGGTCAAATATCCACATCTTAACTCCACCAGGCATGAACCAATTCATCACCCGCAAAGCTCTGGCTGCGCTAGTACATGCACAATGGTCCTAGAAGGTTAAATAATGAGTAGGGTGTCCACATTGCGACCATTGCTTTCTTGCTTGTCTGACACCCAACTGACGAGTCCAAAATAGTCTGCACCATCTTTTAAACTGACTCACGGAGTCACGGTACACGTTACATGCGTACATACCATTGTACATTACTGTGCACACCAGTGACTGAGCGTGTGTTCATCATAGTCAAATACCAAGTAATCAGTGCAGCATGACATCAAGAGTACATAACCCCCAAGAGTGTGCAACTCCAGCTATGGGGTCTGCGACGGCAAAACTTCACATCGCGTGGTGAACCCGTACACATTATTTGCACCCGGTGCATGATTGATACAGGCCTGCAGGGTTGTACGCAACCCTGCTTTGGGTTCAACTCTCTTGTGGTCACTTTGTACTGTTTGCTAGCGTAACCTTTTGAACCATGTCACGTGATGTGAAGTTCTGCCGTCGCACCACTGACTCTGTATAGAGGTTGTGCAGGCAGTTGTGCACTCCTGGGGGTTACCGTAATGTCGTGTATAAAAGCAGGTGCTTACGGCCGTATAAGCCGGGGTTCAAACCATGCTTCTATTCAAAACATGCTTCTACGTCAACATCATCAATCTGCACTGTGCAGTGCATACTGCCACGCGTGTACGTGCACATGTACTTTGCAGGGAGCGGCTTCTACTCAAACTATGCTTCTGTGTCACGATGCGCTTCAAAAAATCGGCTTCTATTCAAGTCATGCTTCTATACAGGTCATGCTTTTATACGCGACACTACAGTATGTACTCTTGATGACATGCGACATATCGTGTATGTGTCGTGCCGGACATACACAATACCGATCTCAAGGCTACAACATATACATTCGCATTGCCGTAGTAACCCCACCAGGTCATCAACCAATATAGTTGATCCAAGTATCCATTCAGCCACACACGCTCACCTTGGTCATTCGAATAAGGTTGAGAGTCACTATGATTCCAGCTCGATTCAAGAGTGAAGGTCGAAGGAAGGTTGGTACTTTTGATCAGAAGCAGCAGGGGTTATATGATAACAAAAAGGATCGAGTTAGACAAAGGAGTAGCAAAGGCGGGAAAACCCAACCAATCAGACCATAGAGAGCTTGTTGCTATGCAGAATTGACCAATGGGAGAAGACAAGGAGAAATGCGTATTAATTATGAATTAACTAAACAGCCAGCGTATACGATAAGACAGTTAGCAGATACAACATCCCGCGGCCCATGCATTGATAAAAGTGACAAGTAGATACAAAAGACAACTGCCGTACAAACGCGCGCTCATGAGGGGAACACGTTCACCCAACATGTAAACTAGTACCGGCAGAGTAGTTAGTTCGTCGTACAACCCGGGGAAGTTTGTCGTACAGCCCGGGAGAACCCGTCAGCTGCCGAGGCCGATATGACATCTCCCCGGCCTTCTGGGAGATTGCGTCCCGCAATCATTAGCCGTACTCCAGTCGTTGGGGTGGTCTCCTTCTTCGAACTGGACGGTTGACACCAGCCGGTGCTGCAGCGTTAGCGGGAGGCAACGGTACTCCTTGAACTGGACGGTTGACATCAGCCGGTGCTACTGCAGCATCAATGGGAAGTAGCTCTACTCCTCCGAACTGCTCGTCACGGCCACCTGCTCTTTCCGCATACAACAAGTCTGTGGTATCAGGCGTGTAGGAACTCGGTTGTGGTGACGCAGTTCTGATCGGGTTCCTTGTCGGAGATGAGTTCAACGCTTCCTCGCGTACAACCGTAGCGAGATGGGTTGGGCGTACACGACACTTCTTCAAGCGGTTCACGTGCACAACTTGGCATGTAGCCGAGTCTGATCCCATATCACGGACGCGATACACAACATCAGACAACCGGTTCAAAACCTTGAACGGTCCCTTCCATAATTTCGCCAACTTGGTGCTGGTTCCAACCGGAACAGCGGGTACCAAGAGCCATACCAGACTTCCTTCCGCGAATTCCACCGACACAGCCCTATGATCATAGAGATGCGCCTGATGTCGATGCACTGCACCGAGCTTGTGCCTCACAATCGTGTGCACATCCGCCAAACGGGACCGCAATTGACGCACATACGTAGGTTCATCCAACTGTTCAGCTGGCGGTAAACCATACGCAACATCTTGCGGGAGACAGAACTCTCTGCCGAAGAGGAGATACGCCGGCGTGTACCCTGTGCTGGCTTGGGTGGTAGCCCGATACGCCATTAATGCTGCGGGTAATTGGACATCCCAATCACGCTGGTCTCTCTGAACATAGTGTGAGAGCAATCGCTCTAACGTCTGGTTAAATCTCTCTACCAATCCGTCACCCGACGGATGGTAAGCCGTTGTCCGCGTTTTCTTGATACCAAGCAAGCCGCAAACGTTCTTGAACAGTTTCGAATCAAAGTTTGCACCTTGATCCGTATGCAAGCTATCCGGTGCTCCAAATCTGGACACGAATTCGCTCACAAATACCGATGCAACAGTCGCTGCATCCATCCGTTTCAACGGATACGCCTCTACCCACTTCGTGAAGTAGTCCACAACGACCAAAATGTGACGATTTCCACCTGAAGTCTCAGGCAGTCCTGGAATCAAATCCATAGCCACACGTTCGAAGGGATACCCCGCCCAGGACACCTGTAAGGGTGCCCCTTGTCCTCGACCAACCGGTCGGGAGCGTCGACAACATGACGTGCACGTGCCGATCCAATCTTCAACGTCACGACTCATTCCATGCCAATACTCAATAGAACCGAGTGCGAAGCTGGGCAATCGTCCGCTTCATACCCACATGACCAAGGAAATCGTGATACTCCTTCAAGATTTCAGTCCGCAGATCAACTGGGATCAAAATCTGAAAACGGTTGGGCGCTGAAATCTCAGGCTCAACCCATTCCCTTCCAATCACTCCGCCCTTCACAGAAAGATGCTGGCGTCCCCGCCAGTACTTCCTCAAAGTCGGACTGATTCCGGTCAAGTCAGCCGACTCGCCGTCATCCATTAGCCACTCAAAAAGCTGCCTGAGGTCAGGATCAGCTTGCTGGGCAATCGCCCAGGTCCCATATGTCCAGTCCCTTCGCTGAACCAAGGGTCCAGGAACGGTAGGAGCCACTTCTGTAACATTCATCACAGGTTTGGTCTTCTGTCTGGACAAGCCATCTGCGTTCGAATGAGCCTTGCCCTTTCGATATTGCAGATCATACTCGAATTGACTTAGGAACTCCAACCACCTGGCGACAATCGGCGCTGGTTCTTTGAAGTTGTCCAAATGCTGCAATGCTTTGTGATCCGAGCGGACCAAGAAGCGCTTGCCGAGCAGGTAACACCTGAAGTGATTAAACGCCCAAACTACACCCAGCAATTCGCTTTTGGTAGAAGCGTACCTGCGTTCCGATGCAGATGTCAATCGACTAGCAAAGGCAATGGGTCGTTCGACCCCCTTCTCATCTTGCTGTGACAAAACAGCACCCAATCCCGTACCACTGGCGTCAACATCCAGAATGAACCTCGGGGCATCAGGTCCATATTGTGGATATGCCAGGGTTGGTGAAGAAGTCAACCGACTCTTCAACGTAGCAAATGCCTCTTCACACTCCTCGGTCCATACGAACGCATGGCCTTGTTTAGTCAACTGAGTGAGGGGTTTCGCAACATCCGAGAAGTTCGGTACGAACCTTCGATAGTAGCCACAGAACCCCAAAAATGCCCGAATTTCCGCTACATTCGTAGGGTGCTCCCACGTAGCCACGCGGTGAGTCTTTGCCTCATCAGTGCTCACACCCTCTTCCGAGACCACATGGCCCAGAAAATCCACCCTCGTACGCAGCAAGAAGCATTTGGATGGTTTTAGACGCAACCCTGCGTCCAATAGCCGTTCAAACACCGCCTCGAGCCGCTCTAAGTGTTCGTCAAAAGTCTTTGCAAACACAATCACATCATCGAGATACACTAGGCAAATCTGCCACTGTAACCCACGCAAGACAACACTCATAAGTCTCTGGAACGAGCTTGGACCGTTACACACACCGAACGGCATGACTGTAAACTGGTAGTGCCCATCTGGAGTGGAGAAACCCGTTTTCTCCTTGTCTTCTTCTGCCATAGGCAGCTGATGATAGCCGGAACACAAATCCAAGGTGGAAAAGTACTTCGCGCCACTCAGCGCGTCCAACGTATCATCAATCCGTGGGAGAGGATATGGATCCCGCTCCGTAACGGCATTCAATTTGCGATAATCAACGCAAAATCGAGTTGAGCCATCCTTCTTCTTAACCAGCACTATTGGCGAAGACCAAGGACTAGTAGAATCCTCTACCACCCCTTGTTCCTTCATGCCCTTCACTAGTTCACGGGTGGCTTCCCTTGAGTTCCAAGGCAATCGCCTAGGAGCCTGGAAGATAGGACTTCTTCCTTTGGTGTTAATGTTGTGGTGTTGCACAGTCGTGCGACCCAATTCAGCAGAGTTCATCGCGAATACCATCCGGTAGCGACAGACGAGATCACGCAAGCGTGCCAATTCCTCATTCCCAATTGACCCTTGCCCACCAGGCTGAACACGAGACGTCTCCCGGTTCGCCTCCGCTGTGCCCTCACCAGGTTCATAACCGAGCTGCAGCTCGTCATCCCCCGACACAGACTTCCCACTCACAGGACCTTCTAGTCCAATGTTGAGCGCCGACCATAAGTCTTCGGAACTTCCCGAATCCCCCGTGGATTCCACTCCTATATGATCGCAATCATCCTCGTCTTCGCCCATGACACTCATCACGGCTGAAATAGGTAGCAGCTGTCCCACTCGGGCACCTCTTCCTAAAGATACTGACTCCTCTGAGCAGTTCAATACCCGAACGGGTACACCCTCATCTGTTGGACAAACAACCGCTCGTGCCAACAAAACATCCCCACCATCGATCAGACAGCCGTCTGGTTCGGTGATGCCACATGAAGGAACATCCTCCTTGTTCTCGATAACGGCAGCCACCGTCATCTCACAGTATGGAGGTATAACTACCCTATTCTTCAATCGAAGATTATGGCAGCGTTGTGATGTTCCCACCGTTGAAACTTCAGCCTTATCAGCCTTGAAGTTCAATTTCCCATCATTCGACGTGATCTCGCAAGGTATCTGCGATAGTACATCCCTCCCAATCAGGCAATGATACCGCAACCCTCGAATCACCTTCATCTCATGGACACAAATAGCATCCTGTATTGCCAAACATGCAGCGACCGTGCCACACACATGCAACCTCTGACCATCCGCACCGCAGAAGCCAGTCGACTTCTCTGGTGGTTCCAGGTCGCCCAACATGTAGCCCAACTGCTGCGAGAGGGTCTCAGAAATTAGACTTACTGAGGAACCCGTATCTACCAGTAACTCTACTGGCAGCCCATTAATCCTTCCCTCAATCATCATACCTCCGTGGCTTTCTGCTGCCCTGCTCAAGGCAGCGACCACTTCAGAGTCATTCTCTAGAGCATCCGAGACAATCGCCTCAGTTTCTGGACCCAGCACAGTTTCTTGATCGCAGACGCGGCCCGCCGTCTCGATCAATGCCCGTTTCCCGCCGGTCGGCGAGATTGGTACTCCCTTGCAGGTTTCATCAAGTCTGGACAGTCTGTCCTTCTGTGTCCCATTCGGCCACAGAACCAGCAAGTCAAACCCCTCGATTGTTCAGGCCTATAGTGGTCAACTCTGTCCACTTGGTCCCCTCTCCTGAATTGTTGGTTCGGCCTAGGAGGGTGGGCAATCCTGTCCACCTGATCACTAAGCTTCTCCACCAACTTTGCCAACGACTCCAACGTAGGGAGCTCAGACGGTGCAACCGCAGCCGTCACCAATTGACGTGGTACGCCATACGCATCGTCCATTCGGCCGTGCGTGCCCTCGTTCCCCCACACCCTCTCCAGATGGTTAGCCATCTCGATCGTTTCCTGCACCGTTCGTGGTGCATTTTCCTGTAAGCGCAATCGCAACCTGTCAGGAGTCATGGAATCAATGAGCTGATCCCGCACCAACTCTTCTTGTACGTCTCCACCCATGGTCGGGTAAGCCCTGTGTACAAGACTACGCAAGTCGTCAGCCAATCGACTGACGTCTTCCTCAGGCTTGCGCCTTCGCGTTCTAAATTGCGACTTATATTGGCGGGCTGTCTCTGGTGGTGCAAACCTCCTCGACAAGTCCTCTACGACCTGAGGCCACTCCATTCGGCGGGCTTCAGGTACAGTCGCAACAAATTTTTGTGCAGCCCCTCTTAGCCGTACGGCTAAGTATTGAGCCTTTTGCACGTCATTCCACTCGTTCACACGAGCACATTGGTTGAAGTACTGCAAGTACTCCACCCAATCCCCCACGCCATCATATGCTTCAGGCATCACTGCCGGCCGTACCACCATCGCCCCACCATTGGCACCCCCTACAGCAGCGTTCGCTGCTGCATCCGGAGCCTGATTGTGAGCCATGATAATCAGAAAATCGAGTGCGTTCGCTCTCAACAGGATATCTTTGTCTTTTGCAATCGCAAGACTGTGATACCTTTTCCTTGCCCAGTTGCGCCTTATATTCCCCACTTGCTACTTCGTACGGTAGTCCTCCGACCAATGAGAGCTGTTCAGGTCACAAGTACTGCACAGTACATACGTTCGTATGTACTACAGTCGTCATCGGATCACACCATTCGCGTACGGGTCAGCAAAAATCATGGTCAAACTGGTCTGTAGTACGGTATGGTGTTCAACCGATCACCAGTCCGCGCCAGTTCAACCCTCCTCATCATCAAACTACAAATCTGTAGTACGATACGGTGTTCAACCGATCACCAGTCCGCGCGCCAGTCCAACCCGCATGCGCGAGAGTGTTGGCAGTTCTGTCAACACTCTCGCCTAGCCACATCCTCTCCAAAATAGGCAACTCTGCCTTCAACAAAGAGCAATCGCGGCTCTACATTACGATCATTGTTTGCTGCCATGCCGTCAAATCATTCGATCTGTTCAGTTTAGACAACAGCCCATCTGACATCAACCCAAACATTCCAGCTTGTGGAGGCCTTCCGTAAGCAATCGCCTACAGAAGAACAGAACTTGGATCCTGGTCACAGCACCAAATATGTCGTGCCGGACATACACAATACCGATCTCAAGGCTACAACATATACATTCGCATTGCCGTAGTAACCCCACCAGGTCATCAACCAATATAGTTGATCCAAGTATCCATTCAGCCACACACGCTCACCTTGGTCATTCGAATAAGGTTGAGAGTCACTATGATTCCAGCTCGATTCAAGAGTGAAGGTCGAAGGAAGGTTGGTACTTTTGATCAGAAGCAGCAGGGGTTATATGATAACAAAAAGGATCGAGTTAGACAAAGGAGTAGCAAAGGCGGGAAAACCCAACCAATCAGACCATAGAGAGCTTGTTGCTATGCAGAATTGACCAATGGGAGAAGACAAGGAGAAATGCGTATTAATTATGAATTAACTAAACAGCCAGCGTATACGATAAGACAGTTAGCAGATACAACATCCCGCGGCCCATGCATTGATAAAAGTGACAAGTAGATACAAAAGACAACTGCCGTACAAACGCGCGCTCATGAGGGGAACACGTTCACCCAACATGTAAACTAGTACCGGCAGAGTAGTTAGTTCGTCGTACAACCCGGGGAAGTTTGTCGTACAGCCCGGGAGAACCCGTCAGCTGCCGAGGCCGATATGACATATGTATATCATGCATGTGTACAATATCGGAATTTAGGTTAGTAGAACTGCAAATCACGTCAGGAAAGCAAGCTAGTATTGAACATATTTACCTTGCCATGCACACAGAGGTAGCTGAAGACACTTTAAAACATGTGCACATCACATGTACATGTACGCCAAGCACTTATGACTGTGCATTATTGCAACCTGATGACCTGATGATATGGGTGCAGCTGAATGCTACAGCCGTCGCCAAAACAAATCCGGCCAATGCTATGCTAGCTGTACGATACATGGGCTGCGCACGCGCCGGGCACTACTACCACTACTGGCACTAGTGCATGCACTGCACCTGCAATGACCATTCCCTAGTAAAATAAGAATAAAAAATAAATAAAATAAATATAAAAATAATGTCTCTCTGCATACACTCAGTGCAGTGCTGGTACAGTCAGGAAATGCATGATGCTCCCCAAGCACCGCCGGGAACGCGTAGACCTACTAGTACTTCAAAGTGCTGTGAACTGACTGTACCATACCAAAGTCCCCATGGTGTCGGCATTGGCCGGATTTTTTCGGCGACGGCTGAAGTACCATGTTGCATGGATGCCTCCTCTCTTTGTCATCAACAGCATGGCATACCGTTAAGTCGCGGATAAAAGCCGGGCTTATAAGCACATAAGCCGCTTTCTGCATCAGGCTTTAATGCAAACCAGGCTTGTATGCAAACCATGCTTATATGCACCACTGATATTTTTGCCAGGCTTCTGTACGCGACACGCGTAGATCTACCACTGACTACCGGTATGGCGGCAGTTTTACTATGCACCGTACATAGCGCATGCACTCTTGACCTACCCGGTCCGCGCTTGCATAGAAGCCAGGCTTCTACGCGCGACAGGCTTATATGCATTTGACCCGTTTGATTTTCAGGCTTCTATCCGCGATGTGCTTGTATGCAAACCCGGCTTTTATCCGCGACTTTACGATATGTGTGCTATGATGTATGTGCATGTCAAAACCACAGCTGTTGCCATATGACTACCTACCTACTTCAGATCATCGCAACCCCATGTCAGGGATTGCACCTGGACTACAGTCAACGTCGAGAGAAACGACCACGGGTATAACAACAACTCGCGAATAACAACACAATTCTCAGACCTAGTGACCATTCGTGTATGCTTTCAACCTCACGAATAACTCGTGAATAACGACACTTTCTCTTGCACGGTCGATGGTCGTTATTCGCGAGGTTGACTGTGGCTCTATTTCGCAACATGACCGTTCATCTAGCATTATCACAGACAGTGAATGCACGGCATGGATAAGATCAAGTCAAGTATCCTAGAGGTATGAGCCGGTGACATGCATGATGACACATTGCTGAAAGCAACACGGACTAAAAGGAGGAGCTCTCACCGACTGCATCGGCGAATCGAACGATAGCCGTCCCCTGCTCCAGCTGCAGAAGGTGCAAGACATCTCCGGATGCAATACGAGTAGTGCTGGGAGAAACTCGTCCTTCTAGCACTGTCTTCTCTCCTGAGCAAAGAGTAGAAACACTCCAGTTCATGAAGCATGCATGCAAGTCACTGGAAAGTCTTGCTCCTACTGTGACAATGTGTCGTAGCCATTATGTCGCACCTGCTTTGAAAGAAACATTTAGGCCTCCGTCGGCCGCTTCGACGACCAACCGCACGTCTTTGCCTTGCTGCACATCTAGCACCGGCTTCCCACTGGGGTCAAACAGCGTCAGTTGAACATTGAAGACCGAAATTTTGGCCTGTACGTCAGCATCATCCATACTGCAAGCCTTTCCAAGGAAACGTATGTTCTGCTGGGCCGTTCAGCTGACAACTGATATATTGACGCTAAACTGAAACCTGCTCCGTAGTAACAACAAAGACTACTAGTACCAAAGACTCGTACTCAAAATGAAATAGATGGGCACAGTATTACTGCAGAACATAATTCGTACCCAAACTGCAAATTCACAATTTCACAGCCCATGTCGCCTTTTTGATTTCATGGGTGGGTGAACTTGAAAAAAAGGTTGCGTTCAATCGCCATTTCTGCATTTCCATGGTAATTTACTGTTCTCACAACTTGCGCAGTGATTGTGCACCCTCAGAAGGCAGCAGAGCGGGCATTGCGTGTACCCATATGTCCCATACAAACTTCTCGGCGCTCGACACTCGTACTCACAGTGACGTCATGACGTGACCGTGACTCTGTGAGTACGACTACGACTCGAGTACGAGTGTGACTGATTTGATTTTGAAAGCTACAAGTACAAGAACTCTGATGATTTGCGCCAAATGGTATTCTGTCCTTCTAATTCTGTTTCAAATTTCCCCATATCAGCTCGTTTCTTTTTTTGCAGCCTGTGCACTAGGCATTTTTCCCCCCATGGCCCAGTGCAATGTATTCATGAAGATTAGTATTACCAATTTGCAGACAATATTAGGCAATGTATTGCTGATGCCCGATGAGGGCGTAGACCTACGTGGGTCAGCGATGTAATGCTCAACTTTGGAATTTCTCTTATTTCAGTTTGACGTACTTCGTACCCGCAGGTGAACTACATTTATATGTAGTACTGTTCCACTAATCGCTGTTGCTTGCGTGTAGTGTCTGTCAAGAACTGTATCTCACCTGCACAATGGATGTGTCAATAGCAGAAAGCCGTTTCTACGTATACAACGAGCGTATGGGCATCGAGGAAGACCATTGTCACGAGTTCAAAGGGCACAGGAACGTCAGTGTGGAAGAGCTACCACCCTGGAGCTTTATCAAAGGCCGCAGTGGAGATAAACTGCATCGCTCTAGACGTGCTGTGTCAAGGTACATTACTGCAGTACTTTCTTCTTCTAGACACAAGTCATTGCACAAGTGTCATTTCTATTTTGAATTTTTTGTAGTTTTTTTACAGAGCCCCACATGCACTATAATAGTCTAGAGTGACCAGTGCTTTGGCTGTACCCTGTGGCTGTGTGCTTGTTACCTCGTCAGCTGCATCCATGTTATCCTCCCTCCAAGTATTGACTGTGGGTGTAACTGTAACAAACCGTGTTGGCGCAGCTCATCGCATGTGAAGCGGCTCACAAATTCATCACCGTATTTGTTAGCACAGTACATGCTCCCTGTTCCCTGGTGCCAGCTCGGGCCCACAACCACTCGGCCAAGTGCTCGTCATAATTATGTTGTACTTTACTGTGGTACTGAACAAAATGCGACAAAGAATCTACGAGAGAGCTTGGAAGCTCAGGGCCCTACGCTATGCTTTTTTGCCTTGATGACTTAAAAATTCATTTTTTTTTAGACATAACCTGGGATTCGAACCCGCACTATCGCGCGCCCTGCATTCATCCCCCGATGCACTTCGCATACATACTAATTCTTCCAAGTTGTTTCACATTGTGATCTTGCATTTGAAAGCCCTATTTGAGTTATATGCATTGTGGCCAGCCGTCTTTGATGGCACGGTACGGTAGGGGATAGGGACGGGACAGGTACGATCGAGGGTAATACGACACCGTCTCCCGTACCGTACCGTACCATCAAACACAGCTGGCCACATACAGCTTCCCGCAATATTCAAATAGGGCTTTCAACCACAAGATAATAACGTAACGCAACTTGGAAGAATGGGTATGAATGCGAAGTGTATGGGGGAATGCATGTAGGGCAATAGTGCGGGTTCGAATCCCAGGATATGCCTGAAAAAAATAAGACAATTGAAAAATGCCTATGATTTTTTGCCGTCAGATACGGGATAGCGCCAGGCGTGACACAAACAAACAAACACACAAACAAACACCAAATTAAAGCTGTGTGGACCCTGGCTAGCGCCAGACGTTACTGAAGTAACGTCTTCTGCATAGCTACGGGAATAATGTAACTTGTGAGGCTGAGAGTTGTAAGCGGCAAAGCCTAACTCCTATAGAGAAGAATAAAATGATTGGCAATAAATAAGATAAATTGTGCACTCATAACAACAACAAAAAATGAAGAAAGTTAAGTTCCATAACGTTTATTATGGAACTTAACTTTCTTCATTTTTTGCTGTTATGAGTGCACAATCTTATTTATTGCCATTTTACGACTATTGTCTCCTCGTCGATTGTTTAAATAAAATGATTTTAAAATGTGCTTTATATTTTCCAGGACCCTGTGTGGATTGCTGAACTCTGGAGAAGGTGGCACTGTGTACATGGGTGTAACAGATGATGGTGTGGCAAGGGGAATGCGTATACAGCTCTATCAGGTATTACATGCATTACATGTGTTCTGTTCCTCACAGCATTGTATTGCACACCAGTACACTGTACCCTGTACATGTATGTATGTATGTTTACCGGTATGTTGGACATGTTGCCTAGCCAGTATCTGGGGAGGAATCCGGTAGGCTGTGCAGATCCAGTCGTGTATTCTGCACTATCGCAGGAACTTCTCGCTGATCTGCAGAACAACCCCGACCTGCTAAGTCGACGGGTATAATCTCCGCTGCAGAGGCGGGCCGGAGTGCTGCTGCCGCGGCTGAGACCGTGTAGTGGTGGGTATGGCCGAAATCGGCGGCCGTGGTCTTGATAACCCCTGCCGGAACTGTGGGGTGGCCCGGACCGATTGCTGTTGCGATAACGCGACTAATGTGAGAATGGGGCCCGGCCCTGTTGAGCACCGAACCCCGGAACGATAAGGTGGTCTGGCTCTAAGCGAACCGCATCCTGCAAAGCAGTTGACGCCCCTGACCTTCTCGGTCAAAGCCGCCGTAAACTTGTCTCCAAACAAGTATTTGCCTTTCACAGGCATCTCGTCTTTCATCATTGTGGCTACTTCTTGAATACGGTGTGCTGCCGTGCCTGGGTTAGCAAGGCATTGACATTTGACATTAGAACGAGTGTACGCTGGACAATGTTCATTACGTCTGCCACCTCGACAGTGTCCTGGTCTGTGTCCAGTAGTGACGCCCAGGTGCACGTCAATGGGCCCACCGCCGCATGCCATGCTTGCTGCACTGAAGAAGGCCTTCCATCAGCACCTTTAGGCAGTTGGTGCCCTATCCAGCTCTTTACCGACTCATCAACCTGGGGGGGGGGGGGGGGGGGGGCAATCAACGCTTGCGTGGCAGGACGCGGATGCACTATGAGCATAGTTTTCTGGTCTTCGTCCCTGAGGGCACGACGGGAATGTGTTTCAATGTAGTCTGTGATTACAGACAGAGCTGGCATGATGTACTTGCCGGATGTGTGCTACAAAGGTACACTTCTCCTTTCCACACAGCAGGAAAAGAAGGTTTGTTGCAGCTTCCAAGCTTCATTTTTTCGCGGTCGTTGGGCAACTGGTGGATCATGCCTGGTGGCTAAAGCGATAGCTATGAGGCAAAAACAATTGCTAGTGATTTCACACATACACACAGCATACCGTGATTTAAACATTTAGGTGAAGGCCATACATCAGCAATTATGTGTGTCTCCTTTTATTTGATTTGCACTTGCTTATTTCAGCGTGACCATATGATTGTGTCGCTTCGAGATCTGATGTCCCGGTTTTCGCCACCTATCCACGACTCCATGATTCAGGTATGTCAGTGCATGTAGTTAATCTTTGCACCATCTTCATTGCTGTTTCGAAAATGTGCGTGTACTTTCCAGGATGCTGGCAACAATGCAACAATGCTAACGGTCGTAATCACATGCCAATACATTACGCTTGCCTAGTTTAGAAGTGAAGGTGCATGTATGAAGAGGCGTTTCGGAGAAAGGAGTTTTAACAATGCGATGAGTAAAACATTATGTTGGCATCATTGGTTCTATTTATCCTACATGTATGATGTATTTATTTTAACTGTGCATGTTCAGTTGCACGTATCTCCCTCTCCTCCTCCTCCTCCCCTTAGTTTGGAAACGCCTTGCGCCTTCTTACTGTAATAAGTATATGCATTTTCAATCCCCATTCAAGCTTGTACTGCACAGCACAGCAATCATACAAGTGATGACCTCCAAGCCATTTCATGTAGCCGTAACTTGTACAAGGAATGCGATACTGAAATTATATAGTGAAATAGCAAGTATTAAAAGCACCGCAACAGCATGCATGTTTCAAAGTAGTATTGGTTAAGATTGGCGAGGCCTTCACTACCTTGGCTTACCTTCCGACCTCCAAGCCATTTGAGTTATAAGTAATAGTTATCAAGGATGAGACTGCAACATATATGCACTGTAGTAAGCTGTTTTTATTCTCTTGGTCTTCCTTTGTCACCTGCTGTGGTGCCGGTGCTCAGGTGGTGTTTGTACCTGTGCTGGCGTCGGGTGAATCACAAAAGAAATGGCTTGATAAGGTAAGTGGCTGCAGGACTTGGCGTATCTTTTGTAAATGTGTGATAGATTAGAAATAACGTTACCCTAACTGCCTTTGCTCGCCGCAAGTCGATTGCCGGCTTTTCAACAGTACTTCTGTAATTGAATCCAGCAGATCAGGACCAGGCACCAAGAAATCACACACACGCGCGCGCGCGCGCGATGCGACTTTCCAGCTGCGTCGAAAACCAGTGTGAGCTTGAGCACCCTTACATGTTTGGGATTCTGGATATCACCAAGAGTCCGTAAACCAGAGTACAGTGAAACCTGTGTAAGGCGACCACTCAAGGGACAAGAAAAAGTGGTCACCTTCGCCAGGTGGTCTTCTTATCCAGGTTTAGTGGGTCACATGAACATATTCACTATACACGTACATGCGATAATATCATGTTGATCAGTGCATCACACTGCACACGCCTATTCTACTATCACGACTCAAGTGCCTGGGGGCGTCAGACCTGTAAAGTGTCGTGCATGCTCAATCTGCGGACAGAACTGTTTCTTCCTGCGCTGATGTGTACTTTGAAGTAGATCTACCATGTGTGGTGCACAGTCAGTGCAATGCGTACATGTATGGGCACTAGTAGGGTGCAACGCGGTCGCGGGTGGGTGGTTGTTGGTCGCGTTGAGCGAGTGATCGCCTTTTCCGAGCTGTTTTGAATGTGAATGCGTCCGTGACAAGGAAAAGTGGTCGCCATGGTCGCCGTATCCGAGTGGTCGCCAGTACAGGTTTTATTGTATGCAACTGTGGTTATGGGTGAATGTGCGGCGATCTGCCTTGATCACGCCTTGTACTCATGCACTGAAACCCACCATCTCTTGTACCAGGACACCAGGTTTTGCTTGATTCATTCGAGTACAGACGCGAGCACTAAATTTTGGGTGCATGAACTTCAGTTCCTTGCGGAAGTTTGTTTCAAACCACAGGGAGATCACAAGGAGAGCGTGGTGTTTGATTTTCCGCAATGCGCGGATGTAGCCGCATGATGTAATGAAGGCAGCGCATCTGGCCCATAGAAAGAGATCGCAGTTGCGTACTCTTGTTTATGGGCTATGCTGGTACTGTCTGTTCATCAATCTAACTAAAGCCACAGTCTAATATATCACCAGCGTGCATTTGTCCTCTTCCAGAGTGCTGTAGAATACAATTTCATAGCACATTGCTGTAGGTTAGCTCCTGAATGGGAAGCTAGAACCTAACATTCCACCGGTATCTGGCGGACGTTGTCACTGACTTGCTGCTGCTGTTTCTGCTGGTTTAGCTGCACAAGTCCGACGCGACTCTCGGGAAGGCAGCAAATACACGTGCCAAGCAGCACAAGCTGCGCTCATATGAGTATTGCTGGTGAGTGTTGAATGGAGTGGTGTGTGTGTGTGTGTGCGCGCGTGCGTGCGTGTGTGTGTGTGTATGTGTTGTTACAGTGTGTTGGTCCGAACAACCCACCAAACACAAAGCAGGAGACCAGAGCTTTCTCACTGTTCAGTGCTAGCACTGGCTTTCTTGCCCGCCTTTTGTAGAGCTGTTGGTATCAGCTGGGGATATCTTTAGGGATTTTCAAACCAGCCCGATGTTGCGATTATAAATTTAGCGACTGATGTCTCATAGTGAATACCAGTACAGTAATGCTGATCCGAGGAATACGAATTCTCATTTGGCGTGGCTTAAGTAAGCAAAAGCTCTTCTCTGTTTTCTAAAATCCCTAAAATTTTACCGTGGCTAAAATTTACCTTTGTTACATGCTTACCCCCTCCCCCCGTGCATGCACCAGATGATCATCCATTCATTTAAGGTTTTAGAAGTAGCTACTGAAGTGGTACATGTTATTGGCTCCTGACCTCGAGGGCTGCCTTGTGATCAGGCCGTACAATGTGCCCTGCCTTTGTGCTGCGATGGTGCAGGTGTGATGTGGAAACGGAAGCAATGATAGACTGCAGTGACTGGCTACCGACCTTTGTTATAGAGCTCTCTGTCAGGAAAAGGAAGATCACCCCAGAGGTAGGTACATGTACATCCGTAGTGCCGCTAATTTCGGATAAGATTTATCTCGGCTAAATTTATAACCTCTGACAAGACAAACTATTTTTTCAGGTCTGGAGGACAAGCAGCATCTATCTCATACATGTTGAATCGGTTATGAATCTTATGATGAACTTGAATGAACTCAAATGAAACGATTTCTCGGATAAGACGACCCAAAATTGAGTGCCTACAACTCGACTCAGGACGAATTCAGTCGGGCAGTGGCCTTTCATTCATTTCAAACATTATTTATAGGACAGTGTCTTATACTATCCATACCTAGTGATGCCTTACAGTCCAGCCCTCACAGCCTGCTCTGCATCTATTGCAGCCACAGCCTACCATTGTGAAGTCCCTCCACTTCTCACCATCAAGCTGCGCTAGATGTCAGAGCCTTTTATTAATAAAATAAAAAAAGTTTACACACGGAAAGTTGGGTGTGGTCCTCGAAAGAGTGCTCAATGCACCGGGGTGCAGAGCTTCATACAAAAATAATAGAATGGGATACAGAGCTTGGGTTGGCTGTGACTCAGAGTTTCACGCCTGTGGCGAATTTGCGCTTAAATTCTCTGACTCCACTAGCACCTTACCACACTATATCAAGAACATTCATTGAGTTTTTGTAATCATTGCTGTCTGATGATCGCCACAGGCGTGAAACTCTGAGTCACAGCCAACCCAAGCTCCGTATTCCATTCTATTCTTTTTGTAAATAAAAAGAGTTTAAAAAGCTCCTTTTTGCGCCATGACTGTTGACTGATGCACGTCCATGGATATTTGTTCAACTACTTAGTACTTCCCATTTGACTCGGCAATAAATTTAATTTGTGTGTACACTGCATGATTTTTTCGTGAATTTGGGCAAACAGTTCTTCCTGGTCCAGAGGGGATTACTGCAGTGCTTCTCACTGAAATCCAGTCACGTCACTCAAGTGCGAGCCGGGCGTTGCGCAGCGCTAGCCCTGCGAACACTGGGCTGCGAAATGGTGCGAGGCGCGAACTGGAGTGATGCGACTGGATTTCATTGAGCAGTCGTGTAGTAGCAAGAGTACATAACTCCCCAGAGTGCGCAAGTTCACTTATCAGATCTGGGACGGCGAAATCCGTGTTGCACGTCATGATGATGACATCATGAGTAGCGGAAATGTGGACGTGGTGCACCACGTTGATGGAATGAGGCAAGTCCGACCCGAAAAATGACGTACATCACGGATTACGCCGTCCCACAACCCCATCCCAGTTGCGTACTCTGGGGATTATGTACTCTTGGTAATAGTAATACTGTAAAAGCCATTGTTCTAACCAGGCGCATATATAACGATTTCCCCAAATTGACTGGTTTACGTGTACCAAAGGTAACGATTCTCACTTATTCTCGACGCTCAATAGGACAGTATATGTATCGATTTCTGTATAACGATTTCTATTTTAACGACAGATTTCTCCTCGTTAACTCGTTAGAGTTAGGCTTAGCACTTCGTTATATCTATATATGGCTTTTACAGTAGTCTTATCCCAGTGTTACTGTAGTAGATGGTGAACTGTGATGGTTTACCTGGTAGTGTTTGGGCAACTCGAATGTAGTTGCTGCTTAGGGAGCATCTCATAAGTTCGCATTTATTTTGCAAACATAACACATTTCGAATAGACTTTACCCCTACCTCCCCCCTCTATTCGAAAGTCTTATCGCACATTTTCTGTGTTTATCTACTGTACACGTCCATGCGGCCCCGTGCTATGCTATGCTTATGTACATGATTGTACATGTACATGTACATGGATATGAATGTTTTGCTAGAGCGGTCGTGAATGGCATACAGACTCAGTCAGTAGTATGAGTACAAGTACAATCAATGACATGTACACGCACATAAACATAGACTTCCTGCACAACAACTGTACTGCTGTAAATGCTGGCCAGGTACACTGTACACGGTTTGACCAGGCTGGTGTGACATTTGACACTTCTAAGTAGCCTGCATGCATGCAGTGCAAGGGTTAGCTGATCTGCAAACACAGGTAGATCTCCACCTAAACACACTCATTTGCTGCAGGGATCTAGCATGGTAGTAGATTGTACAGTTCCAGAAAATGTGCCAACAGTCATTTTTTTCTATTCGAAAAGGGCGCTACCCCCTACCCCCGTTTCGAAATGCGTTACGTTTAGAAACAAAATGCGAACTTATGAGATGCTCCCTTAGCTCCTGTGAGCAACAATAAGAATCCTTCCTCCTGTGAAAGTATTGCATGCCGTGATGATCGTCTGATGCGTTCTACAACTAGTGTAGTTGCTCTAATGACTGCAGCAGACTACTGTAAAAGCAGAAAAAATCCTCAAAATCAGCGGTTCGGTGGAGGGAAAATTTCGGTAAACCCGCGACGAAAATTGCACAGAGGACATGCCATTTCGGCAATAGGTATTTGTCGAATTGACCATTACAAGGATATGCAATATTGAAAGCAGTGTAGGGTTATGAAGTATAAACAGCATTCAACTACATGACTATGCATAAAGCCCTTACTTGGATTGGATTGGATTTTATTTATAGTGGTGACTATAACAGACAATTGCCTAATAACAATAGACCCACTCGAGGGAAAGATGTAAAAAGATAAGAATAATTAATGTACATTGTAATAGACTATTGGATAGGTGATCATGTCCGTGATAGAACGAATGGTTGAGGCAACAGAAGATGGGCGCCCAACTTTTGCATAAATTTTGCATAGCTGAAAGTCATAAGTACTAGCGTGAAAAAGCAAGGCATTGGGGTAACAGTTTCTTAAAACCGGCGGAGTTATCCACACAGCGAGCTAGAGGGTGTAAATCATTCCACAGCTTAGCACATTGGAAGGAAGCGCCATGACGGGCAAAGGCAGTTCTGAGCATGGGCAACTTAAGAGTGCGTGATACAAGGCTGCGCGTTGCAAGACCATTATTAATTTAAGCGCTCGAACATTTGACTTAATGTGACACAACAGCGGCCTTCCAAACAGTGCCACGTCAAATACAGTAATTTCTTGCAATACATGGATGCCAAGCGATCTAGACCAAGTCTCGCAAATAAAGGACTTGATAGACTACAAAACCAGTATCGTACACTGAACGCAAAGCTCGCTTTAGCATTCGTTCAAGCCTACTTGGATTGATGACGTCTGGGAGCTGATCCACAACATGCCCGCAACTAGCTTGTCCTCTGCTATCCTTGTCTCTCTTTCCAACACTTGTGAGTAGGCAATGCAATGCCCCAAGGGGTTTAACATTGTGGTCAACTTCTCACTCCGGAACAGATGGGGCAGGGTCAATGCCAAGACTATGTCACGTGCTTGGGTGGAATTTCCGAGGCAGTGGCAAACATTACATCCTGCGCACTGGACTGAACACGCCGACACGTTGCTGGATCTTCTACTGTGATCTTCGTTGACTGCACAGCAGCATGACACCTTTCTGACATAAGCCACACCAGGAAATTGTGCAGTATGTCCGGTACACTGGCACTGGCGTCGTCAACTGATAGCCCTGTGCACTCGTCCATGTTGTGTTCCTGACAGAGGACACAGAGTGACCGTGCAGCATGGTGCACTGTACCCACGTCCGCACCGCTGCTCATTGGTGCAGTTGGCTGAAACACTTCACTGATGGTGACATCCTCGTCACAATCCACATTGCCAAAAGCACCTGCGCTATGGGCATGGGCGATTAAGGTGGGGGATTTAATTGTAGCGTAAACAAGCTCACACTTGTGGCGGGCTGCAGATCTTACAAACGGGAGCTCTGTTCCATAATTTTTCGATTAAGTAACTCTTAACATAACCATTTCGCACGGTCAATGCATTGGTTGTGTTGTAAACGGATGTCACCTGATTAATGTCCAATACTTCATTCTGGTGAAAAATTCGGTGTTGGATGTTGGCTAAGAAAGCACACTCCGTACCATCATCACCAGGGGCCTGCTCATCATCCACTGCAAGGGTTGTGCTGTCACTTTCCAGGCGTGACGAGGACACCTCACGAGTGTAGGACTGATAACAGTGTCTGTGGTAAAAAAATCTCTGGAAATAAGGCTGCCTCCTCCAGAGATGGCAATGAGAATTCGGTCGTCCTTACGGATGGAGAGCGGCCTTGCTGCTGTTTGAGCTCGGTGACAGTAGTCGTAAGGGCGGCAACTTGCTTCTGGAGAGCTGCAATGGCGGTCATTGTCTCCGACTCGCCAGTGTTGCTGACTGCATGGACTGCCGCACTGGGACCAGCTGCCTCCACTATCCTGTCAGCCATTTCAGCCTGATCCTGCAGCGGCAGTGATGCTGGGCAGGACGCGACGATGGACTTTGGAGATCGAGGTAACCGGTTGACAAAGAGCTCTCGTAGGAGTTTTTCCGGCATTGTATTCTCACCCACCAACTGCTGCAGCTTACGTAATAGCTGGGTAGGCTTTTTGTCGCACAGCTCCTCGTCTGAAATCAGCAGGCGTAAACACTGCTGTTCCGACATCTGTGTGCGGTGAATGAGACGCTCGCGGAGAGCGTTGTATGGCTGGTGGGCTGGAGGATCCAAGATGATGTCTCGTACCTCTGCCGCATACTCGGGTGTCAGTGATCCCATCACATACTGATATTTTGTCACCTGGCTGGTGATGCGTCGAATTGGAAACAGGGATTCTACCTGCGCGAACCAAACCTGGGGGTCAGCAGCCCAGTAAGGTGGTAGTTTGACGTTCAAACTGACCGCGGGCACCTCACTTTGCCTGGCTGTACCGCCTGCTCCGGTAGTTCCAGCGCCCGTAATTCTGGATAGGAGTTGGCCGCGACCTGCGCTGCGGACAGGTGTGCTCGCTGCGGAGTTTGAGGAATTCATATTGGTAAAATACTAAATGCTGCGTGCAGACCAATGACTGAGTGATCGAACTCATAGGCGGGGTCACCAATTGTAGCAGTGCGCTACGTAATTCTACACAAAAGTCTTGATTCGTGAATTTGGAACTAACTTCCAAAGATTGAATCTGGTGTCATACCGTTGTAGAATACAGAGAGGACAAAAACATTACTGTTCGGCTCACAACTAGAGAGAGACAGAGATAATGGAAGCAAGGCAAAAGGCCAGGAGCGACGAACTCTGCTGACCTGCTGAATACGGTGTACGGTACAACTATACCAAAAGGGAAGGCCAGCAGCGCACTGGAATCTAGTTGTACACAGCTGTAGTACGCATGCGAATAAGGATAATACGGTGCGGAAGTGAGCGGCGCATCCTGGTACGGTAAAGCGGTCGTATTAAATACATAATAATAATTGTGACCGCGAGACCGGGGAATTTCATGAAGCCAATAATATGAGAGAATTTCATTGAAACCAAAGTAAATCAGGTCATGTGACCGAGAATCCGCTACAAAAGTGCAGCTTGCATGCGCATATGCACTGTCGACGATCGAAAACGAAGGTTGAAACGCTCGCCAAACAAGGCTTTGGCCCCAGGAAACCCATCTGCTCTTCGCGATTATGAGGTCACAGAGACCCTTTCTCGCGGATCCTGAAGAGATTTCTTTGTGCACCCGTACATGGAACGAGATTCCAAAAACGTCAATTTTTTCGCCTGGGCTTGTGGACTACAGTCAACTTCGCCAAGAGTACATGAAAACCAGAGTGCGCAGCTTGGGGCCTTTTTACTATGGCCCAGTATGGGTGTCTGTCACGGCGGAATTCCGTGATTACATCATATTTGGTGCAGATCTGAGGCGGGAAATGGCGTAGTGCGTACAACTGAGCTGCAGCTGTGCAAAAAGAGACCTGCTTGAATCCTGCTTGTACGCACTACATCACTAACATGATGTCATCACGGAATTCCGCCGCCGTGACAGCAACCCATCCGAGCTGCACACTCTGGTTTTCATGTACTCTTGACTTCGCTTATAACGACACTCGGCGGGGCATCAAAAAAGTGTCGTTATTCGCGGAGTGTCGTTATACCCGAAGTCTCATTATTATGTATTACAGTTGGATAGGACTTTGCTCTGGGCATGGAAATTCTGTCGTTATTCGCGAATTGTCGTTATATCCGCAGTCGTTATTTGCGAAGTTGACTGTGTAGGTGTATACAGTAAAACCAAGAGTTCATAACCCCCAGAGTGTGCGACGCGCGATAGGGTCTTGTCACGACTTGTTTTCAACATTACGTCATTTTCATGTAGCGAATGTCGCGGCCTGCATGCGCAGCTACATAAAATGACGTAATGTTGAAAACGAGTCGTGACAGAGATTTGTGTGGCGTTGCACACTCTGGGGGTTATGGACTCTTGGTAAAAGCTGTCAAGGCGACCACTCGGATAAGGCGACCACCTGTCCTAAAGGCCAATGAAACCAGGACCAGTGGATGCTATTTCTAGTCAAAAGACCCTGGATAAGGAGACCACCTGGTAACAGAGACCACGTGTTGAAGGTCCCTTGAGCGGTCATCTTAGACAGGTTTCACTGTATACCGAAATATTCGGTGCGTTTTATTTTCGGTAGAAATTTTGGCGCCAAAGTTATCGAACATAAAACACCACCGAAAATATCTGCTTTTACAGTACATGGCACAGCCTACAAAATTAATGATCAATCTACTATAGTCGCTATCTGCGTTCTCAATCCTTTTCCTGGCTGCTTGTTCAATCTGTCAGGTTATCGTGCCCGCTGCTGTGAACTGGCCAGACATGAAGCTGTTGAAGAAAGCGGAAATCCTGCCTGTCTATGAGGATGAGGAGGGCAAATGCTACTGCCGCGGCCAGGGAGGTCTTTTTCAGGTGAGTGCACTGGTCATGTGTTCCCGTCTCTTCTCAAATCGTTTATACGGTGTTTATTTGACCTGGGTTTGTGTTAGTTGTTTTATCCAATACGAGATTCTGTCCTCTGGTAGTCTCTTTTTTTTTGCAGAAGAAGCCAAGAGAAATACCGTGGTCAGCGCAAAACGGCATAATTATGTGTTCGCAATTTGACTTCCATGTATAGCCCAGTTCACTTGTTCTGTTCACTTGTTCTGTCGGTGGCTGTGGTGTACCCGTGTACATCGTACATATTTGCACTCTCATGTTTCTTATTGTGCTACTGCATCTCCTTGCATGGACGTGCGTACAACCTTACAGCATACTACTCATACTATGCATGCATGTGTGTACTCCGTGCCCATAATCGACAGTGCATGTCTCTTGTTGCTGGTCAGTCTTTCCTTGGTAGTTTCCTGACGAGTCGTCCTCTCTCAGTCCTTCGTTGCATTATTCTATTTCAATATAACTAATCATCACATAGACTTGATGATACCACATGGCGCAGTGAACTTGTTTTAGTAGCAGTTTCCATTAGTCTTTCTCAGTCCTGGGTCTTGCTAGTACCTCTGGCGTTTCGTCTCTCAAATATAGTGAAATAATTATTTGAAATTTCCGTTTCGGCATGGCGGAATCAGACACACCAGTACTCAGCCCTGACATTGCTGCCCTCACCCAGCTCATGAGACAGCAGATGGAGACCGCCGCCACCCGCGAGCACCACCTGACACAGCTCGTGGAGCGAACTTTGAGGAGCATTTCTCAACCTCCACCACCGCAACGTCCACCCCCAGCCCCACCGGCACGAGATCATGTACCTGCGGCGAGACCAGTTTCGGTCGATCGCCCTATGTTACTTGCCTCTGCCTCTCTCGCAGAGTTTGCCGCATGGGAAGGTCTTTGGCGGGACTACGCCCGGTGCCAGCACCTGGATTCCCAGGACAATGCCACCAGAGTGGCAACGGTTCGTCAGTGCCTGGACGAGGACCTCCGGAGATTTCTTCGTGAGGGCACAATTCCTCTGGCTGACAACCACGACGACGACGATCTCATCAAGGCTGTACAGGCATACATTCGCGGCCAGCGTAACCCTCTGCTGGACCGGATCGCCTTCTATGCCCGCCAACAGCAGCATGGAGAGTCCTTCGATCAGTACCTGACTACCCTCAGGGAGATCCACAATTGCTGCGATTTCAGCGAAGCTGCACTCTGCAATTTCTGTTCAAGCCGAGTATGCCGCCAATGCCAGCAGGGACAGCGTACCAGGTACGACGAGACCATGCGTGATCGCCTGGTTACTGGCATTCTCGACACGGAGACACGCCATAAGCTCCTTGCCACTACCGATCTAACGTTGGAGAAAGTCATTAAATTGTGTCGAGCGGAGGAGGCAGCCTCTCGGACGAGCAGCAGTATCCCCGGCACTAGCTCCGTCAATGCTGCTCGGAAAACAAATTATCAGCGGTCAAAACACGGCAATAACCCGCGACAGCAACAGGCGTCCGCCACGCCATCGCAATGTCCGAATTGTGGTCGCACTCCCCATGCCAGCAAGTCGCAGTGTCCTGCACATGGCAAAAAGTGTAGCGGCTGCAAGATTATTGGACATTTCCAAGCGGTGTGCAGAAAATCCCGCAAACCGGCTGACCAGTCCTCGCAGCGCACGCTGGGACGACTACAGCTCCGCCGCGCTCAGTGTGATGCATCTCCTACGGTGCCAGTCGACACGCAATTGTGCACTGAAGCTGACGCTACCTCCCTGGAATGGATCCCCGATACGGGAAGTGACATTGACGCTATTGGCGTCGATCAGTTAGCGCATCTCGGTGGTTTTGTGGAGAATCTGGCCACAGACCATGATAATGTGCATGCTGCCAATGGTGAACGTCTCGTTTCAGCTGGCAAGATCTCTGCCACCCTCACCATTGGCTCGCTCAAGCATGATAGCACCATCCATGTGTACCGTGGACTGCGTGAACCCCTGTTGTCACGCCAATCGCTATACGCCTTAGGCCTCTTACCAGACGGCTGGCCCAAGCAAGTTGCGCGTGTTTGTACCAGCAGCACACCACCTCCAACGGCTCCCGTTGTGACGACCGGTCTCGTGAACAGACCTGACCCTAGCAAGCTGGCGCAGATCCGTGCTGACCTACTGCGAGAGTTCGCAGACGTCTTCGACGACACGACATTGAAACCCATGTGTGGCAAGCCAATGGACATCATTCTCGAAGATGATGCGAAACCTCACCGAGTCTACACAGCTCGTCCTATCGCACATGCCTACCGTGAGCAGGTGAAAACCCAGCTCGACAATATGGTTGAGGAAGGCATCATCGAGACAGTGTCAGAGCCGTGCGACTGGTGCCACCCCATTGTTGTAGTCGACAAGAAGAATTCTAGTGAGAAACGTCTGACTGTGGACCTTCAGTCTCTCAACCGACAAGTGAAGCGTCCCACCCACCCCATGCAGAACGCACGTGATGCTCTCTCTGGCATCGGCACAGCCCGGTGGTTCACCAAGTTTGACGCCCGTCATGGCTATTGGCAGGTGCCCCTGTCTGAGTCTGCCAAGTCTCTCACTACGTTCATCACGCCGTGGGGTAGATACCGATTCTGCCGGAATCCACAAGGTCTTGTGTCCGCCGGCGATGAGTACAACCGCCGCACCGACGCAGCTTTCGACCGTTTGACCCATCTCATCAAGGTGGTGGACGACGGCCTCGTTCACGATGAGTCATTCTCGGACCATGTCGCTCACGTCCGTGCCGTTCTGACCCGTGCACGCGAACACGGAATTACTCTCAGTCAAAAGAAGTTTGTCTTCGCCGCTGCTGAAGTCGAATTCTGTGGGTTTCATGTGTCGTCCAACGGATACACCGTGCCAGCTGACAAGACATCCGCTCTTCAGCACTTCAACCTACCCACCAATCGTACCGACCTCCGTTCCTTCCTCGGTCTGGTGAATCAGTGTGGAGAATTCACCCCACGGATATCCGAGCTCGCAGCTCCGCTACGTCCGTTATTGAAGACCACGAATGAGTTCATGTGGGATGATGTCCACACCGCGGCTTTCAACGCCACAAAGTCTGAACTGATATCGCCGCCGACTCTCTCGTACTACCGTGCTGGTGACGACCTTCGGCTAGAGACCGACGCCTCTGCCCTGAACGGACTTGGGTTCGTGTTATGGCAACGCCAAGATATCCAGTGGCGCATGCTGCAGTGTGGCAGCCGCTTTCTCACCGACGCAGAGACACGTTATGCCGTCATAGAACTGGAGTTACTTGCTGTGGTTTGGGCTGTCCACAAGTGCTCCCTCTTTCTGTCCGGCAGCCGATTCGATTTGTTCACTGACCACCGTTCATTGGTCCCGATTCTGAACAAGTACACCCTGGATCAGATAGAAAATCCACGTCTGCTACGCCTCGCACTGAAACTCCGGTCGTTTCAACTCGTCGCGCACTGGCGCAAGGGCAAAGAGAATGCGTTTGCTGATGCACTGTCCCGTAACCCGGTCGACAAGCCGACCAGTGAGGAAGAATTCGGTGAAAGCTCAACGCTCTCAGCACCAGCCATCAGAGCATGTCTCCGCCAGGACGAGGATGGCCGAATTGCAGACCTCCGGCACTGCGAGCTCTTGGACGCTGCCCGTGCCGATGATGACTATCAGGCCCTTCTCCAAGCCGTTCGTGAAGGTTTCCCTGATGATCAGCGCGCCGTCCACTCAGCTGTGAAACCGTACTTCACTATCCGCGAGCATCTTTCAGTCGACGGTGATCTTGTCCTGAAAGGCCAACGTGTTGTGGTCCCGCGTACCCTCCGCCCACGTGTGCTCCAGGATCTTCATGCCTCCCACCAAGGCCTCAACCGCACACAGCGTCGAGCTCGACAAGTCGTATACTGGCCACATTTGTCTAATGACATCGCCCAAGTCGTTCGCAGTTGCGAACAGTGTCGCTTGCACGCTCCGTCTCAGTGTAAGGAACCGATGCGTGTCACCACTGACCGCCGTCCCACCCTGCCATTCCAGTCAACCAGTGCCGACTTATTTTCCTGTCAAGGCTGGGAATACCTGGTTTACGTCGACCGTCACACTGGCTGGCCTTGCATTGCCAAGATCGGCCGCACTGCATCTTCTGCCGATGTGATCCGTGTGTTCCGTGGCTGGTTCGCCGACGTCGGTGTCCCCAGCATCCTCACCACTGATGGTGGTCCGCAATTTTCACCACGTCGCTTTGCTGAATTTTGCACCCGATGGCAAGTTCAGCACTCCACGTCTTCACCTCATTATCCTCAACCTAATGGCCATGCCGAAGCCGCCGTGAAAGCGATGAAATCACTTGTGTTGAAGACCACGTCCGACGGTAACTTGGACGTCGATGAGTTCAGACGCGCATTGTTAGAATGGCGCAACACCCCCCGAGAAAATGGTCAGAGCCCAGCCCAAGCACTGTTTGGTCGACCATTGTCCTCCTTTGTGACAGCTCATCATCTCAGCTTTGCTCCTGATTGGCAAGCCAAAGCCACCGATGTTGACAAGCGCTCTGCCGCTCAGTCTGCCACCCAAGAACAGCATTATGATGAGTCTGCCCGATCACTGTCCCCACTTCGCATTGGCATGCGGGTTGACATCCAAGATCCGCGCACCAAACTCTGGCGCACCACCGGCGTGGTCGTCGCCATTGGTCGCAACCGGGACTATATGGTGAAGTTACCCAGCGGCCGTGTTTACTGGCGCAACCGTCGTCTTCTCAAGCCTGCCCCTGCCGTAGCCCCTCCCGCTCCGCCTGCAGACACCTCCCCGGCTGAGCCCGCAGCACCGCAGCAGCCTTGTGTGCAGCAGCCTCGTCGTAGCCAACGGTCTCGCCAGGCACCAGAGCGTTTGAACATTTCGTCCACAGCATCTAAGTCCTATGCTTGACTCTACATACCTGTACCTCACACTCTTGCTACAAGTAGTTGGTATTGGTATCACGCTTCATTAGTGTTTACTTTCTTTTCTGTCACTTCTGTTTTTTCCTTCTCGTTTATGTGAGATAAACAGCTCCGATTTTCCGCTTGTTTATCTCAGAAGGGGCGTGTGGTGTACCCGTGTACATCGTACATATTTGCACTCTCATGTTTCTTATTGTGCTACTGCATCTCCTTGCATGGACGTGCGTACAACCTTACAGCATACTACTCATACTATGCATGCATGTGTGTACTCCGTGCCCATAATCGACAGTGCATGTCTCTTGTTGCTGGTCAGTCTTTCCTTGGTAGTTTCCTGACGAGTCGTCCTCTCTCAGTCCTTCGTTGCATTATTCTATTTCAATATAACTAATCATCACATAGACTTGATGATACCACAGTGGCACACTTTGTTTTTTATTCTTTACTTCTATTCAGTACTCACATGGCCGTCTGCAACCAAATACAATCCCCTTCTCTTCTGTGTGTGTGTGTGTGTGTGTGTGTGTGTGTGTGTGTGTGTGTGTGTGTGTGTGTGTGTGTATGTTTGTGTGTGTGTCTGTCTCTGCGGTGATTCTGTGTACTTTGCCTGCAGTATCCGGCACAGGAAGTGAAGTCCAACACACAAGTCTTGATGTCCTCTCACTATCTTCCTATCATTGAAAGGTATACTTATACAGTCTGTATCGGCTATAGAGTGACCAGATATAAGAATATATCGGCTACAGTGATATTGGTACGAAATATCAAAAGCAAAACGTATTTTATCCAGTAAAAAATATCACTATAACCAATATTATCGGGTGTAATGATATATCGGATATTATGATGGCAACAAAGAATCGAAACATGCATAACACACTATTATTATTATCAGCTATAGTGATAACTTTAAAATACATGTAGCAATAATATCAAAGGCCCTATTTTTTTTTACTTTCTTCACGTTGCTTATTTTTATAGTGATACATGTACATGTACATAACAGAATTTTTTATGGAAATGCGGGCACTGTCAACTATGCAGCATGCTCATTTGTCAAAACGCCATGCTGGAACTATTTCCTTGCCTTTCACGTGTCGATCGGGAAAAAAAGAAGAAAAAAATCGATGGTATCGCATATAGTGATGCATCGGTTATAGTGATAAAATCACGGAAATCAAAAGGGTACGCTATAGCCGATACAGACTGTACTGACAAAGTACACCATAGGGTGTGCATGCGTGTGTGGTGGGGGAGGAGGGCACGCGTAGGGAGTCGATTTGTCCATTGTACGAGCGATGCTTTTGTTTAGGATATTGTGCATGTGCTTGGTTGATACAAGTACCAACGGCCGTAGTTGTCACCCCATCGCCTCAGCAGCCTTGTGTGGGCGTGTTGTTGAGAGGAGTGGTCTTCATGTTTGTAACGTGTGCTTGCTCTCTGCTGTGGCTGTGACGTTTTTGCAGGTTGCGTTCGCAGTTACATCAAGCCCGGTTTATTCTCAAATACACGCCAGAGCCTATGACCGATGAAGAGTTCCGCAAAAAAATTGTTCAGTCAAATGACTTCTACGAAAGCTGACCTTAAAACTGCTTTCGCAAAACGCATATTTCTTGAAATTACAGAACAAGGATAGTCAAGGCTTGTTTGCTGCTACTTAAAGTTTCATGCTTTCGCATTCATTAGGCAAATTATAAACACTGACATTGAAAATTAATATATTCCCCTCCGTGCATGCCTAAAACTAAAAGTCATACATCCCAGATAACAAGTCTTGCACAAAAGTTCCATTTTTCATTATTCTCCTATTTTGCTCAAAGAAATCTGGTATGAAACCTAGGCCTTCCATAAAATGAACGAATCATACTTTTCATGATTTTCACTCTCATTTTTTATGCTTAGCAGCTGAGCTGACTTCAACACAAAATTAGACATACACGTAGTGACATGGCTGCGCTAAGACTTCTGATGCTACAGTGGAAAGTTAATTTATTCTGAGTTAAGAGCATTCTTTTCACTGTGTTCTATCATGCTTTAAAATTTAGAAATGATGGGGTAGTTCATCCTGCTGATGACGATGATCTCAAGTTCTAAGTGACGTGTTGGGTTCATTGGGCCACGTGTCCGTAATATGCTGGCTCTGCAGCAATGTTACTGTGAGGTTATTGTGAGCTGGCTGCAGTACTCTGTGCTGGTGGTGTTTGCGCTGCTGCTGCTGTTGTTGTTGCTGCTGTGCTGGTTGTGTCTATTGCTGGAGGGTCGCTTTCCGGCTCTTGGTCACCTTGCTCCTGCACTTGCTCTGCATTCTGTTCACCAGCGGGTGGGGCGGAATGAGATTCGGGATCTATAGTAACTAAATTTCCAGTGCTAGTGCCAGTGGCATGATCACTGTCGGGCTTAGTAGCTCCATGAGGTGTGCTTGTTTCCTCTGGGGCCAGCAGGAGACTACTGGTGCTACCTGTGGAATCTGGAACAACGGGAGCATCGGGTAGACGGATATGACAAGACAGCGGTGCTGATATCGCTGCGACGTCCAGTGTCATGGCGCGTATGAGCTCGGAGTCCAGCGTGCTGGCCGACATCACGTTGCCCGTTGCATGTAGCAGGGATTCTTTCGGGAAGAGGCGCTCCACAGTAGCCTGAACAAGGGGCACCAGAGTATGAACATAGCTAGTGCAAAGACGAGAGAAGACCTCGGCTTCACTGTCAGTTATGGACGATGATTCGGTCTGGTGGTACGCCTGCAGGCTTGTGGCTACGGATGACAGGCAGTGCTCCAGGCAATCCACCACGTCTGGAGCGATGGCCAAAGGTGCACAAGGGCGTAGCTCATTGAATGCTGTTGTCAGTCCATTGCTGAGCGATGCCAGTGGTGGAAACTCCAGTAGCTGATTCGGTGCAAGACCGACAGACACTCCTGTGCTACTACTAGCGGCCAGGGCTGATGACAGCAGGTTAGAGTGAGCATGTAGAAGGACCGATGACGCAAGGGTGTAGTGAGACAAAGCGGAGCGAAACGCCGACATTGCGGCATCCGTGTTCTGACGAAACGCTGTCAGTGCCGCCTCCTGGAACAGTGGCGGAAGCAGCGAGCGAAAATCTGTTCCAATTCTACCCAGCGACAAGCCAAAGTACATGCATTGGCCAAGTAAGGAGTCCAATCGGCTGCCAACACCAGCTTTCAGATCAGCGCCAAGCACTGCAAGGAACCAACTGACTTTCGTCACGAGCCACGAATGAAATATACCGCTGGCATTCTGCTGCGTAGATCCAGAAGATGTTGGCCGTAGCAGAAGCTCAGAGTCATCCGAGAAGATGGCACGGTATTGGGTGATAACATCGAAAATGTAAACTCGACACAGCTCAATGATCTTGGTGATGTGCTGGTACGCATTCTCCACAGGAACCGAATTCACCTGACTCTGGAACCATGAGTCGCGTGCTTGAAGAAATTTCAGTCGCAGTTCGATCTCGGAGAAAACATCCAGTCTCCGCAAGTAGCCTATGATCTTGAGGCATGCTGGCAGTTGAATAGCACCCCGCAGCTGCTGCAGTAGCTGCTGCAACATGAGTCGAGAGCAACTGTCCACTTCCGACACGATATCGGCAACAATGGAAATAGAGCTAAACTTCTGCTTCAACTGCCGCACATACGCTGACAGTTCCAGTGCTTCTTCATAGTAGCTGTTACGAACACAGGTATCCATCAACTGAGGAATCTCCAGGATTTCCAGCAACTGCGTATGTCTCGCCAGGGTGAGTGAGTTGATTCGACGGCGTGCATTTATGTCCTTGGCTGCATCTCCAAGGGTTTTGCATGCATCGCCAAATGTCGGCAGGCGACCAAGCAAACCATCCAGATGCCGTTCAACAGACTGGAAATCCTGAAACACCTCCTTCGAACACTCAGCAGTCTCGATGAAAGTTTTGTAGTTGTGAAAAGCCAAATCTCTTGTCTCAGACAGGATGTGAGCTTTCTCTTCCTGTAAACGTTCGGGCTCGCGCGCCAGCTTATCTACGCCCAGAGAAGTCAGCTTGTCAACATATGATGCTGCGTCTTCGTTGCCCTTCCATCGTTCTGGCATCAAGCTGCCAAACACAACTGATAGGATTTCGTTTGCGTCCATTATGGCCAATCAGAAGAAAAATGCTTCAGCCTCCTCACAAGCTCGTCTAGATTCACGCTACGTGGCCCAAAAGCAAAACGCTGCTGAAAGAGAATATGTTATCTACATAATCAAATGCACTCCCTCTACACTATTCTCCAGAAGTGTAGAAGAGTATCAAAGTCAAAGGCAAAGATATCATCGATATATCCTCAAACTCGACCAGCAATGTTCATTATTAATTTTTTGCATTGCCTTTGTATTTTGAATTGGGTTTTTTGCCATTTGAAAAAATCTCCCCAATTATGGCCTAGCCCTGCTCCCCCCCCCCCCCCCCCCGGTCCCCCTCGTAAAATTCTTTTTTTATCATAATAATGCGGATTTCCGCAAGTGTTTCCGCTATATCCACAATCGAATCACGGGACTCTGAGAGGTTTCCCGGACATAATCAAAAGGAAACCCGGGATTCGGCGATTTGGAGTTGTGTTGCCATGAACAACGGAAAATGGCTACACAACGCTACCGTACAACAAAAAGTGAAACTCAACTTTTTGCTTCCAGGCCATGCATCATCTGATCCGATTCAGTGGCAACAAGAATCCATAACCCTCGCTTGGGACTCTTGTTTGTAGTAATGACCGTGTGGATAGTTCTACAATCCAAAGATTAACTTCTGATTTGGAGCAAGAAGCGAAGGGTTCAGCTCTACAATCCAAGTGCAGAGTGCTTGAGAGTTGCCTTTACCTTTTCTCGGGACTTACGTTGTGAACTCCATTAGCAGTACAGGTTTTAAGTCATGGCTTCTTCTGTGGAAGTGCTGAATGTCGGGACGAGAGAAAGCCAACTTGCTATGGTGCAGACGAAGCATATTGTTGAGCACCTGCGCAAATCTCATTCGAATGTCGAATTCAACATTATAGGCATTTCCACGAAGGGTGACAAAGTCCTGGACAAACCTCTAGCCAAGATTGGTGACAAGGGACTCTTTACAAAGGAATTGGAGGTAGCACTGGCGGATGGTCGTGTTGACTTGGTTGTACACTCGCTGAAAGACCTTCCATCGTCTATGCCAGAGGGGATGCTGATTGGATGCATATTCAAGAGAGAGGACCGGAGAGATGCCTTAGTTATGTCGCAGCAGAATGTGGACGCGGGCATCAAATCTTTACAGGATCTGCCGGAAGGTTCCATTGTGGGTACAAGCTCGTTGCGGCGTATTGCTCAGCTCTCGTTGATGGCGCACGGTCGGTTTCGCTGCGACGACGTTCGCGGAAACCTGAACACGCGACTGAGAAAGCTTGATGCCGACGATGGTCGCTACGATGCACTGGTACTGGCTGCAGCAGGCATGGAGCGTCTTGGCTGGCATGATCGTGTGACAGCAAGGTTCGCTCCCGAGGAGATGCTGTACGCGACTGGTCAAGGTGCTCTGGCAATTGAGGTGCGGCAGGCCGATACCACCGTTCTGCCTTTAGTGGAGGCGTTGATGGACAGAACAACTCTCCTGGAATGCTTGGCCGAGCGTTCGTTCCTGAAGACGCTGGGTGGAGGGTGCAGCGTTCCTATCGGTGTGAGCTGTCAGGTGGCGTCGCATGGCAACGGCAAGGAGTCTCTCACCATGACGGGAACAGTGTTTTCTTTGGACGGATCCCGGTCGGTGGCGGACACTCGCACTGCGGAGTGGTCTGCAGAGAGTGGAGGTGGAGATGAAACACTCCGCGCTGTAATCACCGGCGTTCACGTCCCCGGCAAGTGGCAGCACGCGGCAAACCAGGTAGCTGCGCTCGGGGAGAGAATAGCCAATTCACTTCTGGAGCGCAATGCCGGCCCACTGCTCGAGGAAGCGCGTAGTGCCATTGCAGCCAGCGTAGCTAACCCATGAACTCCGTCAGAAGCCGCCTAACAATAGCAATCCGCCTGTCCGTGCAAAACTTTCAACACTCTGTCGTTTCTATCTGCCCTCCAGAATTATTTCCAGGGCCACTCTGGCCATAACATTTTAACCATGTTGCATGTGACACCATGCACAATGTGCTCGTGGCACCTCCAAGGTACTCTCTTTGCAAACTGGAGTTGGGGATATTGAGTCGACACCGTTACGCCGCATCCTCACTGTTATTTGGATTAATTTGTAAATCAATGTCTGCAGTATGGCCCATCGAAAGGAGTATGCTGAGTTATAGACAAAGCTTGTCGAGGGAAAGACACGAGTGGCGCTCACACCATTTTCTGTGCACACCGTCCGACTTATTTTTCGCAGCTATCATCTCTTGATTGCACCGTTTTCTCTCATATTCTCATGTCAAAATGATCAGAGCGTGATATGTTCGCCTTGATCTTCAGGTCTTTGGATTGTTCATTGCTGGCATGACAGCACAAAGTACTGGTAGAGCTGGTTAGTGTCTTGTCTTTGTAGAACATGGCCTTTAATTTAAACTGAGTGTCCTGTTGGTAATGATACCGTATGCACAAGTATCATACTGTAGCTACACTGTACATGTATACTCTGATTGAACGGTCGTGCAATCAGACCTGTGCATATTATGCATGTATTATGTTTAGTTGTCCGGTTGGATGTTTCCGGTTTGTGTCCAGTTCACCGTTGTATCCCGTGTGCGAACTGGTCCTCAAACGTCTTCGCATCTTCACGATACTGGTGCCGTAGCTCAAGAATACAATACACCTGTGCTGTGTGTGTGTGTGTGTCTGATTTGTTTGTGTGTGTGTGTGTGTGTGTGTGTGTGTGTGTGTGTGTGTGTGTGTGTGTGTCTGATGTGTTTGTGATCATTGACTGGGCTAGTGCAATTTACCCAGCTGCATGAGTGACTGGCTCAATATCAATAAATAGTTATACATGCAGACTCTTTATCAAAGTGGCAGTCTGGCTTTCTCTATAATTACAATTTACAAGTACATGTACAGTCAACTTCGCTTATAACGACACTCGGCGGGGCATCGAACAAGTGTCCTTATTCGCGAAGTGTCGTTATACCCGAAGTCTCATTATATGTATTACAGTTAGATGCCGGGGACTTTGCTCTGGGAATGGACATTCTGTCGTTATTCGCGAAGTTCACTGTATACCGTTATGAGCAGGGAGTGGTGAAAGGGCTCTCACGACTCCCTGCTTTTACATGTGCATACGATTAGTGGGCCAATGGCATGGCCCGGGAGAATGAAGTCGAAGACACCACTGCAGCTGTACTTAAGTTATGGTTGATACTTGAAATAATTATGGTGCGCTACTTGATGTACCAGCCTGCTATGTCGGATACCGCCAACCATGCATCGACTAGGCGCCAGGCGCGAACTGATGGTGTTGGTGGTGAGAAGGAGAGCTCTGTGCCAGAACTTTGCAGCTTAGAGAGCGTGTGTGGACAGGCGTGTGTTTACCGCCATATTACCAGGTGTGTCTTTACCACCATATTTATCAACCAATGGCATGGCCCGAGAAATTAAAAAAGTGCTGTTTCGTTGGAAGGTACTAGTAATAATAGTATTCCATTGTGCGGTGCGGTCAGGAAGAGGTGGGGGGGGGGGGGGAGGGGCTGTCCCCTCTGGCAATTATTATTTTTGAGACGCCGACATAAACGACTGTGTGTGAGCATAGCAGCAGTGTTATGTCCATCGAATAGTACTAGTACTAGTAGTAGGCGTCGGACAGCTGACTGAACCACGCATGGTCCATGGACTTGGTGAACGCGAACGGTCGGCGCGGTATGTTCGAGTATCCGTGGATCATGGCCCCGGCAGGTACAGAGTATGGACCTTTTTGGACTTTGGTATCGGCAAGCGCCGATACCAAAGCCTCGCAAAGGTCCCTAGGTCCGGCGGTCGGCGCCGCTATGCGAGTCTTCTTCCCCATTCGAACAATGACAGCGCGAGCGCGCGTCACCCCTGCCCCGGTCAACATGTTACATAGCATACTCAAACTCAAACGAGTCAAAGACATGCGTGTGCACGTGCAGCTGTCGATCGGTAGAGATAGATCTACTCTGCCTAGCACCTATGCCATGTATGTAATCAGTAATCAGGTAATGGCCTATCGATTATGTAGTCGGTAGATCTGCAGTCAGAGTAGATCTACGAGTAGATCATGACTCGTCCAGCGCTAGCGCTGCACTGCAGCTTGATCTCCATCACAAGAAATACCAAGGTTTCTGCCGATCTCTTTCATTTTTAATCTTGGATGGTCATCATGGTCATTTCGTGCTCCGTTTTTCAGACTGGACGTGATCTGGTGATCGACACAGTCACACTACATAATCATTGTATGTTCTTTTGTTAGCTGACACGTACCTTTACTTAGTCCCACCCAGGCAAATACTTCTGTGCTGCTATTTTTACTATTATGGACGTAGCTACTACGGCCGTGGTGCAACAATATTTTTTGGAAGGTTTTGTCCATGACTGTAGCAATTATTTGTAGGTGGTAGGTGACGATCTCCTACAAAACCAACTACAAAGCATTTGAGCGTGTCATCAGAACTAACTTAGTAACTACTTCAAACGTAGATTTACGGACAAGTGATAGTGCATGCAGTGCATGCTCGTCAAAGTCTGAAACAAGTAGGTTGCAACAGATCAGGATAGTGCATTGAGATGTCATCGACGCTGGGTTCTTCGGGTCGCAGCGGCAGCAAGGTAGCTGCCCCGCTACCAAGCGCTGCCGACGACAATGCATTCGATGCAGCGTCGGAGGCCGTGCGCGACGCTATTGCTGTGTTCGAGCTGATGCGCGGCGCAACCTTGTTGAAGGCAGTGAAAAATGTGAGTATCCCAACAGCCGTAATTCAGGCTCAATCTCATGCCATGGCGACTAAATGATAGGTCGATTGACCAAAGGCTGTTACCACTGACACTGACCTGTACAGACAGTATCACTAATGTGGTATTGATGCAGCGTGTCGTAGATCTACGGGCAACCATCATGGACAAATATCACTTTGACTGTGACATCCACAACATTAGGAATTTCATTCCAGACTAGCGTTGAACATCAACGGCACTAAAATTATTATGTATTTCTTCAAACTACACGCAAAAGACACAAAGAAGGTTTGTAGTAGAGTTTGGTGCAACTCCTCTTTGTATTTCTTCCAACGGTGGTTCTAATAAACACCTACCAATACAATACATGAACGTGCTAGAGTCGTCAACTCATCCATACAGCTTGTGAGATAAGGCGTTCGGACCCAATCATGTCGAGATCATAGTAGCTTTTCATTTTGTGTATGGATTCACTGGTGCCAAAGGACACAGACGAAATGTCTCACTGCTAGGTTTTAGGTCTTGCAGGTGAGGCGGTATCTCCACGCCGCTGCCCAATGTCGTTGAGAGGGCCCGGCTGAGCAAGTCTGCAAACCCCATCATTTATCGCTAGGTTTGTCACGGCCGCATCAGTGAATACATGTACTGGAATACTCTAATTTCAGAAATTTTCGGTGCTCAATATTTTCGGTATGAGGGCAACAGGCTAGGTTAGGTGAACAGAAATTTTCGGTACAGAGAAGCAGTTCCCTATTGGATTATGTGTGTTAGTGTTTGTTCGGTGTATTGAAATTTTAGGTATGAAACAGACGCACCGAAAGTACCGAAAATAAAAGTACACCGAAAATTTGTGAAATTACAGTAGTTTAGATCCGTCTTTTCTTCACTGTGGGCCGTTAAAGTCATGTAGCCATGTAGATGTGAACCAGCAGAGGGATGTGACTGCATAGCTGTCCGATGGCATAATTATGTCCGGTAGGGATTCATGATCCCAGATAGCCCTGGCAGTCCCCTGCAAGTCCAACGGACACAGCAGTCATTCTGCATGGTGGCCACTGAGAGCCGCTTCGGCTGCGCAATACATGAATGATCAAATTAGACCAAACAGCTGTGTACCATGCGGAAAGCGGCATAGCGATTTATACGCGTCAGTGATTCATGCAATTCATTGTGTTATCTTCACGTCTGCTTTCCTTCCTTCCAGGGCAAGCCTCACTTCCGTACGTTCAGCTTGTCAAAGGGTACGTCTTTTCCTTAGTCCGTCGCATTTTACCGGTTTCGTTAATAAAGTTCCTGTTGATTTACGTGAGATCATGAGGAAGCACATATCAACGAGTCTAAAAATGCATGTGTGCATGTGCTATGCACTATGGCATATGTATTCCCGCAGCCTATTGCTATGCCATATGGTGATGGACAGCTGCAGCCGCTTCACGTTGCTTAGCACCCAAGATTGATTATGCGTCATCAGAGTGTCCCAGGCATGCAGTAGTCAGGAAGTGGCCACGCGACTCAGCTTCCCTGACTTTAGGCCAACACACTACACTGTGCAGGGTTCTAGCCAAAGGGGGGTAGGCCGGGGGCGCACCCCCTGTGAAAAAGTGCCGCCCCCTACTCTTTTTCGGATTTTCGTGTTTTTTCATGCAATTCAACGAAAATGCAGTCGAAAGTCACTATCAGATGGTTCATAAAGGCACATTTGTATGGGGCGAAGTCGGGAATTTGCCCCATACATTGCATTTAGCGTGGCAAGACAATATTGGAAAGTGGAAAAATGGGATACGGGGTAACTGTTTTCCATGCCGCCCCCCCCCCCCTCCCCCTCTACTATTTTGACCTGTCTTGAACCCTGATATGATGCATGGATAGTTGAACAACCCAATCTCAACTAGCACAGCAATCTCTGCAATGCCAGCATTAAACTTAGTTTAAATCATAAATGGTCTCCTGGAATACCTCACTGTGACCATCACACGTAGATCCACTCACTAACTTAGCAGCCTGCATGTGTGAGCTGGCCATGTTGTGCCATCACGAGTCCCCGGGTGCGCTGGGTCGACAGCCTTTTCTCACGGCGCAGTCACAGTCTCGTGACGATCTGTCGGTGTTTGGTTTTATCATATCCTGCTCAGATTTGACACGCTTGACTTGGGTGTCTCCAAGCAAGAGCGCGGCTGATGCATCTGGTAAGTGGTATGTGAGTGCAAGTACTCGTATATGTGCTAAGTGCACAGCGCACTTCAGGGGCTGGCTCTGCAGCTCAGTACATGTATTTCGAATGGAATATCAGCTCATCCACTATTCGCTAAAGCTGTCTTGTGTTGTTGGGTTCCGTGGGTTCAGAATGCAAGACACTGGTATGTGAGGCCAGTCCACTCTCCAACGGGAATCGTGTTTCTTCGAAGCTAGCCCATCCCATGATTTAGATGCACTTACGTCATGTATTGTGCTGTACCAAGAGTACATAACCCCCCAGAGTGTGCAATGCCTGATCCAGCTCTGCATAGGGTCTTAGTCGAGCGTAATCGGATCTTTGCGTCATAATACCGTACACATCTGAGGGGAACCCGGGGAGTCGTGGGTACTCTCTGATCAAAAACAACGATGCCCTGCCTCGAGACCGGCCTTGCGCTGGTGTGGAGTGTACACATGACATCAGAAGATCCGATTCCACTCGACCAAGACCCTATGCAGAGCTGGATCAGGCGTTGCACACTCTGGGGGGGGGGGGGGGGGGTTATGTACTCTTGGCTGTATGCATGCATGGGCTGCTAAGTGTGTGGCTGCCTTGCCTATGATCAAGAGAACACGGACCAGAAGATCCAACTCCGTATGCGGAGTTCAGGGAAGCGGAACTCATGGTTTGCAGTCTTGCACTGTATGATTACGACCGGTAACATCAGTTTTCACCAGGGAGTAGTAAAATACAACTGCTTCCTGGTGTTCCCTAACATGATTGTGTAGTGAGGTAGGCGATGTATTGTACTGTCCCCAAGTCGTATAACTTACATTACATGTGCCCCGCTACTGCAGTACTGGACTGCGAGTGTGCTGACGCTGTGTGAAGTCTCATGAAGAACTTTGTGTGGTAGAATTTTTATCATCACTTGTTTGCGTGTTGGTATACTGTCATTCTCCTTCCTTGGTCCAGTGCTGATAAGCCAGGTCTCAAGGATAGTGCGTGGTCAAACAACAAAGGTCTTTGAAAGCAACCCTATTCCGGAGTACAGCGTAAGTCACTTAGTTCGAAAGTTACAATGTGTGTGTGTGGGGGGGGGGGGGGGTGCAGGTGTTTGCGCATGTGCGTGCAGTCAAAATAATTCATGTTTTCATTTTCAATGTCGTCTCAGTGATGTCTACCAGTGAAATCAAAGTTTTTGAAAACAGTACAGTTAATGGTCCTGCTTCAACTCAGTGTCCAGGTGTTGGCCAATATGCACCGGAAACTTGCACTTCCTTGCTTCGTTGCACTGGGTCCTCTGTGCACTGGCTGTGAACCCAACCCACTCTTTCTCCGGCATGATGCTACAGTACAGATATGCTTTTGGGCTGTGCCTGTGCCGCTTTCATCCCAAACTTGTCGGGGAATAATTAATGCAAACGTTTATCTTGCTCATTGTCGGTGGTAGTTCCTCTGGTTCACCATTGCAAGTCCTTACTGACGTTCACCTCGCTTTTTTTGTTTCTCGTCTGGCACGCAGCATTTGTCCTTATCCCTGCTGTATGACACAAAGAAGTCGCTGGACATTGTGTTCTCCGATCAGAAAATGTACGACATCTGGCTTCACGGCCTGCAGGTCAGTGAGGACTTAGTAGCGCTTTGCTAGCTAGGAGATCTGTGCTACCAAAAAATTAATATTTCTTGGTGAGCCAAGGAACTTGGTGCTCCTTGTGTGGAATTAATTTGTTGTGAATACTCACGGTTTCTTTCCGCTTGATGCAGGGCTCCGCAGTGGAACACCATTATATACATTGATGCTCACCTCACCATGATCTTTGTGCATCTATACCCCACCCCACCCTGCCTGAAACCAGACGACTGCAGATTCCAGAACCGGCGAATCAAGATGCCGAGCCTATGTAGTTGTCGCCACTGTACTGCCGTTTGTCTATTATATGGAAAGCATTGGTGAGATTTTACTGAGTATTGGCTAGGTGCATCAAACACTATAGCGTCCTGCTGTATAACTTACCACTTCTTTCTTTTCTTTTCTTTTTACCTCAGGCACTCGTCGATGGCTTTTCAGACATCAAAGCGGTTGCTGAAGTTGCTAAACGTGTAGGATCAACCACCCAGTCGGAGAATGTAAAAGTGAAGGTGAGCTGGCCCGTTCGGGCAGTTTCAGGGATATCTGGGGCAGCAGGCCAAACCACCCGCAAGGCTTTTTACCAGCAATAATTTGCCTTGTCTTATGCTTACAGTCCGTATTCAGCCACTCCCTTGGCCTTTCCATGCATGTTGCTGTTCATTCCGACAGTACAAGCCATGCAATGTGTTCTTGTAACGCGGCTCGTATTCCAGTATGCTGCGTACATGCACATGACTGTATGTAGTTAGAATTATTATTCTTCAAGCGCTCACGGTGGATATTTTCAGTTGGCCCTTTTTATTGGTGCCGCATGTGATTTTGATTGCTCGTGCAGGTTGCATTTGATACCCTCGGCCAAGCTAAAGTATCTTTCACGGAAGGTAAGCCCAGGTAGTGAAGACCTCGCCACTCTTAACCAATATTATTATCACCATGCATGCCGTTACGGTACTTTTAATCCTTGCTATTTCAAATATCTCATTCCCCCTTGTACAAGTTACGGCTACGTGAATGTCGGCAGTTTACGCCCATACATATTGGTGTTCTATAGGGAAAACCTAAAGGGGTTAGAACTGTTTAGGCTACTACTATTCCTGCATCATGGTCTTTCGACAGTCAAAGTCTGCCAGTATCCGGTGCATGTGGCTGCTGAGCCGGTTGGTCTGGTGGGCCGCTAATGTGTTTAGTGGTTGTGCTGTACGATGCTCTGCAGAGGCGTGTGACATCTACACGTGGGGAAGAGCACAGCGCAGTGTACTCGGTCATGGCGATGAGAAAGATCAGAAGGTGCCGGAGGTGCTCGTGCCTCTGCTGGGCCGTAACGTCAAGCTGATGGCACTGGGAAAGCTGCACACCATAGCATTGATTGGTAAGGCTAATGGCGTAATGCTACACTATGCAGCTGGTCTGGCCTGTACAATATAGTGTGTAGGAAATGATGTGGGGGTTATTGGGACTCGAAAGCCTCCCCCCCCCCCCCCGAGAACATTACAATGGCAGTGCATTTTGTTGCTCTCCCACATGTTGAAGTAGTACATTGTGTAGTATGATTATGCCATCCTCAACCAGAATTGCAAACTTATCCCGATGATTGAATGCGATTCCACTGATCACTGATTGCTCTCATGCTCAACATACCCCTTCCCAATTCCAGTGGTAGTGCTTTTCAAACCCCTTGCCTATGTCAAGCGTATGCTTACAGTGGCCGCTTTTCCAGTGCAATGCCAATACCAATCTTTCGTTATTGCTGGTTCAGCAACTCTGATATCTACTTCGAAGTATTGGCTACTGTATAGGCCGCTGAGAAAATTTCGTCGGTCAATAATTTCGTCCAACTCCTAAGAAACTTGGGAGTTCGTCCGGTTCTAAATTTCATCCATGGATCATAACAGTGTATTGAAAAGCAGGACAAATAGACATTCGTCCGGCATTTAATTTAATCCAAAAGCTCCTTGGACGAAAAAGACGAAATTAAATTCCAGACGAATAGTTCTGCTTGTACAGTATATGATCAGGGCCGTTTTAGAATAGTATGCCTTATCAGGATTCCGCCTGTGCTCCGCACGCACACACACACACACACGCACACGCCATTTGTTTGCTCAGAGTCGGATGATGAAGACGGCGAGATCTACAGCTGGGGATCAGGTCAGTACGGTCGCCTTGGACACGGCAATCTGCACGATCGCTTTCTGCCGTTGCGTGTCGCCGGCGACCTCTCCGGCGTTGACATTGTACACATTGCATGCGGAGAGTTCCACTCGGCTGCAGTCTCTGGTAAGTCCTGTACTAACTCCGTTAAATGGGTGCAGCTTACGTGAAAAGGGTGCTTAGCTGCACTTGACTGAAACGGAGAAAACGCATGATAACAGCAGTTGAAGTTTGAACTTCCATATATTTGTGGCTTATTAAAGACCGCGCACAAAAACCACCGCCACAGCATCATTTCTTAATGGGGGTTTCATTATAAGAAAGCTGGAGGGGCATGATAACTCAAAACCTCCAAATTTGACCCTAACCACCCTTTTCACGTGCTCTGCACCAAATATACAATTCTGAATGTCTTGCTCGTGGTGTTAGCCAAATATTTGGGCCTACCCAGGAGTAGGCCTTGGCGGATAATGCCGGCAGAAAAATTGGCAGAATTCGGTACTTTTTCTGGTAAGTTTCATGCATGTTTGGTATGTGGATAAAGAAATGGAGCAGAATTCGAGGAATTGCCCGCCATAAGGTTTGTATGGTTCTGCCAATTTCGGTGCAAAAAAAGCAGAATCTGCCACCTTTTCGAGCATTATCCGCCAAGGCCTACCCAGGAGAAGATAGGTTTCCAGAGAGAATCTTTGTACTTTACACCAAAAAAGCACTGAAGGCTTGAAGTGGGAGAGATTACTATTCTAATCCATCATTTGGTGGCTACATACGGTAAACCTGGTTTTAGCGACCTCTGGGTTTAGCGACCACCTGCTCTTAACGACCGTGTTTTCCCGCATGATGCACTGACAGTTCCACACAGACACTGTGTGACCTGGTTCTAAAGACCACCTGGCTTTAACGACCGCTTTTGCTTGCACCGTGGGGTGGTCGCTTAAACCAGGTTTTACTGTAGTTATAAAATTATAAGCAAGCCAAATTAATCGAAAAGGCCTAAGCCCAAACTTACGGCTAATAATAAATACCGGTAAAGAACAACTGAGTCTATGTTACTAGTTAATCAACATCAACTAAAATTTGTCTAAATGGTTTGTTTCCATAGTAAAAAAAACTATCAATGTGCTGTTCACCCAACTTTACCACTTAGTAGGTCCTCCCTTTGCCTTGATGACCGCCTTCATGTGAGCCAGCATGGTCGCAACGAGTTTTGCGCACTCGTCCCTGCTAATCTTCTGCCATGCCGCCTTGCACACTTCCCACAGCTGCGTTTCTGTTGATGGGACTTGGGGAACATCATGGCGGTGACGATTTAGCATTAACCACAACTTTTCGATTGGATTGAGGTCTGGTGACTGCGCCGGCCACTCCAATATGCGGTATGGGCGGTCCGCTGAGTACGCCTTTGTCGCGTGCGGTGTGTTGTGGCCGTTTGGGTCATTATCGCACAGAAACACACCATCCAAACCACCCAACACATCGATCATAGACGGCTCCATAACATTCTACAGTGTTCCTTGATACTGGTCTGCTTTCATCGTGCCTGTTACCTTGTAGGGCCGCCCGACTCCGTTGCCGGCGAAGCAGCCCCATATCATTATGCAGCCACCACTATGCTTCACTGTGCCAACAGTACATTCTGGCAACAGCTCTTGACCTGGTCTGCGACAGACATACACAACGCCATCTGACGCTCTCATGTTAAATTTTGACTTGTCGGACCACAGCACGTGCTCCACTGGTCCACAGTTCATCCTTGGTGGGCCTGTCGTTTCTTCATGTTTTTCTAGCTGATGTATGGCTTTTTCGTGGCCCTGCAGCCTCTCAGGCCAGCTTTCGGCATGCTGCGACATACTGTATGACTCGAGACAGGTTTGCCAGTGCTTTTGCGCCAGTCTCTCTTGAGCTCACACGACACAGCCCTCCTGTTGGCCGAAGACATAACCTTCAGCTTCCTGTCTTCACGATCAGACCAGAACGAGGCTTATCCTTGCAGCTCTGTGTGCTGCGAACCTGGCAACAATTTGTCTTACTGTTCGAGCAGACACGCCAGTGAAATTGGCAACATCATACGACGAGAGGCCATCATTTTTCATCTTCACTATCAGCTCCCTCACGTCAGAGGCAAGTTGCTTGGATCGACCCATGGTGAAGGAGAAATGTCAAAACAGCAACCAAAATTTGTTTTCCTTGTTGTGAGGATCACCACGTGTTGCGCAGTTGAATTTCCCGCCAGTTTTGCGTCCCAATAATGTGTACAGTACGGAAAAGAGTTCGAAAATTTGGCCAAATATTTTGCCTAGTTTTTTAATGATTTTTACGTGAAAATTTGTTTTGAAGTGCACGTACACAGTCATGTATCTCGTTCGTTTTCATCCGGCTGGCAGCGGATTTGAAGATAAACAACCTGCCAGCACCGCCGTATCATACCCAACCCCAAAAAAATTTATAGGTAGGCCCCAACCTCTGGCCAACACGTACATGTATATGTCGAATGCTACAAGGGGTGTGTTGCGCGTGGAAGTGCACGCGTCGCTTTTCAGTAAATCCCTCGTGAACACATGGTCAATTGAGTTGAATGCAGCGGGGACAACCCTCGCGGAATGTTACTGCACTTATTGTCTGTAGAGCAGTGCTGATATCTTATAATCTATCTAGTGAAGTGTGGATTACACGTATCCGCCTGCTTTCAAACATCCACACTTCCTTTTGTGGACTACTGCCGGGGTGTGTGTGTGTGGGGGGGGGGGGGGGTGCATGATAAGCAAGGGACTGCTGTACCACCAAGTGTAAGCAGCAAAACTAGCGTTAGACATTCGTTTGACTGCTGATTACAAGGAAAAAGTGTACATCATGTATGGATGGTCTAAAATGTAAAACGAATGCAAGCATACTGCAGGGAATACGGTCCGGCATAATCAATGCATTGACTGGGCAGTGGATATGTCATAATTATATTGTTTTCTTTTTTTGTCCTTTTCATCATTCTGTGTTTATGTAGACAAAGGCGAACTCTTCACATGGGGTCGGTCATCCAGTGAGCCCTGTGGGCGACTGGGCTATGACTGCCCGCAACGCTGCTTCAAACCGAGATTGGCCAGCAGTCTTGCAGGCATCACAGTGTCCTCAGTGGCGTGTGGCACGCATCACACAGTCGGTAAGAACGCTCAGCAGCGTTTTATGGGGACTATGTGTCCTTGCGGCCCTTTGCGTGCTGACAGGGTGGGGATATGCTGGTGTCCGGCCGACTATCCCTGGAACGGGACAGATTAGTTTTTAAAAGCATGGGTATGGCCGTCATTCACTCCGGGGACTAAGAGTGTGATCAGTTTGAGACATGCATGCTGGTTGCATCCTGGCTCTTTCCTGTTGACGTTGCCACTTTCTACTGCAGTAAAAGTATGGGCACCCATACTATAACATTGTCATTTCAACGTGACCTCACTGGTGCTTGCCGTCCATGAGAGGATGACTGCATGCAGGACCCGCCGAAGGCAATTTATGATTGGTCTGGTCATACCATAGTCTTTCATTATTTGTGCATGCTATGGCGGGTAAACATGCCCTCCACAGCAGTGTACACACGTTGGTGGTCAAAAAATTAGTCCGGTGATGACCTGACCAACCGCACCGATTCCGACCGGCCTGACATGTACTGCATTTGCCCCATTTGCTGTGTGCTACTGCAGTGCTGACGGAAAGCAATCAGTTACTATCGTTTGGCGAAAACGAAGATGGACAGCTGGGTCTCGGCCATACCAAGTCCGTGACCGCACCGCAGCAGATACAGTTTCCAGCACCGGTCGATGTAGATCCAGACGCTCCGGTGCCCGGCATCACAAAGGTTGCATGCGGCACGAGGCACAATGCAGCTCTTTTTGGTAAGCGCTACCTACGTGCGACAAAGCTCCTGGACATCCTTTAGACTTTGACCAAGTATTGCAACGCACAGTGACATGCAATGCACATCTACTAGTTTTCCTTCTTGTAAATTCTCCTTTAGTATTGAAAGCAGTTTAATAGTTTATAGTAAGGAATATACCTTGTTTTGAAAGGGTCTTTAGTTCCTATCCCGTTGTCATAGCATTGTGCACAATGTGTTCTCTTTGTCGCTACAGAGAATGGAACTGTATTTACGTGGGGATCCAATGAGTTTGGCCAGTGTGGCCAAGGGGAGCCAGTCAAGATCCTGGCACCTCAGCTAGTGGAGGCGCAGCATATGTAAGTGCTTCACTACATTGTAACGCTCTCTGCTTGTATTAGATGATGCTATTGCTGGGCCAAGAGGGTGGTGGCGTTCCTGCGGATGCGGAAAACTGGGCCTTTAGCCGAGTCTCACGCGAACCGTGAATATATATATTTTTATATTGCTGGGCTACATGGTAAACTGTTTGAAGAGTGGCAAGCTGCGTCCTTGTACACAGCATGGCATACAAGCAGGAATTTCCAACGATACGTACTATTTTGTCAGTTGTACTTGAAGTAGGACTTGTCTTGTGGCCAAGAAATTGCCTTGAAAGCTGGGAGTTGCATTCCTCACTTGTCACACTTTGACACCAAAGAACCGCATGATTTATACCCTCCTTGGCAAAACCTGCAGTCTGAGAGCTGCCGCCCTCTGCACAACGCACATGCCTGACTGAATCGGTAATGCGTTGCACTTCCTGTGAACTCTTTTAAAAGTCACATGTCCTCTGTTGTTTTGCAGTGAATTTGACATGGCCGATGTAGCATGTGGAGACGCCCACTCAGCATTCGTCACCTGTAAGTGAATGGTGCCGCTGATTAGTTTTCATTCGCAGTACCAATGTGTCTTACGCTCTGTAGTATCTGTCAACTATTCTCAGTGGTGGAAACGGCACAGCCTTTCTTGCAATGGCGTGTTTGAAATGGCATGGCATTCTGTTATTGCTCACAATGATGACGAAAACTCACGTTGATGCTGGTCTAGCGCAATATGCCTCTCATTTCAAGCAATTGCAAGTGCGTGTACACAGTGCTACGTGAAGGTACTCGTCACCGAGTTGGCAGGCGGTTTGTGCTGGGCAGGCTAGAGATGCTACTTCGAAACAAAATGACAACACTCCTGGTGTGTGTGTGGGGGGGGGGGGGGGGGCAAGCACCACAGTACTGATAATAGTGTAACAGTAACACTTGCACATGGTTTCCTCGGAGACAAGAATGCCATAGTGCTAACAAGAAGACTACCCACTTCAGGCTCTTCAACAACATCTGGACAGTTTTCACTACTGTAGTATACTTTCAGGTCTTATCGTCAGGTGAGATACAGGCAAGATTAGCTTTCAGGCCTTATCGTCAGGTGAGGTACAGGCAAGATTAGCTTTCATTCGCAGTACCAATATGTCTTTGGCTCTGTAGCTCCTGTCAACTATTCTCCGTGGCGGAAACGGCACAACCTCTCTAGCAATGACGTGTTTGCACACTGCAAGCTGATTTAAGGCTGTTGTGTGTGTATTCCTCTCCCTGCAACCGGGCACAGGCGGTGGTCTTGTTTTCACGTGTGGTGACAATACCGACAGTCAACTAGGATTGGGCCATTGCCACTGCAAGCCCGAGCATCGCGTGCCGCAGCCGTTCTCCATCGCCGGCATCAAGGTTGTGCAGGTGTCCTGTGCGTACAGGGCGACTGCAGCGCTATCAGGTCAGTGACATGCCACTGCCTCATGCCATACCGTGGCCGGCACTTGCAGTCCTGGGCCTGGAGTACCGCCTCTCTAGACCATGCCCGTTTTTTTAGTTTTGCCCGTACAAGAGGCTTTTCAGTTTTTCTCTCTGCTCTGTCAGCACAAAAAATGTAAAGCTCCATTTCAGCTGTCAGTACAAAGCATGCGATGGGTTCATATTCTTGGTATGTGTCAGCCAGAACAGCAGTAGGGTAGGCACACCGTCTACATGGCCACACCCTGAGGAATGTAAAGAAGTGAATTGCGACTCTTTCCGAGGCATGCAACTGTCAGCTGGTACTCTTATGTTCTTTGAATTTCGTGTGTGCACTACAGATCAGGGCAAGCTGTACACGTGGGGTTGCAACAATAATGGTCTGCTTGGTCATGGCGATCTTAGACCCAGGTGAGTACAATTGCGACCTGCAAAATTCACATTGACAGATGTAGCATCAAAAATCCTGACAGCAGGGGCATTTCAAGGTACTGTACTGTGATGTGCTTGGAAGAGTTCTTGAACTTGTTATAGGCTCAGGTACAGAATGGCTCCTTCTTACTCTTTTCAACTCATGCAATATATTGTCGGTTCTCACACGAGCGTTGATGTTACAGCTGGGCTAATGCGAGACAACCTTCCGTAGGTCCAGTTGCAAGTATCGGTGCAGTAGTGGCACCATGTAGACACTTCGACTTTGTACCGTGCACTGTGTATGATGTACCGGTATACCCGCTGTTTGAAACACTTCACTGGTGACTTTCTACAGAGCGCAGGCGACTGAAGTGCAGGCGGTGTGCGACAAGCAGGTACGCTCCGTGTTCTGCGGCGCCGAGCACATGGCCATCACCGTAATGCGCTCCTGGGTGCCGGACGACGAAGCCAAGCAGTGCATGATGTGCAAAAAGAAGTTCACCACCGTCAGACGGCGGGTATGTTGCCACTGAACTCAAGTTGATGCTGTGTTTCTTTGGAATAGTTCTCACGTTATAGTTACATGTATGCATGTGCACAGTGAGATGGGTATCCTCAGTTGCAAAGACAGTGCTCACCATCAGGGATGCACGAGTAACTCAGTAGTCAAAGAGCAATGGTGAACCAAGAAAGACTTTGTGTGACATTGTGAGTTTTGTGCTCTTGAATTCATCAGGCAATTAAATACGACCTACATGTACCGGTTTACCGTTGCTCTTTGACTATCGTATGTGCATGCATGATCTGCAGACATCTAGCTGTTTTGACTTTGCTAGGTCTCATCGGAGGCGCTACTAACGCCACGTCACTAAAATGATGCAGGAAATTTGCTGTGACAGCAACCCATTCGAGTTGCACACTCTGGGTTTCATGTACTCTTAGTGCAACCTCCGTCCAGTACTGCGACGGCAGAGTTTCACATCACGTGACGTGGATCGAAAGGTTACGCTGGCAAGCAAGCAGGGTTGCGCGTAACCCACTCGTACCCTGTAGCTTCATGCACAAGGTGCACGTAATGTGTACAGGCTCGTTGCGTGATGTGAAGTTCTGCCGTCGCAGACCCCATATCCTGGAGTTGCACACTCACTATCACGATGAGCAGCAATGAAAGAGAGACAGACAGAGCAAGGGGTGATAGCAACACACCAGGGAACTGTCAGCTACATTGTAGTTGTGAAAAAATTAAAAAAGTTCACGTTGATCCATGCGTATTCCTGAGTGCACACTGTGGGCATGTGTTGTGCGACTTCAATATCTTTACTGCATCGTCGTGAAAGCTGGTTCTACTTGCCTTCCTGTTCTGTTGGTGTGTCCCTTTTCTCATGCAGCATCACTGCCGCCAATGCGGAGGCATATTCTGTGGCGCATGCACGACGAAACGGTTCCCATTGTTGGACAAGGGGTACAATGAGCCGCAACGTGTGTGCGACAAATGTCACGCTTTCCTGTCTCAGAAACAGTCTAAGTAGTTCCTGTAAATACACCCAGAGCTATGTTTACCGCAACTCATCCATCAACAAAGGCGATTGCTTTTTTTTCTTAATGAGAAGACAGATATTTTGGCTGCAGGTCAGCCGGTTATGCTTTTTTATCTTGCCGATATTTTCAGATTCTATTTCCTGTGCTGATTGTTGCGGGTCTGGTGTCAGAATGATTTTATTTCGTCCAACCCCCCAATCCCCAAGAAAGCATTCGCCACTTTTGTTCTACTTTTCTAATTATGTCCGTGAGAGGACAATATTCGTTTCCGAAAACGTCTTTCTAAACGTAGAGGTGAAGGTTCGCAACGAAACACCAGAGTCCCAGTACTCATGTTCTCTCCATTGAGTTTTCTTATATTTTATAAATAATTATACTTACTACAATTGCAGCAATTTCGATGTACCACCCTTCCTCCTACAGAGTCCATAGAAAGGCCTGGAGCTCCAGTGTTGTACATTTGGCCTGTATGGATGCATTGTACCTTTCACCACGATCACTTGACCTGACTGCACTACTCGCACTGCAGTATGCACACAGGACAGTGCGAATGCTTTTAAAATGCTTTATACATGTAGCTACGCGTTGCCGTGTTGACGTTGGTGACCGGTGGATACATCATGTTTCACTAAGCACCAAGAGGCATGAGCAGGTCTTCTTTCAATAACACATCTCCGCAGCGCGTTGTCAGCGATGCGGAAACGCAGAAATCTTGCTTTGCCAATGGCGAGCTATGGTGATGTGCCATAATCGGCCGGAGAGTCCAGTGGTGGCATGGTGCTTGAAGTGAAATCATATACGCAAGGCTGAATGCTGCTGCCATTATCATGTTCTTCTTCCAAAATGGCTAGATGCAATGCATGTGTATGCATGTTTATACCTCACTCCATATACACCCACAGTCTTAGGCATGCCCTCCCAGTGGTGTATATCTCCTTATACACCCGACTAAGGGAAAATGGCAGTAGTTGTCGGCTAGGAACAAGCCATTAGGAGGCCACACACCGTGCTTATGGAGAGGTATAAATAATTATTATAACAAAGGGATATGTAAAAAGGCGACGTGGAGACAATAATCTTAATAATGCAATGAATATAACTAAATGCGCACTCATATCACAACCATGCCCATGGGGACGAATCATGTATTCCAGAACGTTTTCTTGTCACAATTATCAAAGAAAACGTTCTGGAATACAGTCATGATTCGTCCCCATGGTTGTGATCATGATGAGTGCGCATTTAGTTATATTCATTGCATTATAACAAAGGGACCTCGTGTATATCGAGATATACACTTGGTCCCTGGCCCTTGTTATAATCTATACATACCGTATTTCCACAAATAGTAGGCCGGTCTACTATTTTTTCAACCTCGCCCTAACCCGGCCTTATAATCGAGGACGGTCTTGTATTCGAGGACGGTCTTTTATTCTTTCAACCCAGTTCGACCCCGGTCTTCTATTTCTCGCCACACACAGTTTTAACCCCGTTCTTCCATTTTCTTCTACACAGTTTGAGCACGGTCTTCTATTTTTTCCACAGTTTGAGCACGGTCTTCCATTTTTAACACAAGAACAAAGACTCATTTAGTAGGCCCGGTCTTCTAATCGGAGACGGTCTTTTATTTTTTCAATCGCCCCCTGCCCCGGCCTTGTAAACGAGGAAGGCGTTGTATACGAGGACGGCCTTTTATTTGCGGAAATACGGTATAACAAGTCAACATGTATCTCATACATAGCTCCATAATTATGCTATTGTGTTCATCTCCAAACCAGGGCACATGTAGCACGCAGACGGCAGAGTACTTGTATACGGCTCGATTTCACACATTCAAAGTAGTACTGTCACCAGTATACCGGTACACGACTTTCGAATTCCGGTTATGGGCGCTTTGTACTACAGTACTAATCATCATGACTACAGACTAGCTGACTGTGTACCCAATTGCCAAGTAAAGTCTTACTGGTTTACATAATAAACCACGTAAAATCCGACTAGCACATCTGCTTACTACTGCAATTTACTTCGAGATCGAGAGTCCACCACCCAACGCTCGGCCTCCTTAGCTTACCTTCACAATCATGTTCACATTTCTCTCCACACAAGCCACGTCAATAACACCACAGGCACAGTGCATGTTGGTTCAAGAACTTGAAGAAGTGGCTTTATCCGCCAACGCCGAACACTGACAGTCCACGTCCACATCGACTCGCGGACAAGAACTCTCCCAGCTTTCAGCCTCAAGCCAAGAACTAATTACTTCGACGAGCATGCAGCTAAACTTTAGCCTAAAGACTCACCATCCGGTAGAAACCGAAAGTAACCCATGGCGTCTTGAAAAGAGGTATTTCACTACTCTCTGATTCGAAGGCTATGCGCTACAGTCGCATTTTCGAGCTTTCGCCTTGCTGCATACTTGACGTATATCTACTCGGACCTACAACTTTTGTACTCTACTTTTTTGTACTCCCTGGTTCAACCCTGCACATGGGTACTCCACCAAATAAGGCCCGCGGTCCATGTACCTGCGCGCGCTGACTATCGCGATATCTGCGCGCGGGGTATGGAATATCGATCATCCGGCCGGATATCTGGCCACCACATATTTAGCCAATTTCCCTGGAAATGATTATCTGCAATGCATATTGGCTACATTCCGACCGGACTGTGCCTTTCCCACATTTCTTCAAGACATTTCTTCAAGACATTTCTTCAAGACATTTCTTCAAGACATTAGTTCAAGGTACCGGTAACGTAAGTGATCTCTATTTTTCAGGTGGGAAAAGAAGGGAAAAGAAGTCAGAAAAGTATTTCCTCCAACCCGCAGTTTCAAATGGTGGGGTCAGGGCTGGCTTTTGAGTCAAAAGAGAAAGACCACATGTGCACAACAAGTACAAGGACTCACGTCACCGCGGTACTGGTACCGCGGTACGCGGTGTACCGGTGTGCTCGGGTTTTCGCCAATCACCATGACACTGTACTCTGTAGTGCGTACAAACATATCGTACACACCTACATGTAAGCTTTTCCTCGGCTTTCACCGGACTGCATCCGGATATCCATGCACTGCACTATGCACTGTGCATGGACAACACGACCGGCCCACGGTATAACGCGGTAGCAGGGTACCCGTACAATGTAGTCGTACAACACAACCGCAGAACTTGTACTCCTGGTACTGCTCGCCAAGGAAGTTGTGCTCTGTGGTCTGCACGGAGTAGTGTCGATAGACAGCTGGAACTGCTCCTGTCTTTCGTGTTGACGAAGGTCTTGTGGCAAGAACAAACAGTTGAAGGCAGGTTTCCGTGTTCACTTTTCTTCATTCTCGCCATTTCGGCCATAACAGGTGGCCTTTTACCTCATTTTACTGATCCTGACCTCCATCAATGAGTTGAAGTCCAGGCGGGAGTTTCTTCCTCCTTTCCAACAGCCATCGGAACGTGGTTAGTTGCTCTATATGTACTGCATGAGGAATGAAACAAGAAGACCGCTTTAATGGGAAACTGTGTGAGTAAGAGTGGCGACGAGAAGAAGGATGGTGAAGAGGAACACGAAGCCACTTTCTTCATTGCGGCGCACAGCAATTTGCATGAGCTGCCGTATGAAGTGTTCGATTGTATCCAGTTGGAGCAGTTAGAACTTCAGGCCAACCTGATCTCCGAGCTTCCTAAGGTAGTCTCGATGTCTGATGGCTTTGGCTCAGACAGGTACAGGCCTCTGTAGTGAGCCAGCTCTGCGGATGTTTGTTGTTTGCAGAAATTTTTCAAGATCAACACCTTGACCATCTTGGATTTGAGTGAAAATGACATGTCCGGTCTTTCCTCCCATATTGGCAATCTGTCACGTCTTATTGATCTCAATCTTAGCAAAAATGGTAAGTGTGTTGCTTCAAGCAAATTGTGTGCTGACGGAGAAGAATATCCAGGGCAGTTAGCATTGCCGTGCTGTATTTCCTCAGAGTTACAGCTGGTCGAAAAGTGTTTCCTGGATTGCACTTTGACCAGCCGTTGAAGTTCAATGTACGTATCTCCGCGTCTCCAACAGTCATTCTCACGTTTCGTGGAAATGTCACAGCGAAAAAGTAAAACTTGGAACTGTCCGAACATGCTTACTGTGTGCTATGGGAATAATTCCCTTGCCAGTCTGACAAGGGCGAACTCCTACACAATCTAACCAATTAACATTAATCTGTCGTGAACGAATATGAACATTAGATCTTGAAGTAACCTTCTCCTGTAGCTTGGAAACTGTAAAGCGACCCTATTTTTTTTTAAATGGCATTCAAAGCGCTGAAAAGTAAGTTGTGGTCTGTATTCTCAACAAAGAACACACTATGGCATGAAGATACCAATATAAGAAACTTTCAAACATTGAAGATGTGATTATTCCCATTTCTCACTGCCAAAAGAATGTGACAAGATAATGACTGTGGCAGTCTCCAACAGTCAGTTTGCGTCCATCAATGGAAATTGCCTCCTTACGGAGCCCTCCCTGCCAGCTCATTGCCACCTTCATACGAACAAACACCGTGAGGGCCAAGTCAAACTTTGGAAGCACGAAATACACCCAGGAATAATTCCAATTTCCATTATAGAGAGGTTCCGCAGCACGAAAATGCGCACACACTTTCGCTCTACGTCAAGTAGTGAGGAACTTCGCACGAACTTTCGCAACTTTGGACGCAAAACTTGCAGGGAACGCGAAATGAACTTTCGTGAGATCGGGTCGGGTCAGGACGAACATGCACTTGGCACGTGCAAACTACGAAAATGTGCAGAACACAAGGTTCGTGCGAAATTTCGTACACATTTTTCGTTTTGCAGAACCTCTCTTATATCTGCAAGATGGCAAATTCATGATTTGAAAATGCTATGGAAAATCAAGAATCAACCCTGTTTTTCTGCTGTGAAGAGATCCTTAGTGCTGATACGTCAGGGTCACAAATGCTAGCTGTCGAAATTAGAGTGCTTGGCGGCAAGGCAAAGAGCAGGAATCGAACAAGATGCGCCAAGGAGTGTACAAGTGGCACTGAAAAGGGCTGGAATCAGGGAACCTGTCTCAATGCTACTTGCTACACATGTCAAGGGTTGCGTTTGCAGTCTACACCGTGCCACAGTTGAAGTATGATTGTGATTATAACACGTGAGAGTTTTTGTGATTGTGATTACAATCCTGACAATTTAGCGTAGCGTAGTATAGCGTAGCATACATGCCAATGATCACAACTGATGATCCAATTACGCTCTTCGCACCATTTCTCTTCATAATCAGTACATTGGTGATGTGATGAGCAGTAGCCACAAATTGGCTGCTAAGGGAGCACAAACAAACGCACGTAGTGAAACCAGCAATACAAAGCATAACATCATGCAACACAGTGCGGACCACGACACTACAATCACAAAACAGCTAGTGATAACTTCCGGGCATACTTCTGGTGTGCACGCAGTTCATGTTTCATTTAGCAATATACACTGCCATCGGCACAGCCAGGTGAAATTTGTTGCACGTTCACACTGGTGTTTCACTGCGTAGCTGGCACCAAATGTTGTCTTTAAGGTTCCAATTTATCACTGCCCCGACCTCCAAGCGGGCTGGATAAAAGGACGTGTTCGCAGCCGTTCAGATCCCCAATTTTCTGATTATGAAGAGTAATGAGCGAACTGTCTCATCAGATTTACCAGCGGCTTTTATGTGACATGTACTACGTTGTCTTCCTCCCACTTAACCTCTCTTCAATCTAGATAACCTTTACATCAGGAACTTCAGACTTGTCGCCTGGCCCTGCTCAAAGTAGTCACTTCGCAGTGTTCCGATGAAATCTAGCTGGCGGCTGGTCATTGGCGCGTTGCTGCAGTGCTCAGCCCGCCCGATGTCCGCTGTGTTAGAGAAGCGAATAGTCACTCTGCAAAGTGACACGCGTACATAATCATTGGGTGAAAATGGCCAGCAGGCAGTTTCCAGTCATTTACTTGCGGTGCAGTTTGGAAGACCGAGATGCAACACCCGCCGATTTTTTGAACATTTTCAGGGGATGTCCGAGACCTAAGGCCTTTCTAAGTACATTGATTCAAACTGCATGCCTTGCCTATATGTGAATATGTTCTTGATATATTGTTGGAAGTTGTGCTTTGTGGTCAGGGGTTGGAGGGAAGAGTTTCCTGAGCTTAGCTTGGGGTGTACTTGTGGCTAGTCGTATATGATCACGAGCGGCCACAGAGCGTCCCCAGGCGTACCATACGATGCTCCTAAACAATTACTTGCGGCTAGTCCCTGCTGTTGACTTACCTGTTTTTCTTTGTTGCTGCAGCCCTAACTGACTTACCAGATTCCCTGAAGCACTTGAAATCCCTGCAAAAGCTAGATTTGAGTTCAAACCCACTTTGCAGGTTGGTACTTTAGAACCGTTTGTGAATCATTCCTTGCCTTACTTACGCGGCAACTTGAAGAAGCAACAGCTCATCATTGGTTCCGGGCAGTTAAATTCAGAGGGAGTGGACTGAAGCTCTCTGCCAGTGTGTCTGTGACTTTCTATAGTAGCATCGCATGGGAACAGTGTGTGTATGAATGACAGCATGTGTGTGTGTGTGTACGTGTGTGCGCGGACGCGTGTGCGTGCGCGGATGTGTGTGCGTGCACGGACGTGTATGTGTGCGCGAACGTGTATGTGCTATAGAATGCCTTCACAGTGTACATGCGTATGGTCGTTACTTTCTTTGGGGAATAAAAGTTGCAATTCCATGTGTGGCTAAGTCATTAGCCCATGTGTACTAAGGCCGACGGGTGTTTTCTGGAGTCAGCGATCGTTTGGTGCTAGTCTTCTGATCGAACTCTGTACTTCTGACCTAGTTTTGCAAACGTCCCTGTCTAAAGTGATTGTCAGCTAATCTTGTTCTGACGTCTTTGATGTTGCACTCTAGACTTCCTGATGGTATGTGCAAATGCAGTGCACTGACGCAGATCATTCTAAATGATGTCTACCTTGAGGAACTGCCAGATAACATCGGAAAGTAAGTACATTTGTGTTTTGCTTTCTCTCTCTTGCCTGTTCATAATATCTGTTTTCTTTCAGGTCCATGGTTCTTTTTGTGTGAAAATTTTGCTTTGCATTGTGCACTAATTTTAATAATTCACTCATTTTTCTGTCCAGTCTGGAGGGCCTAGAGGTTCTGGAGCTCCGAGAGAACAGTATCGAAAGCCTACCAAAGTAAGTTTGCTCCCTCACCTTCCCCTCGAGTCCCGTGCACACAGATTCAGATGCACACACACACACTACTACTACTACTATTGACAGCTGCCAGAAATGGCCACGCCGCTCCCCGAAGGGAGGTACTGTCAGAGAGGTTAGGAGAGAGGTAGGCAGTGCTTCAAATGGCGCTCCAGGTCCTGTCGCCTCCGAAACTGGCGTTGATTACTGACTCGGCAGTGATGTTCAAAGTGCTGGCGATCAGTCACTGTGGGGCGCTTCGGGCGGGGTCCACAGCGATGGCGCTTGATGCCAGCAGTAGACTTGAAGGTGCGCTGGCAGGCAGTACACACCGGGACCTCGGCAACAGGAGGAGTATCACTAGGCGGTCGACATACACACATACACACATACACACATACACACACACACAGACACACACACACACAAACACACACACACACACACACTTGCTGAGTGTGGCTGCCAGGGTCATAAGCCTCTTTTGGTGTTGCTGGAGCGTACAATATCTGTCTTGCCCCTCAAATGCAGCACTTCTCTTCAATACAATATATGCGTGCGTGAGTAATATCTGTTTAGTCATGACACGCCAAGCAAGTGGCCCTGTTGCTGTCGCCTTTTATTTGTCTAAGAGGAGTCACATTTGGTGTTGCTACTTGCAGGTCATTTGGAAACCTGATCAACCTCAGGCGGCTGGATCTTGGCAAGAATGATATGGAGGCGTTGGTAAGGCTTCCTTCTAAGTTATGCTATTGCCAGTATTGGTTGTAGACCTCGCCTTTGGACAGTCTTACAGTTTCAGCTCGTACGTAAACCTTGTTAATACATTGCTATCATGAGATCACAGCCATTGTCACATCCTTAGAGATCCCAATTGGTTATTCCACGTGGACACAGTGGCTGTGAAAGTGTACTTAACCAGTATGCCCGTTATCAGAGTACTAGTGGGTTTGTTGGCACACAATTCAAGTAAATTCTCGGTTCGCCGTTATTTGGACCTCTTTTATCGGCTTCACACGCCGACCAATGGAACATTGGTTGTAGTATTGGTTTCAGCATTGGTTTCATCAGGTTGACATCAAACACTAGTGCGACTGTAGCACGCATTCAGATAAAGGTATCCGCCTTCCTGTCCTATCTGGATACTTTTGTGGAAAGAGAACGTGTGTGGCTAAGAATCGTTGCGTTCAGCACTTTTAAATGCGTTGGCACCCGGACTTAGTCTTGGTCGGTATGTACACGTCCTTGTAGTAAATCTCTAATCCCACTTCAGTTCTGAATTCGTCCATACAATTCTGTTGGTAAGGCAGGCCAGTACATGTACTAGTATACTGGGCAATGTTTGAGAAGAAAACCGTAACATTAATCCTGTCCTTAGCATGCCATCTGTATATGCGTGGGCAGTTCACCAGGCTGGGTCATTGACTAACCATGAGTTCGTTCTGTGATGTCTGTTTTTCACCCTTGTGCAGCCTCCCACGTTTGCCAAGCTAGCAAACCTGCGGGAGCTCTGGCTCGACTCCAACAAGCTTAGTGCTCTGCCAGAGGTGAGAAAACTTGGTCATTTCTTCTATCATTCCGGCAGGCAAAATGGAAAAATTTTCAATGCACTTCTATGAAATATGTCGCTGATGAGAATGATGCAAGATTGGGTTATGACTGCATGTGAGAGCAGAACCTAATCTTCTGGACACCTCAAACGGCCAAAAGCATATCGAGATCGGTCAAAGTTTCTTACTGGTCAAGATTTGTTAATTTATAATCCATTCGAGCACTCTTGTTTTGATAGCGCGCACGTCGTTAGCATTTCATAATCTCTTGTATCCAGATGTTTTGGAGGTGACTGGCCAGCGGAAAGTGCCCATGGCAATTCGAATCGAGATTATACCTACTGGTAATTCCACTGACTGCAGTGGATCCCTTTAGTTATTGAATTGATCAGTGGTGGTGCTCCACAAGACTTTTGCGCCAATGTTTTAACTCTTTTTTTTTAACTTCTTTGTTCAATTGTGGCTTGTGGTCTGTTTGTTGAATAGAATTTTGGTGATTTGACGAATCTGGAAACGATGGACTGCTCGCTAAATGAACTGGAAATGCTTCCGGAATCACTAAGTAGTCTACCCAATCTCACCGATTTAGATTTGAGTGAGAATCAGCTCAAAGAATTGCCATCAGACTGGAGTAAGTTTTCAATTTTTGGTCATTTTATCCATGAAAAATGGCACCCATCACAACTCAGCAACTGGCTATTCTCCAGTTTGACTTTTGCTTTGTAACCTACGGTGCAAGTGCTACTACATGTAGTATTCTCCGGGGAATTTCTTGCCCTGCATATTATAGTTGTGCATCAGGTGGAAGAGTTGTCCATTGTCATGTGTTGATTTGCACCAGTTCCACCCAGCACTGTACACTCCTGTGTTACGGCTCTGAAAGAAATCGTCACGCTTCAATGTCTTCTCGTACTTGAGAATTGTGTTTTGAGAAATCGCATTGCTCTTGGGCGCCGTGAGTGTGCGTCGCACAGGGCATATCTAAATCTTTCTGGGAACCCTGCTTTATAGGTCGTGTGGAACCTTCCTTTGCTTTTGTGTTTACGCGCGTGTGATGTCACTCTGTGGAAGCCACCGCCAAACAGACATGTGTCTCGTACTCTCTTGTACTTCCTGAGTATTGTGCTGCAAGTGCAGTCTGAGTTCCCTTCGGAAACGGATACGATATTTTTTTTGTGCAGTCTGTTCCCTGTCCACTCCTTCCTTTTCGCATGCACAATACAGCACAACGTACCTCGGTCAAAGCTAGCACTTTATGTCTGAGGCCAATTGACAGGAACAGATGATACAGAGTCCTTGAACATCCTCTTGAAAATATGTTAAATCCAGGGTGCTAGTGCGTGGTACTGACGTGCCATGGTGCTTCATTTTCTATGTATGCATACATGAGCAGTAGCAATCAGCTAGCTCTTATCATCTTTACCCTGTGCACATTGTTTCTACTGCAGGTCAAACAACTAATCTTAATCTAATGCGATTTGACCGGAATCAAGTAGCAGAACTTCCCGTGTCACTTTGCAAGTATGTCTTCCTGCCACCATCGTATTTGCGAGTACCTCTAGTATTGGCTGCCATGTAGATGTTGTTTTCTGTATGGCACATTGAGCTTTTGTCAGGTGCCTTCCATAACAGTTGTGAGATTCAGGGAGACAATTTCAGGTGACGGGAAAGCAGAAACTCTAGTCCTTGAACACCCCAGTTTAGATGCTGACATTCCATCAGGTGTGTGATTGCAGTCTTTGCTCTCCTGCCGTCTGTGCAACACATGTGTGCTTAGTGGCATGTGAGTGAGTGGGTGGGTGTTTCGGCTAATCTGACCTGCTCTGTTTGTAGCATGATTGCACTCTTTCTTGCCTTTGCTCTTTTTCTTGTCCACAGATGTTCTAATCTAGAAGAGCTCTCATTTGTAACTAATGGAATTGAGGTACGGCCACGCTTGATTGCATGACACTTTGCTCTTTCTCGTGTTGCCAACGCTGCCAATATGCCACCCTTGTTGATTTGCTTCTTTTGCAGGGAATAATTTAACCGGTATCGCATCGCAGTTTGCTACACACTTTTTCTGAGGTGCGAAGCAACTTCAGAAATGGGTAGCAGAAACTGCGATGCATGTTGTGCTTTCACTATACCCTATGATGCACAGTGTGCATGCCAGGTGTGTCTCTTAGGGATGAAATAGATGCACTAAGCTTCGAAAGTGCTGAGCTATGCATCCTGGCACCAGGTTAGGTTAACAACTAAGGTGTTACAGTGTATTTGTGGTCTGAGCTTGCATTCCGATCAGCTCTGCAGAAAGACAATATTGTCAATGGAGGAAAATTGCTACGCAACATTTTTGAATTGCTCTTCAAGTTTGATTTTAGAACTTAGAAGTTGCGACTTCGGTGGTAATAGTCATGAAGTTGATTGTTCCAACTAGGAACACACGCTTCTTGCCGAACTTGACACTTGACTGACTCACGACTGCCATCCGGAGCACACGAGGAGCACGTCGCACCTTCCACTCGGCAAACCTGCAAGTAAGCACCACTCACAGCGTTGCGAATAGCTATACTGGCTCTCAACGTCTGTTTATCACAACTCCATGAGCGACTCTGACTCACGCTGCTACCTGGAGCTTCACGAGGTGTTTGTCGCGCTGGAAACAAAACATCTCTGTAAGTTTGTATCCCTGGTGATGGTTTGGCCTGGAGAGCAGTATATAAGTGGTGCTTTTCAGGCACAATCTTCCTCAGCCTACTCAAGCTCAACTGATGAGGGGTGAATTCCCCAAAACACCGTGTATTGAGCAGGGAGTGGTGCTTTCTTGCAGGTTTGCCGAGTGGAAGGTGCGACGTGCTCCTCGTGTGCTCCGGATGGCAGTCGTGAGTCAGTCAAGTGTCAAGTTCGGCAAGAAGCGTGTGTTCCTAGTTGGAACAATCAACTTCAAGTTTGATTTTGTGTAGCAAAATGTATAAGTAAATTATTCCCTGTTTTCCATTCCGGAAAGCAGCATTACATGTCTCTGATGTGAGCCATGCTCTTTTTTTGTCCGTTTGCAGACGATTCCAACTGAGATTGGAAATTTAACGCGGCTCCACTCGGTGTGTATGGATGATAACAGGATCGAAGTTATGCCGGAAGAGGTAATCACTGAGTGCATGCTCTACATGTTGAATGTTTCTTGTGGCAGCTGCAAGGCTCGAGCTTCCACATAGGCCGAGAGTAACGCATTCTTGAGATTTGCTGAACTTCTATTAAGTATTATACAACTGCTCCATGGAACTACAAAGGATGATGTGAGCGGTTTCAGGGTTTGTGAAATGGCAGCCCGCATTGCGATGATCATGTTCACTGTGCTCTGGGTATTGCCTGCAGGGGCGTACATAGGGCGGTTCCCGGGATGCCCGGGAACCAGTAAAAAAATTCGATATTAGTACGGATATTTTTGATCCAGCCTTTTCAGGCCCTGCGCTCGCAGTGCAAGTAAGTGCATGCAGCTGTGCAGTGCATGCCTAGCGCCTGGAGTCCGCGCCTGATGGCCAGACGGTCCGAGGTCGAGGACGGTGACATGACTAGCCCAGGTGTGAAAGCGGTGCTGGGACACAGCCTACTGAGCTGGGTTCAACAAAGTCTCTACATCGCCTCGATCTCCGAGTCGAATGTTCCGTTGCAGTTTGTTTTGACAAAGTTTGTCGTGTTTTGGACGATGCTTTCGCTTTGTGGAAAGGAAAAATGAAGCGTCGACATCCAGAGGGCCAGCGCTCTATTCAGAGCTATTTTGAGCAGCAGGCAAAGAGTGTAGCCAGTGCTAGTGGCGAAGGTCAAGAGATAGGTGAGAATGCAGACCGCGGCACCTGACTTGCAAGCGAAGACTGCATGCAACGAGCAGCGCTGAGGAAGAAATCGTCGGCGAAGCTGTGGAGCGACCGTTGTTGGAAGCTGCTCGATCATCCAAAACTTACTTCAGTGACATGGGAGTGTGTTGGAAGGGATATGTGTTGGAAGGGATATTCTGAAAGTCGACGTCTACAATGGAATCCAGTCCCCCGACATTTGCCGGACACGGAAAAGATTTCCGTCATCGACAATCATTGTGCGCCACCGAAGGCGAAGGATTTCATTTCCTGTGCGTGTCCAGATGGATGGCAAACAGCGCCACTTTCAACTATCCTTGTTAGAGGAATTACCCTGGGTAGTCTTTTGACAGGCATGCAATGGTGGCTTCTGCTTGCCCTGTGTGATGTTTGCTCCAGATGATTCGAAACTTAGGCAGCTTTCAAGACTGCATGCAATCGTCATGCTGAACAAAACATCCATGAAAACGGGGAAAGGTTCAGTCTTTTAAAATCAAAAATGCGTAGCAATGACATCGTCCAGCAGCTTGTGGATGTTAATTTCACCCAGTCTGAGGAGAATGTGCAGAAACTCCGTGGGATACGAAAACAGCACTTCAATTGTGTGGAATGTTGGTTCATCAGTTGGCATGGGAACCACTCCTGGAGGCGAGCGGCGTACGCCCCTGGCCTGGGCTCGTTATGTCATGATCTCACTGTTCACACTTTGTATCTGTTTCTTGTTGAAAAGATTGGCAAGTGCACAGAGCTCACTTTGCTCAGTATTCGAGAAAACAAGCTGACTCGTCTCCCGCGGACTATTCGCAACCTGAAGAAACTGGTGGTCCTCAACGTAGTCAGCAATAGGTAGGTATTTTATTTCTGTTGTCTGCGGAGTCATCGACTTCCTTCTCGATTTGTGCTCCTTTCTGATGAAGCAGTGGTGTGGCCTTTCTCTCTTTTTCTCTCCCTTCTCCCCTCTGTGTGTGTGTGTGTGTGCGCGCATGTGTGTGTGTTACCTATGCATGCGCTTCTGTCACTTCAGGAAGTTGTCGGGAATTTGACTTTTTACTTGTTTTTGAGTGAATACCCGCTTCATGAGTAATCCGTTTGTCTGTGTTCTTTTGCCGTGCCCAGACTCTCGTACTTACCGTTAGGAGTGCGTGCATTAAAGTACTCGGCGTTATGGCTTCACCCTAATCAGGTAATGGTCGAAAGATGTGTGTGTACTTACAATGCTATCTATCCTGACTGGCCAGTGTTATCATGAAAGCCTGTGTTAACGCTGCTACAGTCTATTATCCACAACTGGCAGCCTAACTTTGTGATGCCTAGAGTAGGTGGTGGTAGATTTATTTTACTTGTTTTGAAAGTTATTACATTCTTGTGATGGACTTTTACGGTGGTATTGAATATGACGCTTACCTCTGTATGCATTTCTTTTGTGAACAAACTGAACGTTTGGGTTTATTTTTGATGGACCTCAGAATGCGATTGCATTGTATCTGCATCGTATGGTGATTATGGCCATTGTGATTGCAGTCTTGCGCACCCGACGTCCACTCTCATTGCACGCATGTCCCCTGTAAGCTTGGCTCTGCTATCATACTCTTTATGTATGTTGTTCATTGGTATGTTTGATTCTGCAGAAAAAGCCCCTACCTCCGCTTGTGGAGAAGTCAGTGAAAACGAGAACAGTTTTGACATGCGAGCACTTGCCACAGGATACGCAAGAAGCTGCAGATGGTACGTGTTGTGTAGCACTTTCTGTTCTTGACAGTGGACATCCAGGTGAAATCACGTTCACGAAAAGCCCAGAGCTCAGTTTCTTTTGAATGGATTGCAGGCATGCTTTACTTGGTACACAGATTACAAGAGCATTGTACGAGCACCACTGGTACTGTACAGAATCATGGTAGTACCCCACCACCTTGACCCTTCTGCAGTCGGCTTTGGAGGTGGGGTGGATGAACAAGTCCTGTCTGTCGGTCACACAACACAAACATTGGCAAGGGCGTCGGAACCGCACCGCCCCACTTTTTCGGCCGTTTTTTTTTTTTTTTTTAGCACACTGCAACAAAGCGCGATGATCTCAGCGTAAACGTGGCAAATCCTTGCCCCGATCGTGGTTTGTTGCCGAGTCAAAAGTCCATGTACACTGAAATGGCACCAAATGCCTGGGGAGTGCTTGCAATTGGCTTCAATTTTTGAATTTTTTCCCGGGGGAGGGTAATGTTTGTCCCCGATCGTAGCTTCTTCTTGTTTTTTTTTGCAGAATCAAAAAGTCTTTCATTGTAGTTACCGTACACTGAAATGGCACCAAATGCCCGGAAATGCTTGCAATTGGCTTCAATTTTTGAATTTTTTCCCGGGGAGGACCCCCGCACCCCCACCTCCAAAGTCGGTGCGACACGCCTGATTGGTACACGTAAATGCATATTGCACCTTTTGCTGGCAGCCTGTTCTCACTTTACGTTTGAGCACACACAAGCTCTCGGATTCTTACTCTGTCCGACACACGTTGCACTCAGTCATACGATTGTCCTTTCCCTGGATGTCATTCATGGCAGAGTTCTCTCTCTCTCTCTCTCTCTCTCTCTCTCTCTCTCTCTCTCTCTCTCTCTCTCTCTCTCTCTCTCTCTCTTGACAACGGCTTCGAATCTGACTTGTGCGCTTCTATTTCTCTCTTTTTTTCCCTGAAATTTGCCACTTGTGCTCCAGTAATATCTCAAGGTCCAGACGAAGTGGTTGAGCTTCAGCCTGAATCTGCTGCCCCTGCAGCAGCAGCAGAACCTGCCGCTACTGCTGAACCTACCACCGAGGCTACAGTCGTCTCCGAGTCCACAGCTGAAGTAGCAGCAACACCAACAGCAGCAACAGCCGAGGTCACACCTGATGTGGCACCGGACGCTGAGGCCAAGCCGACAGAGGAGCCCGTTGCTGCAGAGGAGCCTAGCACCGCTGCAGAACCTGAGCCGACCACTGCACCGGCCGTCCCGACTGAGGCAGAGCCAGCGCAATCTTCCGTAGCAACACCGGCTGCAGCTACTACCGAAGAATCTTCTGCCAAAGAATCTTCTACCGAACCTGACAATGATAGACCGGCAGAGAACGGTGTGTCCGAAGCTCCAGCAACGGTAGAATCAAGCGAATCACAGCCTGCTGAAACGTAGAACTTGGCATATGACCGTTTCTGCACAAAACTCTACAACCCTGTGAAAGACCAGTCTTGCATACAGATCCTACCCCATACATGTTCCTAAAAAACTTCCTTGCTTATAAGTTATAGCCATTGACAATCCCGTAACTTACTTAGGACACAGCCCTCACTCGCTCTTCCACTTCTCTCCTTTCTCGCCCTGTCTTCTGTTTCTGCTCTCCTCTCTCCCAGTCCCATTTTGGCTGGCATAGTAATGATAGTTATAATTTATATAAATTCTCCCTTACCAAGTTGTCCGGAAAGGAGAATGGCTTGTTGCATGCAAGAATAAGGAGTTCTTGGGTCTTTTTCGAATCACAGAATTATAAACGCTTTACCAAGATATCATTTTCCTTTTTTGTTCTTTTGTTGCAAACGATGGTCAGCCTCTATACCAATGCAACTGATTTTGTTTCACTTGATATCTTTTTCTAGTCTTTGTCGCTGTTTTGCTGTTCTCATATAAATTGTCGTCTCTGCTGTTCCTCCTATTGTTCCTATTCTTCGTTTTCGTCCTCGTCGCGTGCTGAAAGCCTAATTATTGCTTTTTCTCAGTGCTGCTTAGTCTAAAGAAGAGCTGGTGTGCTACTTGACCTCATGATTCGTTTGAATATTGATTGGCATGGTTTATAATTATTGTTAGGTACCCTGAACACGCCGCTGTGCTGCTGCCCATCTCTGGTGCGATGTCATGCTGCATGTGTACCAGGCTCCCTGCTCGCATGAACTGTTGGTTGCAAGCAGGGAGTCGTAAAATATTTTACGACTTCCTTGTTGCAAGCAGGGAGCCAGCCCTACACACACACACACACACACACACATGCACGGTTATATGTGCAGGGCCGCTCTTTGCTTGCAAGCGTAAACGGTAATTTTCAATCTATTCAATTACAGTATTCCATGGTTGGACTTTCTGCGGAGTATGACTAGTTATTTTAAAGCACTGCACCGCCATTCATCCAGCATCGATGAGAGGGTTCATTGCTTCATGGGATTGTTCTTCAACGGCAATCCAAGCAAATGCGCCGCGACTTGCATGCAAGCTAGGAATGGGACAATCCCAAGCCTGAGTCGTGTCCTCCGACCGGGTCTCCCCCGGTACGCGGTCTGGGTACAGTCTGCATGACCGGCTCCCTTTTTTTACCCCAAACAACACTTCTGATAAGGTTCTTGGACTGAATTGAATGTGATACTGAAAGCAAAGAGTACTACGGTACTGCCTCGGAAATCCGGACTCTTGCTGAAATGACACTGTAGTGCAGTAGTGAGTCCCCACACAGACACTGGTACGACTCCCTCGCACTACATTGTAGCACTGTCATTCGGTTTCCGCAATACCATAGTGTACTCCATGCATGGTCTACTGTTACTTTGAAGCAGGAAATTGCACCCTCCTTGAACATCAGGGCCCTTCAATTCAGCGCTAACTTTCAATGTTCAAAAGGTATTTTACGACTCCTGCGTTCAACGACTGGACGACGCGTTGGGCGGACCGCGGACCCGGGTTGAGAGCGCGCAAAGCTAACCGGACCCGCGGTTAGTCATTGCGCATGCGTATTTTCCTCAACGCGGATGTGGCTTGGACCGATCGCAACTGATGCTTGTTCCCCTTGACGTACATAATCACGGCCTGACTTTCCCGAGCCTTTGTTCCATTTCGGCACTTTATCTTCATTTCACGTTTCCTCTGAGTTTCTCGGAGCCTTCTCATTTACAATGGCGGATGAACCCACTAAGGTAGCCGGAGGCGAAGAGGAGGAAGAGACTCCCGGGTACAAGCCTCCAGCGCAGAAAACTTTAGACGAGATCCAGAACTTGGACTCGAATGACGAATCCTTGAAGAAGTACAAGGATGCCTTGCTCCAAGGATCCAAGGACTTGTTGGATGGTAAGTGACGGCGACTTGTTGGCAGCTTGTAGCCTGTCGCTGCTGTTGCGCGAATGTCTTTTGTGCTACAGCGGTTCGAAGTTACTTTTTTTTGTAATTCTTCTCTTAGTTTTGGTTTCTTGGTGGTGTCGTGTTGCATTGCTTGTGTGTCTTGTACGAAGTCGGTCAGAAGTTCTTTCTGTTGAGGTTACAACTTCGTGAACATATAAAGCTGGTTCAATATGATGTGCTAACTTTTAGTTGTACTGGGCACTAAGGCAAGCCTAACCCAATTCCATTCCTTTCGCTGCCATGCAAGCAGCATGTCCATTTTTGCACTTCTGGGGTTTACTCTTGACATTTTGGCAGCACATTGGAGACCAGGTGGTGCTCGATGGGCAGTGTTGCACTTCCTCCCAAAGTGTTGCGTTGCTGCTGCTTTCGATGAGTGAAAGGCGAACATTACCCTGTAAAACTCCCGGCCAGCAATTTACCCAAATGCTCGCCTCGGAGGCTCCGATCCGGGGCATACTAGGTGTCGAAATTGCCTACCACCATGATGGGCACTTGGCGGAGAGCGTTTGTCTTACTTTAGTGTCAAATGGTTTGAGATTCTGTTGTCCCTCTGCATGCTGCACGACAGTGTTGGGTTGGTCTTAAATTACAATGTAATCATATGAAATGACCTGTTGCTGCTAAAGATTCAGCACGAAATTCCATATCACTTTAATTAGCAAATACTAGTAGATCTACATGGCAGCTGAGAGGCGCAGAGATAGTCAATCACCTTTGTCATCAGACGTTCGAGCATGGTCCAGCGTCGGCTAACAAACGCCTGCCCGTGTGAGTGCGCACCCGTGCGTGTGTGTGGTGTACACGCACACTAGCATACTACTTGAATCACCAGGCTGGTTGTCTCTTTCTACAATAATTCTTGTTCCACCCATGAAGCGCTTTGTCACACTCAAACTTCTCTTACATAATACATTATAATTTATCTTACACTGGAAGAGATCCTGTCTGCAGCGAAAACTGCTTTGCTAACACTAAGTCAGTGAGCAGCTGACATTATGTACATAACACTCCCACATCGACCTGAAACTGTCGTACGTAATGTTTTTGTCTTACATTAGACTGTCTTCAGTGCGATCGATTTGGCCGGTCACTGTAAGCTACACTGGTGCGACCTAACGAGGTCGAAATAGCTTTAGCTGTCCAGAGATCGACTGTCCTATAAACATGTGTGTAGTTCCGTGTATTGGAAGTTGAGTGTACACTTATCTGGCATTGCAATGCCAACAAACACGTCTGCAAGCTGTAAAGTGCTCAGTTCGGCGGGGGTGGGGAGGGGACCCGATGTAAGAGATGTTGATAGGCGAAGTTCTGCGGATTACTGCAATGCTGCACTGTACTTTGATATGCATGCAGAGGGTGGCAAGAACGTGATTGTCAAGTCTATTGCTCTCATCGTGCCTGACCGGTCCGACGTCGTCCTTGACCTTGCAGGTAAGCTGCCCTTGCTACAAAGCCGCAGAGTACCTACCGACTTATCGGAAATCTGCATCCGAGTTAATCTTGAATGTGTGTTCTGGCAGCAAATTCACAAACACTGACGTACAAAGTACCGTACTGGCAATATATGTTGCCGCGTAACGCAGGGGGTGCGGCGTAACGCGCGACCAGGCTAGTGCGACAAATTTTCGTTGCGTTCGTAACGCGCGTCCGGCGGGGTGCGGCGATCTTTTCATTGCAAAAAAGGCTGAAAACTGTGAAAGCACGTGTACTGCGTGGTGAAAAGTTCAAAACTGGACGCAGCAGAAAGTCCTGCAATAGCAAAAAAAAGACTGCGGCAATATGGAAACCTGTGTAACGGCTCCTGTGCGACTTTGCATGTAACGCCCTGCGTGCGGTAAACATGTGCCAATGTAACGCTTCATGGCCTCACTGCGACCATATATATTGCCAGTACGGTAGTGGATACGTCTTCACTGATAGTAGCTATCCAAGATGAAATTGTGGCGCTCTATTGCTTACACTTGTCCTTTGGTGCTCTGACGGCCTTAGGGTGATTGTTTCATGGCATGTGAAAAAGAGAAATGGCTCGAGGTTGCCTGCATGAGATTTGTGCTACGAAAGCCCCCCTCTTCCTTCTATCGAGCCACTTTGCCAGTTTTGTACGGCGTGCAATGGTTAGATGATGGCAGGCTCTTCATGCAGCTGTTTTGTATCATTCACCAAGACACAATTTGAACAAGTTTTGAAAAAACAGATACCGTAATGTTGCGTATTAAAGCCGGGCTTATTCCTGTAGAAGCCGATGTCAGGGCTAGGCTTCTACCGGTATTCACATCAGGCTTCTATTCAAACCAAGTTTTTCTATGTGTGTCAACACTAAAAGCAGACTGATGTGCCGACAGTGTAGCGTGAATATCAGGCTTGTATTCAAAACAGGCTTCTATATGAGATAGGCTTTAATACAAGACACGACCGTATGTACTTGGGCATGGAGGTTTTTTCATGACTAGACCTACATGTATATAACTGTCAACGATACTACATAGACCAACCTGCATGAGGAACCATCACTTTTGCAGCAAAGTAGAGGGGTTCTGCAAAACGAAAAGCGCACGAAGATTCGCGACAAGCCTTCCGAAAATTTGTGTGAACTTTCGCGCGAACTTTGTGTTCTGCACATTTTCGCAGTTCGCATGAGCCCAGGTGCACCTGGTGAACCAGATGACCACTTTCGATCTCAAGAAAGTCATTTCGTGTTTCATGCCAGTTTCGCGTCGAAAGTTGCGAAAGTTCGTGGGAAGTTTCTCACTTCACAGCGTAGAGCGAATGTTGTGCACATTTTCGTTTTGCAGAATGTGGCACATTCATGCCAAAAACTCAAATGATAGCAGAATAAGACACATGGCCACGATGAAAGCATGGGATTTCAAAAACACCTCGATTTGAAAGCATTTTACTCGAAAAACAACTCGACTTGAAAGTGCTGTCGGAACACCTCGATTTGAAAAGCATCACCAAGAGGATTTTATCTCACTATCCGAACTGCAGAGGCGATGCCTTTTGGTTACTGTACTGTCTGGTGCCAAAGAACTGGGGATTCAGAGTCATAGCCTACGCCGTTCTTATTTTTTATGCAAAACTGCCTCCATGTGCTTGGATATATTTGAGCCATCGTGTGCATAAGGGTATCTATCCTGCACCTGGTGAAATTCTTGCCTGTTCGTTCTTTGGCGCCCTACAGTACTGTAAGTATGGACTGTGGGAAGAGGGAAAGAATACCTGTATCAGCATACTCGTGTGCATGTGAAGCTTTGCCGTTATAACACGCCATCCAACAGTAATAATGCTCGTAAGGGCTCGATTACTATGCTACACTCCTACCTTGTTTATCCGGGCGGTCTGGGACCGATATTGCCCGTAACTTTGAAATGGCCGTGATTCCGAATCACATACAGTCATTTTGATGGGGAAATGCCATAGATATGGCATATGATGTCACTATTTCAACAAAAAGTGACAAAAGAGTAGTAATATTTCCACTGAAACTCGCCCAAAGGGTACCCAGTGTACTGAAATGCCCGTAACTCCAGGGTCCGGATAACTGAGGTATGTGTGTACATGTATAAATTGAGTATTCCTGTGATTTCGCCTTGCTTCAACATCTTCCTTATGACATCATATGTACATTGTTCTTGTTGTAAGTGTCTGCTTAACACATGCTTCACGCTATGTGCACTTTGCAGGAGACGTCACGACTCTCAAGGAGAAGCCCTTCGTCATCAAGGAGGGATCTTCATTCAGTCTCAAAATTACTTTCAGAGTAAGTATTAATGAGGTTCTGCTATACGTGAAAACTTAGGGAAATCGAAACAATGTGAATGGGTTAGAGTCTACGCCTTCGCGTGTTGGGGATCCAGATTTCCACGCAGGGATGAGATTCTCTACGTTGTGGCACACGCAAAGAAAAAGCGTACAGACCTGCTGTAAGGTGCCAACATTTCCTTTACGTTATGGGAACGCGAATAGTGTTCCCGGTATTCTTCGCGTTGCGTTCCCAGAATGTAGAGCTGAACATCACTATTATCACGACGGCAGCAGGGTATTTACTAGTGATGCAACGGATGGTGTTTTCTTCATATTCTCCCAACTATTGCTTCGACAAACGAACGAATATTCTTCTGATGTGCCTAAATTTTATGACTCAAACTACCTGTGGCGGAACACAGATCGGCATGCAGTCTACGTAAGACTTTCCGTAGATCGACTACATTTTTGCTAACGTAGTTACGTTATGCGGAACCACTCTAATTTCTACACTATCATCCTCAATACCGCTCAGGAGATCAAGGCTGGAGATTAATACCACAACCAAAAGTGAATTTTTCGAATGTTGCTGCCTGCTTTCGAAAATTCTTTCTGGTCTCGGTATTCTAGAATATTCGAATAATTTTGCGAACTTTAAATTGCTGAAAACTGCTCTGTGCTTTGATTTTGGACAATATTATGATCCAACCAGAGAGATACAGCTGCGAAAGTTTCTTATTGAGACCCAAAGTGTAACGTTTTTCGCTTTACGGTATCGCTTTACATGCTACTCCATACGATTTAACTTACCAGGCATCTACGGTATGCGCAGGCGATTGCTAATTACGTCGCGGGGAGCTGGAATTGTAAAAGTGCACTTTTCACTGGGATTGTTGTCCACATTTTCGAATGGCAACCTGCCCATATCATATATCCAACTTTTCATTCAGACCACCGGCCAGTCATTTGTAGCACTGTATGGTGCAATGAACCCTAGCCCGGGTACATTTCTGTCCACAGCCTGCCGGCTGATTTTAATGAACTTTAACTTCTTGGAAAGCTTTCCATCAGAGTTATGAAGTCTTATGTCTTTCTACCGGTATATGCAGTATACAAGTGTCTCGAGACGTCATCTGCGCCAGCTTCTAACCCAGATCCATCAATAATGTTTTGCTGCTAAATGATCACTCCATTCACATTAAAATTGATCATGTTACTATTTAAAGCTGATGTCATTTGTTACCACTTCTTGTCTGTCCTGCCTGTATATAACCATCTTACGGCTGCAATCTGTGCATTTGGAATGTGTTGTAGGTCCAGCGTGAGATCGTTGCGGGTCTGAAGTACTTGAACACGTACTACCGAAAGGGTGTCCGTGGTAAGTTGCATGTGTGTGTTGAAGGACATGCACCGTGAAGTACCGTTGATCTGCCCCTGTCGAATTTCTGCCTGTGATGCAACTTGGGTGTATTCAATGAAGTACGGTGTTGAACCGACGCATGCACTGCTGCACACAATGCGTGCAGGGTGAAATTGTTCACAATCCAGCACGCCGAGTCTGACCTTCCGTGTTGTTGTACATCGTACTGCACTTGACAGCCTTGATTTAGTTCCTGTCCCCTGCCGAAAACCCAGCTGGGATCCAACACAGCTTTTGGGCGGATCAACGGTACTTTACAGTACCGGGTAGGTCTAATAACACAAGCACAAACACGCACCAGGGTGCAAACTCCTATCCTGCGTTACATCATTGCTCTCCTCTGTGCGTAGCAGACAGCTGCAGATTGAACAGGATACACTTGTCTGTGATTGAGGATATACACCGTTCAGGTTTACGTCTAGGCTATAGCCTGGTGATACGACGAACTCCCTTCATGGCTAAGACGAAGGAGGTTATGCACAAAATAAAACACTAGCATACTTGCTCATAAACCTCCATATTCAAGGATTGATCACAGCCGAGTGATGTTAAGCTGTGTTCACAATCGGCGCGTGTACGCCTGAAACCACGCGTTTGTGCGTATTTTTGCTGACTTTTGGGGCGCTGTGCGTACGGAAATGCGCCGAAATAGAAATTCGAACATGTTGGAATTTTCAGCGAGTATCAGGCGCGTACCAGCGTACATGCCAGTCACTTTCACTCGCGTGGTCACAAATTTGTACTCGAAGCCGCCGCACGCCCTAAATACGAGTCAAATTGCTGTTCTTTTTGTGAAAGCCTGAGCATGTTTGGCCACATATGAACTGCAAGCGTACCGCGTCCACGCGCCAGTTGGGAACACAGCTTTACGCAGTATTTTCGCGGGATTACTCAATAAGCCCCTATCCGTTTATTTTGGCTACTGCCATTGGACTGTGAATAAATTGAACGAGAGAGCTGCAAATCGCAGGGCCCTCGCTATTCAACCATGCAATCGATCCTCTTTGCCGCTGGCTTATTGCTCCCAAGAACGAGGTGTCAGCGTAAGCGCCTTCATCACCATCAAGCGAATCGTCTGCAGATTGAAACGTAGTTTCGAGTTCTGTCGTTACGCGCGGGCATCAAATGATAAACACCTTTTGCATAGCTTCGGGAATAAAGCGCTCGTGATAAAAATGGTTCCTCCTGAGTTAATGTGATTGAAATCAAGTCCCGTACATTGTCAGTGACCTGTCTGTCAATTTCAAGTCTAAATAACACACTTTGTTTTGTATGCTTGCAGTGGACAAGGCTTCGTTCATGTTGGGAAGTTATGGCCCCAAGAACGAGACCCAGTCGTACACTACCCCAGTTGATGAGGCGCCAAGTGGAATGCTGGCTCGTGGCAAGTATGTCATCAAGAGCAAGTTCCACGATGACGACAAGAATGTCTACCTCGACTGGGAGTGGGCAATGGAAATCAAGAAGGACTGGTGAAGTGTCCTGCCGTCAACCTCGAATGTACATAATATTTGCCCTTCCATCCTGATCGCACTCTTGTATGCGTATGGCTGTGAATGCTCTCTCTTCTTTCTTCTATCACTCTTTTCTCTTTTTCTTTTTCTCCCTCTATCATACTCTTCCTTCTCTTGCACACCCTTTCTTCAAGGCCACTTTTGTTTTCTTTTTAATGCTGCTGGTAGTGTTATTTCAATCAAGTATCCATGGTTTCAATCAATGAATGCCTAACAAAGTGATGACACATTGCCTCATGTGTGTGTACATATTAACCATTTGTTAAGATTAGCACTAGAACACAATAATATTTTTCCCCATCACCAGATCATGCATGCCGACTGTGCACTGCGTATGTGTGTGCCATGCACACCGGCTAGATAGTGCGGGCCGAGAGGAATGGCTTTTCAGAATGCACACTGGCGACTGGAGTTACAGCGGTAGGCAGAGCAAAAAGTCGTGGATCATCACCTATCGATATTACGCTTTAGCTTAAAAATTGCTCTGTTTCCACACGCCATATCTTCCTAATACCAAAAATCTGCAATAGTGAAAGAGTAGCTCCGAAACATTGCAGTTTTGAAGTCCAACCTCAGAACATAAACCATACCCCTGGCAACTGCATACTCGCAGCGGAAACTGATTCAAACTTCACAAAAGGGGTTTTTCAGTACCTTTTGGACTCAAAATCCATATAAACGAGTAATCTATAACATAACGATAAGTTGATTGTCAAGGAATTATCGATCAATTACCGAGACATTTGTTGTAGTCGTTTCAGCCCCAGAAATAATACATTAATTTAAGTTTTAATAATGATTTGTAAGAAATGGTTTGCTCCCCACACCGGAGCTCGCGCTATTCCGCCGACTTTACTTGACACTTGACTGACTCACGACTGCCATCCAGAGCACACGAGAAGTCCATCGAACCTTCGACTCGGCAAACCTGCAAGAAAGCACCACTCCCTGCTCAATACACAGTGTTTCGGGGAATTCACCCCTCATCAGTTGAGCTTGAGTAGGCTGAGGAAGATTGTGCCTGAAGAGCACCACTTATATAGTGCTCTCCAGGCACAAACATCACCAGGGATACAAACTTACAGAGACGCTCCGTTTCAAGCGCGACAAACACCTCGTGAACACCAGATAGCAGCGTGAGTCAGTGTCGCTCCTGGACGGTGAGACAGACGTCGAGGACCCTCGGTCATTCGCAACGCTGTCACCTCCAAACCAACTAGTCGCAAGCCCGCGCTGGGCACAACAGTACGAAGTAGTGGTTGCGACTTCGGCGATGATTTGTAAGAAATGGTTTGCTCCCCACACCGGAGCTCGCGCTATTCCGCCGACTTTACTTGACACTTGACTGACTCACGACTGCCATCCAGAGCACACGAGAAGTCCATCGAACCTTCGACTCGGCAAACCTGCAAGAAAGCACCACTCCCTGCTCAATACACAGTGTTTCGGGGAATTCACCCCTCATCAGTTGAGCTTGAGTAGGCTGAGGAAGATTGTGCCTGAAGAGCACCACTTATATAGTGCTCTCCAGGCACAAACATCACCAGGGATACAAACTTACAGAGACGCTCCGTTTCAAGCGCGACAAACACCTCGTGAACACCAGATAGCAGCGTGAGTCAGTGTCGCTCCTGGACGGTGAGACAGACGTCGAGGACCCTCGGTCATTCGCAACGCTGTCACCTCCAAACCAACTAGTCGCAAGCCCGCGCTGGGCACAACAGTACGAAGTAGTGGTTGCGACTTCGGCGATGATTTGTAAGAAATGGTTTGCTCCCCACACCGGAGCTCGCGCTATTCCGCCGACTTTACTTGACACTTGACTGACTTTAATAATGATAGAAAAGAAAAGGACCAAGGAACTACAAAACTGCAGTCCCGGTACGTAGATCTACCTGTTTGGAAACTTTGTGCTATGGTCAGTATGGATATCATCAAGTATAATGTCAGGACCAGGGTCCTGACTGGTTGAAAATATAATAAGCGCTGGGCTTATAGTTATACATGTAATGGAGATATTATTAAATGCGGTATATATTATAGACGTAACCAAGAGTCCATGTACTCTTGACGTAACTTGTAGTTCCTTGGTCCTTTTCTGTTCTATAAAATAATAGTATAAATTAATCCTTGGCTCTCCATCCGAAATAATAATATCGCGTAAAATATCAGGATAATTATATGATTCTCATAATGCAAACCAAAACGGGAAACTTCAAATCAAGCCACCGGACCAGACAATGTTCCAGTTGCTGCTTACAAGTTAATCAACGATGAGATCGCTCCCTCACTATCCAAGTTGTTATCTGAATCTCTGACGTCTGGTGAATTCCCAGCTCCGTACAAGTCAGCCCATGTTCGCCCCATCCACAAGCGCGGTGATAAGTCGGTCTCCTCCAACTACAGACCAATATCACTGCTCCCCCATATGTCAAAGTTACTTGAGCACATAGTGCATGATCAACTCATACGCTACATCCAGAATGCACCACCCGCACTGCAACATCTCCCTGCGGAGCAATTCGCCTACCGCAAAGGCCACTCCTGCGAAGACTTGCTGACTTGTGTTACCAACGATTGGACGCTCGCCTTGGACAAGGGTGACTACGTAGTGGCTGCCTTCCTTGATATGTCAAAGGCCTTTGACACTGTCAACCACAACATGTTACTTCAAGAACTACTTGAGATTGGTATTGGCGGAGTCGCTCTGCAATGGTTTCACAGCTACCTTACAAACAGACAGCAGTGCGTGGTCACTTATAAGACTCAACAAGGGCAACCATACACAAGCAACAGAGGCGTTCCACAAGGCTCTGTTTAGGGCCGTTTCTATTTAACTTGTCCGTGAGGAAACTCCCCGCTGTGCCCAAACACTGCAAAGCCCGTCAAAATACGCAGATGATGTGTCTTTATACAGGGCGGGGAAGAATGTCCAGAACCTATGCAAAGACCTCACAGAGGACATCATCAAAGTAAAGGAATTCTTGGCAACGAGAGGTCTTATGTTGAACTCCTCGAAAACCCAGCTCGTTGTGTTCAGGCCAAAGTCGAAACCTCTTGACCCCGATGTCAACGTTCAGATTGAAGATGTCACCATCACCCCTAGTGCACACGTGAAATACCTCGGTATAGTTCTTGACGAACATCTCTCCTTTGGAGTTCACATTGCACAATTAGAACGTAAAATAGGCTGTAAGTTAGGAATGTTTAGAAAGGTCCGAGACCATTTAACGATCGATGCTAAGAGTAAGAGGGCTTTCTACATCTGTTTCATTCAGTCCATACTTGAGTATGGGTCTAATTCCTTTGCTCACTGCCTTTCTGCCTCCCTTCATGACCATGATGACCGTGTTGTCCGACTTAGCAATAGAGCGCTGCGTATTGTATTTTGCATGCCCCGCCTATCTGATGTCTCCCTTGTTCTTTCCCGCTACCATATCATTCCCTTGTCTGTCAGGTACCAATTCAAGCTGTACGTTCTAACGTACCGTGCGCTTCATGATCTGGCTAGTGTCTTTGTTGCTAACTGTTTCTGTCTCCGCTCTAATTCTACCTGCACTAGTTCTCGCACCCGCTCTCAAGTGTCCTCTTCCCTTGCTCTTCCGACAGCCAAACGTCGCTATGGTTTATTTTCTGTCACTTTCCTTGGCTCTGACCGCTGGAATGCCCTCCCAGCGGAGGTCCGCTCAAGTTCTTCCTTGCATACCTTCCGTAATTCTGTTCTTCATTTTTTAGGGTACCCTGTCAAAAGGCCTTAGGCCTGTGGGGATTGCCCTATCAAAAATTTAATAATAATAATAATAATACTTTAAAACGAAGGTAAGTTATGGGTCGCAACTCGCAAGTATCCAGCAAACACACATCCAGTCATAATAAGGCACTTGTCATACGTATCCGAACGTTTTCGGTCCCTTCTCATCAAGGATTATACAGGGAATGGCTCAAGTTGGAAAGACTAAAACTTTATATAGCGTAAAGATAATTAGATAACAACACTCGTGACAAGGTGGAAAATTATCAAGTTTAGCACGACACAAAACTCGAAGAAAAATAATTTTCCACCTTGTCACGAGTGTTGTTATCTAATTATCTTTACGCTATGTATAAGTTTTAGTCTTTCCAACTTGAGCCATTCCCTGTATAATCCTTGATGAGAAGGGACCGAAAACGTTCGGATACTTACATGTATGACAAGTGCCTTATTATGACTGGATGTGTGTTTGCTGGATACTTGCGACCCATAACTTACCTTCGTTTTAAAGTATTATCCGCCTCCGACCTCTTTAAAAAAAAATAATAATAATAATAATAATCAATCGCGGAATGTTTTTAGGTTGTCAAGCAAGCAAATACAGAATAGAGTAGATTGGTATTTGGTAGTCTACGGAAGGATTTTTCGTGGTTGCAGGCTCGTGCTCTTGCTTGTAAGAATTAGTTGTAGCTGCATGATTTGTAGTTCTCGGGAGGGATCGAGTCGTAACATTACGACTACCTGATAATACTAATTCATGTACCTGTTTTTCGCCGAACTTTGTGATTTTTCACGCATTTCATATAAATGCATGAATGGAAAATGCATGAAAATGACAAGGTTCAAGGACCACGCTTTTTTGCTTCAAATTTTCTTGTTGCACCTTTGTTTTGAGTGAAACAGCTTTTGCTGAGTACAATTTTGTGTCCGTCTTCCTTGCTGGCCTCGCTTCGAAAAGAAGCTCAGAGTAGCAGCAATGGCGACGTCTACGAAGACGTCCCAGCTTTCCTGTCGATTCTACGGAGCCAGATATCCAGAGGTCGATGATGTGGTCATGGTCAATGTCCAGGATATTGAGCATGTTGGTGCCTATGTACGTCTGCTCGAATACAATGATATAGAAGGAATGATCCTGCTCAGTGAGCTGTCCAGACGGAGAATCCGATCTATTAACAAATTGCTCAGAGTGGGAAGGAATGAGTGCGTGGTGGTTATTCGTGTGGACAAAAGTAAAGGTAAATGCCTATCATCGATGGACGCAAGGTTCCTTCTTGCTTGCTTGCTGCGATGAATAGCATGGTTACAATTTAGGGATGAAGAAAGTCATGATTTTATCGGGCCAAATGGATGCTGTGCAAATTCTTTGTTTGGTCAACCACTGCGAAGCAGGTTTTGAGTATGTCGTCTCTCAATAGCTGTGATAGAGATCTTTCCCGGTTCAATCCCCTCACATTTTTGAATAGAAATCTTAGTGAATACACTCGAACGTCTCTTATCCGGGCACTTTGTAACCGGGCACTGCCTGTATCTCAGACTTGCCCGTGTCTCAGGATAACTCATCTACCATGTATCATATCATTTTTTGAAGAAGTTTATTTGGAACATATTGCACAAGTTCAGGATACAAAAGGAACCCATTGATAAAAATGTGTGGATTACATACACTGTAGGATGGCAGTGAAAAATAAGCACTTCCACATATGGAAAAAAAGTTCAAAACCCCCAAATAATTCTAAGCATTTGTGCTATAGGAACTCAAGCTGAAGGTGCCCGGTAGAGAGGCGTGCCCGTATCTGAGGCGTCCGGATAAGAGGCGTTTGAGTGTAATCCTATAGAGTATTGGTCCAGTAGGACTCTTTTCCCGATATCCGATATGCACAGGCATTGCTCCTTCAGTCTATCATCAATTAAAAATGACACCACCTTGTGGACATTTGGGACAATGTCTGATTTCGAATTGTGAACTGAGATATGCTTGGCATCAAACTCGCGTTATCCTCAACTCCTATAGATCTTTGCACAATGGTGAAATGCATAGGGGTCGTCGCAAAAGTTTTTTGTCGTCCCTGAAACGAACATGATTCGTTTGGGGGGGGAGGGGGTGCGAGCCAAAATCGCAAGTCAACCGACACTGTACATATGACATGTACATGCATGCGATTTTCGTCGTCCAGCATAGCAAGCTGTGTTCGTTTCAGAGGGAGGGGAGGGGGTCCAAGTACGAAATGAACGATGTTCGTTTCAGGGACGACAGAAAACTTTTGCGACGACCCCATACGAAAGTTGTGTATAATCATGCACGATGAGATGCATCAGGCACTTTCTGTAGATCTGCGGAAGCACCCATTCATTCATGAAGTATGTATGGGTGACATCACAATGACCTTGCATACGCAAGGGTACGTAAACCGGAGTGCGTCGCCTTGCATGCGTTTGTGAAAGCGCAACTCACCGTTACCGTAATAATTTTTGGTGGGTTATAGAAGCAGTGATCCACGGCTGCAGTCTCGCGTTTGCTTTTGCACAACTTGTACAGCTTGACTGTATTGTGACATCGAGGTTTACGCGAACGGCTAGTTGCATTGCCCCGGATCCAGTATAATGATGTTGTGCACCCTGGCTCTATAGTCTTGTTTGCATCAAGACTACACGGACGGAATCGTTCAACTCTCCGCGGGAGGCCAGACGTGTGTGTGTGAGATGTGTGTGTATGTGCGATGTGTGTGTATGTGTATGTGCGATGTGTGTGTATGTGTATGTGCGATGTGTGTGTATGTGCGATGTGTGTGTATGTGCGATGTGTGTGCGTGCGTGTGTGTGTGTGTGTGTGTGTGTGCACGTGTTGCTTGTTGGTGTGCACCTACTGGCGCTGACGATACTTTATAAAGAGAGGAGTAGGCAGGAAACATTGTGCCGTCAGTTCTGCCATCCAGCAACATTGCGTGTGATGTTGGACGCGGTTGTGAGCCAGTCGAGTTTTGAGTGTAACAAGATAGGCATGTGCAGGCTTAACACCCGTAGCAAATTTCTCCCGGGAAGTACTTTCCATCATGGCACTAATCGCTATTCCTAACCACCTTCCAAAGGATAGGTCAATCGTGGTGCATGGCCGAATGCATGCTGTGTGTTAACACAGCGATCTTCTTCCTTATCAATTATCATCAAACCGTCATATGTTTTGTTGTCTCTGCTGCTGTCAGGTTACATTGATCTGTCAAAGCGCAGAGTGTCAGCAGATGACATCAGGAAATGCGAAGAGCGATACACCAAAGCCAGAGCAGTAAGTATGCCGCTATGGTGGGCTCATTGTCCTGGAGCTGCACAATCTGGTTTATATACTCTTGAATCTTGATTACTTGGTCCGCGTCAGCGATATTGTCGCTTATCTTTCAGCTTTGTTTATATGTCGCCATTGCTTACTTGGGAGCCCATTTCATCCCAATTTTGGTTAGCAGGTTAGGTTACCAGTACCTGAAAGGTCTAGCTAGAGTTCGAGTGGATTTCGAGAGCGACGGGTGGGTGGTTCTGATTGATACAGCGCCGCATCAAAATAGATTATCTTGTTACGCTGTGCAGGCAAGAGCAGCGCAAGCCACAAGAAAGTAATCGGTTACTTGGAATCGGCTCCATTTTGCTGAACGGCTGAGATCGCTCACCTCAGGGATCGCTCGTCAAGCTGAGATCGCAGCTCCCTTACCTCCAGCTCAACGCTCGGAATATCCAGCGCGTCGTGGAGATTTGCAAGTACTGTACGCGTCGTCGTCGTCGTTCAAAATAAAATCTTGCAAAGAACGGCGTTTGATTCAAACCACACAGGCTGCCGTGCCGCCCACGCGAAGTCCTATAGAGAAGGCGACCGTCACGATCAACTTCTCCTTAGAAAATAGCCAGGCAGCGGAGAGGAAGAGAGATGAGCTTGCAAAAGCAAGAGAGTCGATCCCGAGCAAAAATATTTGTCACCAGTGCCGCGAGCAGCGACGAGGAGGACCGAAAAAAAGTAGGAACCCTTCCTTGGACAATAAATTCCTCACAGCTGGTTGTCATTCTATACCTTACCGTCCATCGTACCAAGTTTTATCACTTCAAGTGCACGCGTTCATGTCCAAAGGCTAAGTTCAAATTGTCGAAAGATAAGCGACAATATTGCTGACGCGGACCAAGTACACCAAACACACTTCTATGCATAACGAATGTTCTTATGGACTCTTGAAACATTGGTCTGGGGTGAAAATGTCCAGTGAAAGGGAGTGAGTTAAATGCATGCACTTGCACAGTAAGCGAATGCACTTGTCAGCTGTATCAGCTTTGCTTCCCTGGAAAATCTGTCTCCATCTTGTCCATAGTTGCCAGCAGGCCTTATGGATGTGTGTGCATTGCCTCGTTCTGTACCCTGCAGGTAAACAGCATCCTGCGGCATGTTGCTGGTAAGCTCAACTACGACAATGAAAAGCTCGAAGAGCTGTACACGAAAACAGCGTGGGCGCTGGAAACTAAGCACAAGAAGCCGGCGTATGCAGTCTTCAAGCAGATCGTTTCGGAGCCCGAATTGCTAGATGACTGTGAGCTTACGCCAGAGGAGAGCAAACTGCTTATTGACGACATCAAGCAGAGACTGACGCCTCAGGCTGTCAAGATCAGAGCTGGTAAGCTTTCGCGTTGTGATCCTGTGAACATGTCATTTAATGAGGTTCGAGCTTCCAGCTACGAGACAACCGTCCAAAGCACAACAGAGCAACAGCATCACAGCTTGTGTGCCGTATCAGCACAGCAATCCTTTGGGCTGTTGTAGTGTACGTACGTGTACCAGGTGGCTGCTTTTCTCAGTGAAGGTTTACCCTTCTTGTCGCACACATTGACTTGTAAATTGTGTGTGTTTGTGCACGTCCGTGCTGATATTCTTGCAGATGTGGAAGTGGCTTGTTATGGCTATGAGGGTATCGACGCTGTGAAGGAAGCGCTCCGTGCTGGCCTGACGGTCTCAACAGAGGTCATGCCCATCAAGGTGAGTGTGTGTGTTCTACTGGCCATTGTGTGGAAGAGAGGCTTAGCAACTCGTAAAGCGAGTATTGTGTGAGTCGCTGTCTTGCCAAATCAGGGTTCAACTGACTAGGGATTCCAGTGTATTTTATAAGTTCATCCTGAGTCCGACTTTTTGTGAGCTAGTTGCGCACTCGTTTTACCAGTTGCTCAGCCTCTCGACCATCTCCTTCATGCGCTTTGATTGCATTCAGATAGGCTAGTTCGCAGATGATCACTGACACAACGATTCAGGACTGTGAAAATGGCTTTTCTCAGGAATGGATCTCAATGGACAGAGTGAGAGACAGACAGAGAGTGTGTGTGTGTGTGTGTGTGTGTGTGTGTGTGTGTGTGTGTGTGTGTGTGTGTGTGTGTGTGTGTGTGTGTGTGTGTGTGTGTGTGTGTGTGTGTGTGTGTGTGTGTGTGTGTTCAGGTTGCACTTGCTTCACATGCACAGCTTGAGACTGCATGGTAGATCCTGCAAGTCTTACATGAAGATCTGCAGCATGCATACCCATGCTAGACTGGCCAGACAAGGCAGCGTCGACTAGTACCCTGTTGCGTATCATGCATGCACTGGGATCTGGCATACTGCCCAAGCCTGTTAGCACACACTGGTCAGGATAATCCTAGTCAACAATAGGCCTTGTTTCTGCGTGCAAAAACTGATCTACAATCATACTCCTGTCGTAGATCATGAAGGATGCAGGTACGGATATAGCAGAACGCTTCCGCACTCCAAAAACTCTAAAGCACAGGATATCGACCGACGCGAAGTCTACTAGTACATGTATGTGGGAAATATATTCCCTGTAAATCTATCATTTCTTGTGGGCAGTTGGAAGGAGGCTCGCTTTTTATCCACGAAGCTTTCCAGCTTTAGTTTCAGATTTTTTGATTTTTGTTCAGTTGCTTCTAATGTGACCTTGGCTTAGTATGGGGCAACGATCGATAGTATCATTCTTTGCTGCACCTGAGATGCAAAATCAGCCAGGCAGGTCTGTGCCAGCATCGGAGCAGTCGCCGGACATTGGTCAAGTCATAGGGCTGGACCATTTGACAAAGACCTGATGCCAGGTATGATGATGTTTTCCTTCTTCTGTCTTTTCATTACTCTCTTTCTTTTGCTATGAAACAGATCAATCTGATTGCACCTCCACTATACGTCATCACCACCACAACACTTGAGAGAACAGAAGGTGTGGCATCGCTGCAGAAGGCAATCGGCTCCATCAAGGAGAAAATCGAGGAGTATGACGGCCACTTCAATGTCACCATGGAGGTAAGCTTTCTTTCCTCCTCCCTTCTTCTTTTTTACTGCTATCACCCTATTCAGTTTATGTACTGCACCCTTGGAGAACGTGCTGACAATGGGTGACTGGCCCGAAACGTTATCGTTTTGCAGCTCTGGGTAAACTTTTTTCCTACAATAGCCCAGCTCTAGGAGTGATAAGCGACTGGATAGAGCGGTCGTCAGCATGTAGCTATAGGGACCTTTCGCATCACGCGTACGGATACGAAACGAATGCTGATTCGTCAACTGGGTTCGAGGATTCGCCAGAGTCACCGCGGAGAGCTCGTTTTCACGAATGGAAGCCTCTTCATTCGTGGCACGCTCCGAATCCGTCAGGTACACATTTTTTTGCAAGGTACACATGTTTTGCCAGGTACACATTTTTTCCCTTGATTCCATGATCCATGCACGTGTGCGCGAACACACCCGTACGCCAAGCTACCGGCTGTATTCGTAGTTGCCATGCACATTTGCATTACGGCTTGCGAAACGATTACGAGCCGAATCAAACTTTCGTTTCGCATTCGATTCGTAGCAAATGCGAAAGGTCCCTTATGTTTCAACTGTACGCCCACTTCTTTCCAGGTCAGACTCGAGCCGTTGTATTATATCTGTGTTCTTGTGTGTCCCAACAGCCGAAGGTGATGACCGATTCTGACGAACAGGAGTTGGCGAAGCGAATGGAGCAGTTGGAGCTGGCCAATCAGGAAGTGGATGGTGACGATGATATCGAGGATGACGACAACTGATTATGAACTTTTTTTAAATAAAAAAATACTTTCCTCCCAAGTTCCAGCTTCTAGGCCTGCGCTCTGCTGAACAGCTACCATTATACATCGAAGAGTGGGTCACATAATTATGGTAATCGTCAGTTTTGTGTTACTTCGTTTGAGGTCTTCCCTGGCACTGGGATAACAGGACTTGCTGTGCATGCCACCCGGAACGGGAATAGACTACTCACTTGGGCTGACATGGCCGTGATTTTTCATCTGCTCATTGCTCTCTTGCGTAACGGTTGATTTCTGACTGCTAGCTACTTCGAAGTATTTTCTGGGCTGTGACCATCCAGTGTCGACACACACATTTGTGGGAAGTACAATGTAGGTGCTCGAAAAGAGCCTTTGCCGGTGCACTTGTAGAAAATGCAATTATTTCAAAATGATTGAAAGTGTGCATCTGCTTGCCGGTGAGTAGCTGCCATGGCTTGGTTTCAGGGTTACGTTATTTTGTCGTAAATGTAGCTATTATAGGTATGCATTCGAGGTGAGATGCGCTTGAAAATGGCAGGATTCCGAGAAGCAAGCCATGACGAGAAGTTTGTCTTGAGTTGCATGCACACTCGAGGGAGTATCCTCTTGGTTAAATATTTGGCATTATCATGTCAGTTCTACCTGTAGTGTCGAACACACACACAAACCATGTACAAGTACTTCAAGTACATCCGTCACAAGAGAAGCATGCAACATCTGGAAGTACACCTGCCGATCTTCCGACTTGTGCGTTGTCAGAATGAAGCAATATTATCGAAGCCTGCGCTACATAGATAGCTGGCCAATCCATGTGAATTGGGCCCTATGGCTATGCATACCTGGTCTACACCACTCACTCCATTTGGGGATGCAAGGGGCCGCTCACACTGGGTGTGCACAATGAAAAAAATTCACCCGCACTTGCTATTTTGCTGTCACCATTCGCTTCTGGCAGTCTGTCAGCCCTGCTCCTGGGCATGTAGAGCTGCACCAGCACAGCCTCGGCTCTAGACTAGAATATCGCTCCACTTCATAAAAAGGAAAAGAAATGCAGTGGAAGCAAATATCCATGGTATTATTTATTAATTAAACCATGGTTTTTCATATTCATTCAGTGTGGCCGGCCCCTAACCTTCAAGACAGCTACATATGCACTTGCCAGGGTAACCAGTGCAGCACGTGCCTGCGCACACACACGCACACACACCTGGACACATTGTGCTGTTTCGCCGCTGACGTCTTGCCAGGGAATTCTAAAACAACATCAGGTACATATTCTAAATTCTTCACAAAATTGAACTATGGATGTCGAGTTGAAACAACCGCTGACAGTGAACAGAGATACGAGGGTCATGCATGTGCCTGCACTCATGGCAGACTATGATAAAATACCCAAAAATTAAATATATACAAAGTTGAAATGCAGCACCCCTTGGCATTGTTGTGGAGGAGCCTATTGCTTGCCAACAGCAACAGCGAGTGCGTCCCAGGCGGACACGTTTATCTGTGCTTCGGCCTGCTCGCGGTCGGACCTTGCGCTGTTGAGCTGGGCACGTGCAGCTTCAGCTCCGGTCTTGATTGCCTACGACCAAAGAACAGCAACACACGCACACACACAATCGTGAATAGAGCGCTCAATGAAACACCAAGGTAATCTGCATGCACGGTCACTTCAAAATCGTTGATGCCCAGGAAGATGTACTAGTATATGTTGCTGGGTACATGCAGACTCTTCTGGGCTGTTCTGCATGCAGCATGTGTGCATGAGATGCAAACAGTGAGTATGATGATAGTCACGTCACATCATAGGAACTGGCTCGTGGATATCAGCTTTCGCCTAGCCAAACTCTAATACGAAAGGACCTCGGAGTCAACAAATGCCTAGTGCTTCAATGTAGTAGTAATGGTGTTGACAACATGGGTGGCTTTCCCCACTCTCATCTCCATTCAATGCAATATTTCAATATATCTCCAGCATTGAAACCATTCCAATACATACAATGCACCACCCATGTAGGTATGCATGAGCTATAGTGTGTGATGACTTCACTTGTCAACGAAGAAGCTGGTCTATACTACATATAGTGCAAGCTGATGAATGCGGCACAATCCATGCTCAATGCAAGTACGCTCACTGCTTCAGTGACGCGACCTATTCCTACATTGTAGGCCGAGTGGACAATGATGACACGTGGCCCACCGCTTGCCATTTGTATGCATTATTGCTAGTTTGCACTCAGCGCCCTGACTATGCTGGTTCGCGACCTACTGTACTGCCTGGTGCCAAAGAACGGGGGTTCAGACAGAGTTATAGCTTAGGCTATTAAATTTTTTTTATAGTTCATGTACCACAGTCTGTGTAGTTGAGGCAACTCGCATATAAGGGCACCCTGCATTCTGGCCCGCTCGTTCTTCAGTGCCTGGCCGTACTGTAGGCTTCTTGGCCGCTCTCACGCAATCTCTTGATCACGTGGTAGATGCGCTCAATGCCGGCCCGCACAGGCATGCAACAAGAAAGCTTGTGCTAATGGCCCTGGGTTTTCTCCCCGTACATAATTATCATAAATCTTTCCAGGATACGTCCAATCGTAATGGACAAAATAAACAAGATACAGGGACAGTGATAGCCGATAGCACCCCCCCCCCCCCCAACCATCACGTTGGGTTCCTGTCACGTACAGCAGAACATCAGTGATGTATGGATCTTTTTACTGGCTCTGCTAAACAACCAACTCATGATGCTAACATAGAAGTGTTGATCTCACAAACACACATGATACAGGCAACGAGTCCCTTACCTGAGCATCAAGCTGATCAAGTGGCACTGCCTCCTCGGCAAGGATCTGCACTGACGAGTCAAAGTTAACGGTCAGACCGCCGCTGCTCACTGCACACACACACACATACCATGGGAGATAGCACAATGGAACATCGTAACTCAAAACAACAAACAGCATAAACAATTACAAAGCACTGTGCAGTCCGTAATAACAAATAAAAATAATACTACTTGTAAAATTGTACAGCACGGAAAGCATATAGACTGACCCAGGAGTCAGGACCAATGCAGGTATTTTATACCGCAACAACGTTAATAAGAACGCATAGTAATGTTTAAAGCGTGTGCGTGTATTCAGCATACATATGCCATGGGTAGTGTGGCACACATTACGACTATACGGCCTTGCCTAAACTTAGCCACACGTCAACTTCTTGATTCGAGCACAGCATTTCACTGTGCCAACCAAGGCAATTCTTATATACGTGCGAGTGTGCTCATGTTTGTTTGTGTGTGTGTGTAAGCAGCCCACATGAGTCAATGTACAATTGGGACTTATCAGCTCTAACCCTATTCTGGCCCACATGCAGCGCTGAACTGCACGCATGCCCCATCTACGTCTTTTCGCACTGGCTGCAGCTGCTAGAGAATACATGGGAAGCAGCTTCGGTTTTACCGCGCTAACTAAAAGCTACTGCTGCACTCCCATGCACCATACGTACATGTTGAGTCACTGAGAGAAGACGGAATTCAAACACACCTGCCTTCCCCAGCTTCCTTTATCATTTGCTAGTAGGATTACACATGCCCAGAATCCTCCTTGCATTTACCATCTACACTCGACTCACATGTACATGTACTTGGTGTGTATGACTGGGCATGCATATAGTTGTGTGTTTCCAAATATTTCATCAAATTATTTAACCAACAGAACAAATACCACCCTCCATATGCTCGTGCATGTGACCAGCACCAAGCAACCGTTGCAGGTTTCGACCGTAGATCTATGTACATGGATCGTGTCACACCAATAGCAATGCAATCGGACCTCATACTGTTATCCCATGATTGTGTGCAGCAGACCAGGGCCATCTATGCACATAACTCACCAAAGTATTTCGACTCTCGTCCATCTTTGTCAAATACTGACAGAATACTGGGCACCAGGGATCCCAAAGTTGGTACATGGTTAGGTGTAAGGCCAACATGGCCAGCCATTGTTACAGCGTCAACTGAAGAGACCTCCACTCCATTGTAGAAGGCCTGCAGTCAAAGATGAATTTCATGGATTCAGGCCAAAATTTTCAAGAATTCAAGTGGGTGGAAGTTCAGTAATTTACCTCTCCCGGAGAACCGAAAGTCAACAGAATGGAGTCTTTCTTCTCATCAGCCTTTTCCGCCATACGCCTCACTCCTACGCTGCGTATCAGGCATGGTCTGGCCAGCGAGAAAACGGAACGAAGGGCTGCCATTTTCAAGCTTTCAACAAGTCTTCACAACGAAAAAAGCTCGATCTGTTGTGGCCAGTTATCTTCTCAGCACAGCACTGTTCATGCATGGGCTCTGCCCTGCATCGCGGTACTGGAAGTGCAGTCTCTGTACAGCAGACCTTGCCTGCATGCAAATCACTCGAAATGCACGCTGATGTCGTGATGAAGTCTGCACATATGTGCGCGATAATGTCGACGTGACGCGTTATCGCTAGCCTGGGAACAAGGTTTGTATGTGACATGATGTTGCTATGGCGACAAAATGGGGAAATCCCTGCAAAATCAAACAAAATTATCTCATGAGACTTGTCACTTGAAGATAAACATGAACATGAAACTAATAATAAATTACTTGAAAGACGAACAGCATTTTAATTCATGGCGAAAGTGTCAAGTTATTGTTCTGGTTATCAGTCTATCCACATCGTGATATCATCCTAAATGTTTTTGCAGTATTGATCCAAGAATCAATCTAGAATTTACCTTTTGCTGCATTCGTCTATGATAGTATCAGAAAATGCATATTGACTGGCCGATTTGAGCAGAGGATGCACTCGTTGTAAACGCGTTTGAAAGGGTGAACAAATATGGCTGCTCTTCGCAGGACGCTGCTGCTCTGCAGACATCGCCCGAGTGGGTGCCTAGCCACGAGAGGTTTTACTGATTATGTAGTAACGGACTCCTCACTCATGGAAGTAAGGGATTCGTATTTTTATGAAGTGCAAACTGCTGGCAGGTGTAATATAGCGTACATGTAGAAGAAGTACAATGTACATTTTTACATGTATGTACACAGAGTCGGTCACGTGCATGTAAGATATGGACCTGTACATGGCACATGGACGCATAATCACTATCATAGGCGTATAGCCCCAGTAGTAATCTGTTTTATGCTGACCTTTCATACAAACTTCCAGTCAACTTGCCCATCATGCTGGCGGCTTATACTGCGCATATAAACCTCATACAAACCCCATACAAACCCCATAGACCGCCACCATAGAAACAGGAAGAAGTTGACTGTCAGTTTGTATGAAGGTCAGCATAAGTATAATACATCCCACTAGTACGCTTGTACGTGAAATATAAACCATCATACAAACCTCGGCTTCGCCTCGGTTTGTATGTCGGTTTATATTTCACGTACAAGCGTACTGTTGGGCTGTATTATATACGTACAACTGCCTGCACTCTACCTGGATCTGTGATGGAGCGGGGTTGCATGTCACGTTGGCTACGTCAGCGAACAGTGCAACGTGACCATCAGAGTTGTGTTTACAGTGAACCTTGTGAATAACAACCCCAACCGTGCATGAGAAAGCGTCAGTATTCGCGAGTTGTCGGTATTCGCGAAGTTGATGAGAGTTGCAGTCAAATGCTCACTAGGTCCGAAGATCGTGTCGTTGTTCGCGAGTCGTTATACTCAAGGTCGTTATTAGATCCCGAGGTTGACGTACACCAATCCTCCTTGGATATTATGCACTAGGGTGTGCTTATTCAGTCAGGTTTGCCACGCAATGGGAAATTTTAGCATCACAGACCCCAGCGCACCCTTGTTAGCTATGTACTGAGTGTACTCCCGCAACTCTGCATACCCTCCTAGTACATGATGTCACCACTGATCTATGAATTATGCATTAACAAGCAATGTTCTACTATCTCAGCCAGTGCTGGGGTCACATACTTATGCCATACGAGAGCTTTGAAATCTGGGCTTGAGCTGCATGTGCCTTTGGGCATTGGTGGACATGTGAATCCCGTTTCATTTATCGAGCCATGAATACTAGTAGCTCATGTACCTGATGATGGGCGTTGCCCGAAAATTTGAATTTATGTATATCAATTGCAGTGTAGCCTAGAGGCCGTTAGAGAGAGTGTGTACAGGATGTATGGATTCATGTACAGTACGTTGCATATCCCATGCACTACTGCCAGCACACTGTAGATGCTCGAGCTGTAATGTTGGTAGTTTGCCGTCAATTGTCGGCTTTTTCAGGGGATTCCCCTTCCCCTCCATATACTGTAGTGCATCCTGGTAGTATGTGGACAAATCCTAAGTTGGTGTTTGTACGTATGTGTGTGTGTGTACGTGTGTGTGTGCGTGTGTGTGTGTGTGTGTACGTGTGTGTATATGCACTCACAGGTGCTGAAGAAAGGTGAGCACAAGGAGGTGCCCAAGCAGGAGCTCTGGAAGGAGCTGTCGCCGATCACGACATCGCTGGGCGTCGACGGCATTCTGTCGTTGCCCGTGGAGCCCCTGGGGCAGCTGCTGTCCTTCGCTGAGCTAAACAAAGACTGCCGAGGAGCCATGAGACAGCTGATTGCTCGGCCAGAGTGTTGGGTGGCTGATGAGAACCTGGAAGGTGCCATCCGTCTCTTTAGCACCCTGTACCAGGCTGGGTACATGGAGGACAGTATTGTGGAGCATTTTGCCGAGCGGCTCATGAATGAGCATAGCTCCCTGGATGTCAACGTAATAGGCTACTACTCCAGAATGTTGTATGATGGACGCGTGGATAGGGTGCTCTTTAACCCCTGGCCATGGATCTTTGAGTGCCTGAAGACGAACGATTTAGGGCGCAGCTTCGTTTCATTGTTCTCATACACCTTAGTGTCTAAACAGGTTAGTCCCTATCCTCACTTCCTTCTTCCGTTGCCACCCTCCTTGCCTTTTCACGATACTTTTAAAACTGTTTGTATGCCTGTCCGTATGCCTGTCCGTCTGTGTACCGGTATCTGTTTTCTGTAGGATTATGTCTTCATCTCTTTTGCTCTCATTGCACCAAATCACCATCCTTTGCGTTTCTAGAGCATTGATGTGTTTTTGTGTGTATGCATTCACATGTATATCACAAACTACACATGTGCAGCTGTCATCATGACTGTGGCAAGTGCAGTTTACTGAAAGAGAGTGGAGCATTCTCACCAGCCTGCTCTGTATGTGTATACTTATATGTGTGTGTGTGTGTGTGTGCGTTTGTGTGTGTGTGTGTGTGTGCGCTCGCGCGATACGTGTGTATGTGGGTGTGTATGCGATATGCCCATATCCTTGTATTTAGTTTACACGTGAACTTGCAGAGCGTTTAGTATGTGAGCTGCAACCGGAGAACATGCCTGCCGATATGCTTCCTCTGTTCCTTCACCAATTCAGGTATGTCTTCAAGCACCACCACCCTGGTGTGTGGTGTGGATTACTGATATGTACACTCTGTTCTATCTTGGCTGTTGACTGTTGCAAGGAAATATTCTTGGTTTTGGTTTATTCAATTTCCGGTACATGTACCAAGCACACAACTTACCCAGTTGTCTAGACACGCATATGAAGGTACTTTAGCAAAAATGTGCAACAGCATCTTTAGAACCAAACACTAATGCTGCTGTGAGTACATGCACCGGCTCATTTCTGCAGTCGGTGGCAAAGTGTGAGCAGTCCAGCGGCCCGGTGTTTAGCTCAGCATAGAAAACTCTATACTGCCAACCTCATGAATAGCGACCTCGGGTATACACGCAACAACACACGAATAACGACATGATCTTCGTATCTACGTATGTAGTGCCCATTTGACTGCGTACTTCCAGACTCACGAATACTGACAACTCACGAATACCGACAACTCACGAATACCGACACTTTTCTCATGCACTATCAAGGGTCTTTATGTGCAAGGTTGGCTGTATCTTCAGTGTTTGTGTCAGCGTAGTACAAAACTGATTCTCTTGATTGTGTCTGCCCAAGTGTTCTCCTGTGTGTGCTCCAACAAACTCCAGCCAAATTTGCAAATGTGCGAATAGCTATCCCGCAATTAGATTGCAGCGTATCCGAGTTACGGGCAGTGTGCGGTCCTATTGTGTCCGGATATGGCTAGTTCTACTTTACTAGTTTGTCATCAACCACCGCACCATAAGTGCTCTTCTTAGCCATTCTACAATATCTACCTTCACTGACGAGAGTTTTAGACTCGAAACAGCTGCGTGAAGAATTCAGTACCAACGGGCGTGTCGCTTTGCTGATGCTGTGCTGTGGCGATGTCGTGTCGAGGTCGGCTGGAGAGCGCAGTTATGGTGTGGGTGTTGATGGGAAATCCGTTCAGGGCCGAATGCTGCTGCTTACCCCATTATCTACTGTGCTAGTGTGCCATCATACTAGTGGTGAAACGAATATACCGAATGTTCGAATATCCGTTTGGTTTGACACATTCGAACGAATATTTCTCATGGCGAATATTCGTTATCCCGGTATGCAGAATCAACCGGGCGACTTCAAACTTTCGTAGCTTCGTGAATACTTGACCGAATCGCTTCATTGAAAGATCTATCGGCATTAGCAAACTCTCAGCTGTTGTTTAGAAGCCACCCGAACACAATCCGAGGTCCTGGAGGGGAGGTATGGCGCTCGAACGAAAATCGCGTCTCAAGCTCAAGCTGTTTTTTGAGCCTGTGAAAGGCACTTCAGCTGGGGATTTTTGTGAAAATGACCTAGACATGATGGAGAAATATATGCCTTCGTTCGTCATGCCTAATAATAGTGACAATATCCAATAAAATGACTGAGAGGAGGGCATGTGATGTCATCCGTGTAAACGAAAGAATATTCGTTTGTTCGTTCGTTAAGCCGAAGAATATTCGGCTACTGGGTTTTGATATTCGTTTCACCACTACATCATACATTAATAATATTTTATTATTACATAATTGCATGCTGTGCACTAGAATTTGTAGCTCCCTTTGTCCATCTCACGTTGTTGAACTATTTTTGCTCCGCAGCCAGCTCGCCAGGTTCGGAGGCTACTGGCGCTTGCTCGAGCCGATGCTGGAGAAAGCGTTTCCGATCGTGGAGCAGTGTGTGACGACACAGACTCTGCACAGCAACGACTGTGCCTGGCTAATCCAGTCACTCTGTAATACTCGGCCGCCCGTAAAGTGGCTGGACACTCTCATGCCGTACATCCTCGGCAACATTTCGGAGCTCAACGCAAGCTCCGCGTGCTCCGTTATCTATACACTTGGGAAGGTCAGTGTTACACGTACACTAATTCATAGATCAGTAGTAGTAGCATAAGATCCGATCACTTTGGTTGAGCCTCTAGCCGTTATGGTGCAGCCTTTGTTTTTTGGTCTGTCTTCTCCCCGCGCTTTCGATTTCTAGTCCGCAGAAATTAGCGGATTTTCGGAAATTAGTGGATTTTCCGAAATTCATGGTTGATGTGCTGTGCAATCTGCCCAGTGGCATCACACGTGAAGCCAGTGTATGAACTGTATGCTTTGTCTCCTCCACGGTGAACCCTGAGATTGGGTGGCTGGGTGCTTGTTGTGCTGTACGGGCGCTTTTACTCCGGTTGATAGTGACGATAACGCGGCCGTTATACCTTAGTAGGCGTATGTCTGTCTGTCTGTCTTGCCAACTGACAATATCATCTCAAAAACTACTTCAAGTAGTAACTGTGCTCTTCCTAGTCACACTCGGGAAAGTAGCAAACTTCAGGCTCCTCACAATCGACATCTTCAAGACCTCTCCACTAGTACTTGCACTGTCTTCTCGTCAGGTTGAATACCGGTACAGGCGAAAAGCAACTGAACAGGTACAAGGGAACAAGCTCCCCACGCTGGAGCTCGCGCTTTTCCACTGGCTTGACTTGACGCTTGATTGACTCATGACTGCCATCCAGACCACGCGGGGAAGTGCCTCGAACCTTTGACTTGGCAAACCTGCAAGAATTCACCACTCCCTGTACATATCTTCACTAGTTTGAGGGAAAGACACAAACGGGAAAAGTCTGAAGAAAAAATGGACTGTCACCACCAGGACTCAAACCAGGGACCCTCGCTTGTAGCTAGCGATGCTCTAACCACTGAGCTACCCTGTACATAGTGCTAGATTATTGAATGCTTTACAAGCTCATTCTATTCACACTAGGAAGCCTGACCTCTGAAAGCAAAAGCAAATTACACTCACACTTGGGCTTTTTGGTAGGTCTTGAACAACTCGTTAGTTTTGTGCCTTGGGTGTCCATTGCTGTCACACTACTTCACACGCTTGTTTGCTTCCTTCACACTCGTACCTTTTTGTCATTCTTTCTAAGTCCTATGTGTATGACCGGCGTATGCATGTTAACAGTGTTGTTTTGGCTACTCTTCTTTGCGCCGTTGCTATCACATCTCTACTGTATAAAACTCATTGGCCTTGTTTACTTTCTTTTTGCCTATATTTCACCCGACGAGAAGGCAATGCAAGTGTGTGTGGAAAGGTTTTGAGGATACTGCTTGAGAGGTGCCTGCAGCTTGGTCCTTTCTTGAGAGTGGCTGCATTTTTGTCTCCAGTAAAGCTGTTCTTCCTTGTCTTTCCAGTTACCAAGTCTTGCCCCTGCTGGGTGGTTCAGTTACCTACTGCTTTTTATGAGTCTTCTATGTTAGCTGGACTATTGCTGGCACGTTGCCATGTTCACAATCAAATTCTTGCCAAATAATTAGTACTAAAAATGATAATTATGTCTGTTTGTCTCTGTGCATGTGCTTTGCAATAAAGGGTATAGGCAAGGACGACGCCGACAGGCATTACATATCGTACGCACGGAGGCTGCTGGACGCCTACTCTACGATCGACGTGACCGGCAAGTTCTCCGCCGCCGACATGAGTTTCTTCTGCAACGGCCTGAGCATGCTACAGGTGCGGCATGCACCCTGGCTGCACGAAATGGCCACCAAGCTGATCGAGAACAAGAAGACCCTGTGCAGAATGTCTGGTGTGGAGCTGTGCCATGTGCTGGAGGGTATGACGTCAGTGAACTTCCGGTGAGTTACTGCTCCTCTTCTGCACCACCGTGTATTGAGTCTATGGACACAATAACATTGTGTCAATAGACTCATTATTAAAGTCAGTCAAGTATGATGGTCTCTCCATGTTCATGTAATAGCTACTCAGATTTTGTGTTTCGATTTGTCATCAGCAGCCAATGTACCTTCTGTGGTCTGATTTTCTTATACATGTATATTTATCCAAAATTAGGCATGTGCGCGTATCTCTTGCCAGTGGATATTTCGCAATGGGGAAGGATTCGCGAAATTTTAAGGCACGGATAAGCTTTTGACTGAAAACGACGTCACATGAGTTACCGCCGACCTCATTCGCTAAATGTACTTGTCACTGACATGCCTGCTATCTGGAATCGCAAACCAAAAACTTGCAAAAAGCACCACAATTATTTCCTGCTGTACTGCACGACGAGTCTCCTGGGATAACCATAGCTGGGAAGTATGCCTTGGGGAAATGAAGCATGTTGTCAGGGACTGAGGGTGATGTTCACTGGCGGTAGTCAAGCTTGGCACGCCCTTAGACCTGCAACTCACGTGCCCACTGTGTCCGTCCATGAGGAGGGTGTTGGCCTCCGGATAGTACCGGTTGTGCGGTTCTAGCGTGTGTTTCTTGTGTTCTGCTTTTCACGTTTCTTGTGTTATCTACAGGCACACGGGTCTGTTGGACACAACTGCAGAACTGCTCCAGTCCAAGGAGATAGAATTCGACTCCTGGCGCTTTGCGGACTGCCTGGGAGTTGCCTGTGCCTTGCTGCATTCCAAGACCTGGTCTGGTCGACTGCTGGAGCGTGTTTTCTCGGTGAGGTCACACACACACACGCACGCGCGCGCGCGCGCGCGCTTTCTGTAGCTCGAGTCCTGAACTGGAGTGTTGTGTACATGTGCTGTTTTGTTTTGCCGCCCGGCGCGCTTTTGGCATGGCTGTGTGTTGCAAATTAGGCTAACACAGTGCCATCAAACCGGTGTTATGTGACACCCTTCAGTTTGATATTTCAGTATGATACTTCAGTATGGTACTTCAGTTAGATACTTCAGTATTCATATGACCCTGCGGCCCTGAGGAGGACACTCTTTGATGCCAGGCTGGTGAAGGTCTCGTTCAGTGACTTGCTACTTTGATTTTTTCCAAGTACCATTCAAGCTCCGCATTGAGCCAGTTTGGCCGCGTTCTGTGTCTGCTTTTCAAACCGCTGCTGAAATCTTGCGTTGGGGGCAGCTGGCTGCAGTGTTTCCTCTGCAAAAGCTGGTGAACTACATAGTGCTTTGCCAGGTTATACAGCTTCTTGGCTCTGCACCGACTCACTACAGGCACTGTCGTGGCCAAAGAGGGACTGGGGAATGTTACACATGCTAGTGCACTGTGTGGCCAGGATGTTTGGCTTGTAATAGGCCATTTGACGCTCTGCATACGTGTACATGTAGAGGCCGAGCATTTGCGTTGTGGCTGGTCTCCTGCCTGTCACCTCCATGGCATGTGGAATGTGGCTGATCACTTGTATGCTGCCTCCATGTGGAATGTGATGCGGCTGATCACTTGTATGCAGCCTCCATGTGGAATATGATGTGGCTGATCACTTGTATGCTGCCTCCATGTGGAATGTGATGTGGCTGGTCTCCTGTATGTCCTGTCCATGTGGGATGTGTTGTGTGTGCAGGCATCAGACGAGGATATCTGGCGGCTGTCTCGGTACAGCTTCACCAACCTTGTGCTGCTCTGCTCACTGGTCAGCGCAAGGCAGGATATCAAAGTAACGGGCCTGAATGAAATGATGAAGGGACCGATCGACGCTCGCTCCAAGAAAGATTTCGTCCGATCCCAGGGACAAGTGAGAAACCGCAAGAGAGAGGACCGGTAAGCACCTAGGCAGTGTACAGCGTATTCAACAGGGAGTAGTAAAATAACAACAGGGAGTAGTAAAATAACAACAGGGAGTAGTAAAATACCTGATACTGTAAATCATATTATTTTAACGACCCGCAAAGTTAACGATTTTCTGATTTTCGAAGGTTAACGATTTGAAAAGTTAACGATTTTCTCAGACAGATGCAATAATACTAGGAATGCTCGTCAAGGACATTCATTATTGTCCGTCACAGTATACCTCGTAGCTCGATGTCAGGAGAATAATAATAATAATAATAATTTAAAACGAAGGTAAGTTATGGGTCGCAAATATCCACGCAAACACACATCCAGTCATAATAAGGCACTTGTCATAAGTATCCGAACGTTTTCGGTCCCTTCTCATCAAGGATTATACAGGGAATGGCTCAAGCTGGAAAGACTAAAACTTATATAGCGTAAAGATAATTAGATAACAACACTCGTGACAAGGTGGAAAATTATCAAGTTTAGCACGACACAAAACTCGAAGGAAAATAATAATAGTGACAACAACATAGTGAGCAAATTAAGTTACATTGTTACCACCTCAACGAGGAGTAACACCAAACAATTGTAGCGACAACACATTTTCTTTCTGTACGCAAAGTTCAGGATCTAACTTACGGATATACAAAGCTTCTAACACAGCCAAATGTAACGCACATCTACCACGTGACAATATTGAGAAAACATTATCACTGTACAACTCACGACAATTGGTATGGGCTGACAGATGTTGCTTGATTGACGAAGTGCGATTCTTAGCTCCATTGGGTGTTGTCTCCTCCAATGTCCCGTCATCTCGCCTCTTCGTGGCATCACCACTATCTGTCTCTTCGCGTTTCCGCGGCCTTCCACGTTTCTTGACACTAACCGTTGGGTGCGCGATACCCGGTGTCCTTTCCGTTACGTCTCCTCCATTGCGGATTTCTATTGAGCTTCTTACTCCAACTTGTCTGGTGTCCGAAATTGAGGTTAGTTTTCGCGATCTACCACGTTTTCGAATATTGACTGTTGTTGTCACTTCCGTTGTCGTTGTACGTTCGTCCTCATCAGTCCGTATTTTCACTTGGCTTCTCGTCACCCTTTCCGACGCCGACAGATCCTTTGTCAGTTTTGGTGGTTTACGTGTGGGTCTTTCACCATCTTTTATGCTGTTCTCAGCTGGCCCGTGTCCTACACACGCAGAGGAGGACGGGCATGCAGTCACATCTTCACGGGAAGAGGAAGATCCACCGATGGACTGGACATTTTGGAGGACGACCACGGCGAGGACGACAATCGCGCGCATCAAGCGGAACACAACTTAACGGCACATGTTGACGAATGCGTGCGCCCAGGTGCTGAAGGGTTCTACCTACATACCGATCTTCACATTGTCGGCATTGAAAGAAATAGATAAGGTTACTTTTACTAAGGGTAGGTAGAACATCCTTCTGCTGTCCAATGTGCTGTCCAGTCCATCGGACATGTGTAGGACACGGGCCAGCTGAGAACAGCATAAAAGATGGTGAAAGACCCACACGTAAACCACCGAAACTGACAAAGGATCTGTCGGCGTCGGAAAGGGTGACGAGAAGCCAAGTGAAAATACGGACTGATGAGGACGAACGTACAACGACAACGGAAGTGACAACAACAGTCAATATTCGAAAACGTGGTAGACCGCGAAAACTAACCTCAATATCGGACACCAGACAAGTTGGAGTAAGAAGCTCAATAGAAATCCGCAATGGAGGAGACGTAACGGAAAGGACACCGGGTATCGCGCACCCAATGGTTAGTGTCAAGAAACGTGGAAGGCCGCGGAAACGCGAAGAGACAGATAGTGGTGATGCCACGAAGAGGCGAGATGACGGGACATTGGAGGAGACAACACCCAATGGAGCTAAGAATCGCACTTCGTCAATCAAGCAACATCTGTCAGCCCGTACCAATTGTCGTGAGTTGTACAGTGATAATGTTTTCTCAATATTGTCACGTGGTAGATGTGCGTTACATTTGGCTGTGTTAGAAGCTTTGTATATCCGTAAGTTAGATCCTGAACTTTGCGTACAGAAAGAAAATGTGTTGTCGCTACAATTGTTTGGTGTTACTCCTCATCGAGGTGGTAACAATGTAACTTAATTTGCTCACTATGTTGTTGTCACTATTATTATTTTCCTTCGAGTTTTGTGTCGTGCTAAACTTGATAATTTTCCACCTTGTCACGAGTGTTGTTATCTAATTATCTTTACGCTATATAAGTTTTAGTCTTTCCAGCTTGAGCCATTCCCTGTATAATCCTTGATGAGAAGGGACCGAAAACGTTCGGATACTTATGACAAGTGCCTTATTATGACTGGATGTGTGTTTGCGTGGATATTTGCGACCCATAACTTACCTTCGTTTTAAAGTATTATCCGCCTCCGACCTCTTTTTAAAAAAAAAATAATAATAATAATAATAATAATAATAAAGAGGATTATACAGGGAATGGCTCAAGCTGGAAAGACTAATTATAGGTTAGTGCATGGCAGGGAGGGCCTTATGGCTTGTTAGTGCCCGACAGGTTAGCCTGAGGGCCGTAGGCCCGAGGGCTACCCTGAAGGGCACAAACAAGCCATAAGACCCTCCCTGCCATGCACTAACTATTTTAGAACGAGGTTACATGCATTATCTCACTTCCATCATGCTTGTGTACCAATATATTGGCTAGTTTGTGGTTTGTGTGCAGAGAGACTTGGTGTGGTATGAAAGAATATTTTCTTCTGGTAAGTTATGGTAACTCAGCACCACTTAGGACTACTAAAAGTAGAATAGAAGCAAAGGAAATGCTGGGCTCTTATTGCGAGCTTCATTCTTATTCATAGCTTGTGGAGCTATTTAGGGGATTTGAGAGCCCCTTGTCGATACCTCTAATGACTTCGATCTTCGGTTTTTATAGGTTTCCGCAAGCTGTTGACAAAGGAAATTCGTACAGATGAAAGAATACGGGAGGCAAAAACCGTACACACTTCTGAAATGCGTAGCTTTTAGTAGTACACCGTACATTTTATGCAGAGTTCATTATCTGCACCGTACTATAATGCATACAGGGAGTTGTACGCACCAGTTTAGAGTATATTCAGCGGGCTTTAAACTAATCCAAGGCCCTCGACGCGTCATCAAGAGTAGTAAAATAACGATTGAGCGGGCTTTAAACTCTGATAAGGCCCTTGGCGGGAATGTCGCTGATTGGTCGTTTCCTGGACAACGAGACAGACCTCGTTCTAAAACTTATATAGCGTAAAGATAATTAGATGACAACACTCGTGACAAGGTGGAAAATTATCAAGTTTAGCACGACACAAAACTCGAAGGAAAATAATAATAGTGACAACAACATAGTGAGCAAATTAAGTTACATTGTTACCACCTCGACGAGGAGTAACACCAAACAATTGTAGCGACAACACATTTTCTTTCTGTGCGCAAAGTTCAGGATCTAACTTACGGATATACAAAGCTTCTAACACAGCCAAAGTGTTGTTATCTAATTATCTTTACGCTATATAAGTTTTAGTCTTTCCAGCTTGAGCCATTCCCTGTATAATCCTTGATGAGAAGGGACCGAAAACGTTCGGATACTTATGACAAGTGCCTTATTATGACTGGATGTGTGTTTGCGTGGATATTTGCGACCCATAACTTACCTTCGTTTTAAAGTATTATCCGCCTCCGACCTCTTTTAAAAAATAATAAAGAGAATGAAATTTATCCAGCGTAGGAGCGTACAAATTCAAATTTTTCGATCTCCTGCCGCTTCGTCAAAATTCATCTGAGAGACGTCGGAGTTGTTCGAGCCGACTGCTGAGCGTCTCTGCTATCATCTAGATCTTTCGATTGTTGAATTCCGTTGAGAATTGACCGAGTTACGATCCGTTGAACACGCGCTGCAAGTCACTTCGCACAACTCCACAAAAAACTTATGGGATGTAATATTTAAAAACTTGGTGCTCTGTTTACCTGGTACACATTGTTCTCCATGCAACACTAACGTTATAGGCTAGCATAGTGCAGGTAGAATACATTATACTTCATGATCACCACATGGCAACAACATAGCACGCCACTTTTGATACAATAACAACAAAAAATCCCATGTTTTGCAAGAATATGCTAGTTTTCGCAAGAATATGCTAGTTTTCTGCAAAACCTGCTGATTATGCTAGTGCAATGCTAGTTTCCAGAAAGTGCTACTTCAAAGTAAATATGCTAGATATAATGCTAGCATTATCCGCCGGGGCCTACGCTGCATGCCATAATGTGAAATGATCGATTCCAATCGTGCAAGGCCCAAATCATACGACTTTTGCTAACGAATTTTAACATAACGACAAATCTTTGCTCGTTATCTCGTTAGATTTACTTGTTCGTTACATAATCATGATTTACAGTACTTTCTCTACTCCCTAGTATTGAACTCAGAATGCTGACCCTGACACCTAATGCCTGACGGCTTTTGTTTCTATGCCCTGGGCTTCACTCCTAATGCTGGTCATGCGGGATTCGTCGACGTGTGTGAACACAGGTGTATTGTATGTATTTCAATGTGTAGACTTGTATAGAAGCCTGCCTCATGTGGAAGCCTGCAAAATTTCCCCCAAAAAGTCATATAAGCCGCGGCCTTTATACACGACTTTACGGTATTTTGTGAACACTCTTTGTTGGTTGTCAGCCCGCAGTTGTTCCACTTGCGTTGGGTGCATGGCCTCAACCTTGCATGTCTCCTGGCAGCATGCCAAAAAACGATAGTCAGGATAGTGCATTTAATGCCATTAATTCATTGTTGTTCCTGTGTGTGTGTGTGTGTGTGTGTGTGTGTGTGTGTGTGTGTATGTGTGTGTGCATGTGTGTGTACGTGTGTATGTGTGCATTGTGACATACAGGCTGCTCAACTTGGTGGAGTCACTGCTGCCGCATCACTCGTTCTTGGCTCGCTTCACTCGTGTCTCTGGTCAGATTCCCGTCCACGGTGCTCTGCTGATCGATGAGAATCAGTGGCCAGTGAGCTGGAACGATGCGCCGCTGCAGCCCACTGCCGTCTCACCTACCAGCCTCGTCTCGTTCCACCACAAGGCCATTGCCATTGTGCTGCTGAACAGCTGTGACACGTTGGGCGATGCGCTAGCCACGCCGTGCGGCAGCGTCCTGCTCAAGATTGCCGCGCTGAAGGCGGCCGGCTGGTGGGTGATCACTCTGCCCATCGAAGGCCTTGACGTGGCACACGGCTCCAGCACCATCTTCCGCGTGCGAGAAGAGCTGACGCAGGCCGGTATGCAGCTACCTACACAGCAGAACTTCTCCTTACCTGCAAAGAGCCTGGACGAGAATGCTGCTGACAAGAAACCTGCAGCTAGTGGGGTCAGCAATCAGGAGCAGATGGTCGCGAATGAGGCCAGCATGGGTCAGGAACGTATAAAGATAGCGCCAGAAAGAACTAACGTCAGCCGTTTCAAGTAATTACAAGTAGTTGCGGCTGGTAAGTGGCAGCTCTATCGCTGCCGCTGTTGTTGTTGTTGTTGTTGTTGTTGTTGTTGTAGTTGTTGTAGTCGTCATCGTCGTTGCGCTAGAGGGTGCTGGCACACCCTAGCACGAAGACAGATAGAATAGCAGAATAGCAGTCTACTAGTACATGATGTTGACTGGCAGCGTGTGCAGGGACTACAGTTGTAGTTATCTGTACATGTGTAGACCTTTTCTAAGACTTGATCACTTCTCCCTGGAGGATGAAGTTACACTGATACATTAGCTGTACATCTCCAATCTAGCAATGGACAGCACAGTTCATGAATAACCAGCTCCATGCGATGAATTACAGGTCTACTCTCCATACCCAATGCTGTAGACAGCAAGCTGTTTCGGCCATAAAGGCATCATCAGTACAGCTACGAGCTTAATAGGCCGAGCTACCAGCCATGGTGCAAAGGAAGCACCACAGACATTAAGCTAGCTCATTGCTCTAGCGCCAGAGTGCTCAAACTACAAAAAGTAGCGGGCATTGTGCTCTCTCCATATAACGTAATCTCTGGGACCAAGCAAAAGTTATGTTATGTAGAAAACCGTGTGTAAAATACAAGATATGCTTAAAAATGAAGGGTATTACAAGGCGGATTCAACCCTGCAAACATGTACACACTGTACCACCATCTACATTACATGCAATCAATGCCACAGAATATTATGTACAATAAGACTAAACTGGCTAGCTACAGCTACAGTTGATCGTACCGCCACGTGAATCTACATTGTATCGAGAGTGTGCACGTCGGGGACGGCGCCATAGCGTGCATTATGTCGAGGTTTAGGTTATTTGGATAAGGTTGTATAGAACAAAATTTGTATGGGAGTGATTCTGTTTCGCGGCGGGATTTGATATTTTTACGTACTAGCGAGGTTTACGTACAAGTGAGAGTTGTTATATCGAGAGCAGACCTGTACTTAGTTCATAAGGATAGAGCCATAGAGAAAGGACAAAGGAACTACAAGTTACGCTATACTGTCCACTAACAGCACCAGTTACTAAACAATCAGTTCATGCGATAACATTGCACGACGCGACCGACGGTACTGACGTTCTACAACTAACTGGATAACAGCCCTAGCACACCTTGGATGCGCACTCCAACAGCCTTCCAACTTGGAAGGTTCTGAGTTATAGAGGTCAGTGTCGTGCAATGTTATCGCCTGAGCTGATTGTTTAGTAACTGGTGGTGTTAGTGGACAGTATAGCGTAACTTGTAGTTCCTTGGCCCTTTAAAGCTCTTTTGTATAAATTAAACCTTGGCTCTCCATCCGAGAGCCATATTCATTATAAGGCCAAATTCATTATCCTGAAAGTTGGCGGAGGGCATCATGTTGCACAGGTCAGCATCAAGGGGACATGTTCTAATGCTGGTGCGTGTACGTGTTTGAATTGCTTCTAGTTTGATGATGTTTGAAAGAGTTTAAGATGTGCTTATTTGTCTTGGTACAGCACATGGTATGCATGCTATTCTTACTTTGATGTGCACAGAGCTATTTGGGGTATCATAGTTAGACACTTTCGACAGGCGAGAGGGGTTTAGTGAGTTGTGAACGAGTGTCGACTCTGTATTCACAGCATGGCTAAATATATCTCCAGGTTCCGGGTGGGTGCCTGACGACTTGACCCTGGGGGCCATACAGGCAAGTGCTAGAGTGAGTCCAATCCAAGCTCAGTGTAGCTTGCTGACGCTGGGCTGAGCTGAGTTTAGGGCAGTCTGTTTGAATTGATTGTGGTGTTCTTTTTTCATCTATTAGACAGGTGGAGATGTGAATGAAATGTTGCAACATAAGTTAGCTACAACTATCAAAACTCATCGAGGAGTGCAGAAATTACTGAGAAATAGCTGCATGGCATGGTTGGTGTACGTTTTGTATTGTAGATAATAAGATCTTGGAGAGTTTATAGAAGTAGAAATTATATTCAAGTGGAGGGAAGAATTATTTAGAACACAAACAACAGTATGAATTGGCATTATGTACTAAAGTAACGTTAGCTAGCTAGTATCCTGTGCCAATGCTCATTGCCGTCACATTCGTCACATGACACACGTCACATGATACACGTCACATGATACACGTCACATGATACACGTGCATGTAATGGGTCATGCAGTATGGCCATGCAGTACAGCAGCATGGCCACCCTATCATCGCACACACACACACATGCACATGCTGGTCACACCGAGTGCAAGGCTGTGTGTACGTTGGCCAATGTCATCAACGTGTAGCGTGATCTACCCCATATCAAGCTTTAGTAAAAGTGCAGAACACGAATCAGAGACGGTTTGATAAACCACAATGCAACAGGGCCAGAATTTCTAGCCTAATACTTCTATATTTTCATCATCATCACCCTCATCATCGTTGTCATCACTGTCGTAGTCGTCACCGTCGTCATTTCCGTCTAGTCTACCTAGTCTAGCAAGGTCCTCCAGGTCCCAATCGAGCGGCGTCTGCGGCATGCTGAAAGCGGTCATGTCGTTGCAACACTCGTTTAGAATCGGCATGACTCTACCCTGGGCAGTGTTTGTTGTCGGGTCTGGGCAGTGCATCCGATGCTGTTCGTCCTCTGCAACAGTGCACACACAAACAGTTCACAAAATTCCCAACAAGTTGGTGTGAATATCTTGATAAGGTGATTTAACAAGAAATCAGGGAGCAGTTTTTCTTCTTTCCGTAAGTTTCCACTTGCATGTACTATAAAGCAAGATAAAGTTAAGCCTAATTCACACTTCATTACGTATATGGGAAACACATCACACCATGGTCACGTGGAGGGCCAAACAAGTAATGTTTAGCTCAAGTCAACTTTTTCACAATGCTTCCCGTACGCGACATGAAGTATGAGTAAGGCTGTAGAACGACAATGGCGGCGCAACTGTTCCCTGTGCTCTGACAGCAGTTGCCGCAATGCCAATGACAGCAATGTCAAAAGGCGCGTGAAACTGCTTGCGCCTGAATCATGACCTGCCTGAATTGCTGTGAAATCATCACCGGATACTGTTACAGGATCATGGCAGAGAGTGGTGACCCAAGACCTGAGACCTGCCTTGTGAGCCTAGGTAAATCAATGCTTAGCAAATCACGTAGAATGAGTTGCAGAACACAATAGCACCACTGCACGTACATGTATTGTATTGAATTTTGTGGACGGGGGAGAACTCACCAAACTCTACGCGAACCACGTTGGAGAGTGGCGACACGTTGCCAGTCTCATCCAGCGCCTTCATGGCAAAGTAGAAGACGTTGAGCTCCTTGGCCGGGGCACACACACTCACCGTCACCTGTACCTTGACCGGGACCATGTCGTTGGTCTTGGCAGTCGGGTACAACAGTGGATCCGGCGCAGTCATTACCAGCGGCGCCATGCTATAGTTGAAGGACATGTCGTCGTCCAGAGACTCAAACATACCGCTCCACCGCAGGTCGTAAATCATGGCTGCAGCAACCAAGGACACGCACACAGTGGGTACACAATTTACTCCTACACCTCATTTAAGTCCAAGAAAGTCTCCACATCAGCAGCTGGATATGTGTGCCGGTAAAACAGTGCAGTGGACCTAACAAGTACGTACTCAAGTTCTCAACATCGACTGTGGTGAAGTAGTTAGTGTCTTCTGCCTCAGAACCGAATGGTTGCAGGTGCAATCGATTATAGTTGGGACTCTTGCAAGGTTCACACATCTAGAACAACTGATAATTTGGCTTACATCATCTCCCTACTTTAACAAGCTCTTCATGCATCCTGGCTACACAGTTTGGTCATGCAGCAACACGCGCCACGCAGCATGTACAAGTTCAAGTGATTGGTAGCTTACCATCTCCCCTCTCCATGTCATCGCCAGTGGTACTGAACTCCAACGTCATTGTGTACGGGTAAACCGCAGAGTCGACACTGACCAGCTTCAGGTCATTGACCATGGCCGGCGGTACCATGTCCTTCTCCAGGATCTGCATCTTACCCAACTCAAAGCCAAACACGCTGAAGGCGCCGAGCGACAGGTGCCGCTCGAAGCAGCAGTGGTCCATGCCGGTTGCCATGGTGCGGTCGTCGTCCGGATAGTCCATGCTCATGCCGTCCATTCGCTGGTCGCTCTCCTCGCCGGCGTCGTCCATGCGCTTCGGCGCGTTGCGTACCATGGTGATGATCTCGTCGTCATGGTCTAAGCCGTCGTCGGAGATCGATCGCCGCTGGCATGTGGCCTTACAGTGTACGTTGTACTGTCCATCTCCCATGTACTGCGAGAACGTAGCCGAGTACACGCCGTCCATTTTCAAGTCGTCGTCACCTGTACATGTATGCAGTGGTGGTGGTGGATGGTGAATTGTTGGCGGGCACAAACCAGCAAACAGGAATAGTGAGCATAAGAGGTCAAGTTGCCGAAAGGCAGAGTCGCAACTATATGTACACGAATGGGCCACTTATGCCATACAGCTAACAGCACTCATGCCACTTGTAATTATACAGACAAGTGGAATTTGCCATAGCTACCTCCTCTTGTCGCTTTCGCACATGTTGGTTGTCCACACAGCAAGATACACGTTACACGGAAGTACATGTGCATGCTTTAGAAGGATACACGCTGAGCATGCACATTATGTGTACTACATATACTACCAGGACAGAAATACAGTAGACAGTAGGCTGGTTTGCTGCAACTTCTAAATTTCACAAAATGTGCAATCAACAAACAGCATTGTACTGCATGCACCAGAACTGTTGTCAACAATGCTTACCCATGCCATCATCGCGGAGCATGACCATCGCCGGCTCACTGTTGGGCCGCGTGACTTGGCACGTCACCAGGGCATCCAGCACTGGCATCATGCACTTGCTGACCTCCACCATCAGCAGCACCGGCTCTGGGTGCACGACGGACATACTACTCAGGTGACCCTCGGCCTTGATCGCACAGCGCTCCCGCCTCTCGTTCGTCCCCACGTTTGTCGTGAACGTAGCGGTGGTTTCCATCCGGTTGCGAATGCACAGGTTCCAGTAGCCGGTCTAACGAGGAGTCAAGCATGGGCAAAGCGGAACATCCAACGTATTTAGTCTGAGGTCAACGGACACCAGCAGTCACAGATCAGCTAGGCCAGTGACCAGCAGTCATGCACCACAGATCAGCTAGGCTAGTGACCAGCACGCAATCATACATGCAATTATCACGGGAACATCAGGACAGTGTGCCAACTTTTCACAATTACGGAGGATGCTTTGTTTTAAGCACGCAACAATTGGAGAGCGAAATATATGACCCATCAACTGCACAAGTTAGCAATGACAACTACACATACCTACACGTACCTACACAAACAGTTCAGGTACTTACAGAAGCATCCACCACGGTCATACTGCTCATCATGAGATTGTTATCAAGCTGATAGTTTGGCCCGTTGCTATGACGCAGGTGCATGGAGGACGGGCTGGTAACGTAGAACAGCTTGTTAGCCACGTGCTCCGTCGTCTGAGAGTCCCAGTTGACGGAGAACTGCGTGTCGACGCCGATGTCCGGGTCAATGCACACCTTGTGGCAGACACGCTGTCTGGCGGCGACGGTGGTCATCTGGAAGTGAGGACGGATCACCTTCGGCGTGGTGCAGTCAGCCATGGCTGCGTCGCTGGCAAGCTGAACAAAGAGAATCCAGGGATTAGAAAATTGTATAGAATACACATGTACTAGTATCCAACACCGGAAATGATTTCGGTGAACCAGCAGACATTTCAAAACATCGTATGTCTACTGAAAAGAATCGCAATAAAGAGAACATCGATGCGGGGATTGACCGCTGCAAACGGGACCAACATGGCCGCCCGGCATGGTCATGTGGTAAATGTGCAATAGCAGTCTACATTGTATTCGCCAACTCAGCGCCAATAAGTTAATCTGTCCCGTCATCTAGGAGACGACCCTGAATCAACTGGCGACATTCCCGGCAAGGGCCTTATCAGGACCTAACTAAAGCCCGCTCAGTCATAATTTTACCACTGTTTGATGACACATTCAGGGCCTTAATTAAACCCGTCGAATGTACTAAAACCTTACTCAGGGTTGATCACATTACTGATACTGCTTACCATATCTCCTTGGTTGCAGGCACTTCCCTCGGACAGCTGACTGAGCTGCAGCAGTGGACACTTGGGTGCATCGTCGTCGAACGTCAGTGCGTTCATCTGTATACCGTTCTGCTGCAGCATGAGCAGCATGGACCTGGTCAGCTTCTGCGGCGTCGTCTCACCGCAGTCGGAAACGACTGTGATCCGCTTCTGCTGGCACGTCGGCTCGGTTGTCAAGACTTGAGCAGCTCGCTGCAGGCCCTGAAAGAGGCTAGTCTTCTGCAGCAGAATTTGATTGTCCGACGGCAGGGATCGCTTCAGATGCTGCTTGTAGTTTCCATCTGCAGCTTGCAAGCCGGCCACAACCGTGGCCTGTTCGGCAAACGTGACCAAGCCCATGCGCAGGGACGACGTGGCACGGTCGATGACATTGGCCACGGCCTGGTTCACCTCCATCATTCGCCCTTTCATGCTTGCCGAGACATCAACAGCAACTACCTCGCATCCACCAAGACACTTGCGCACAAACTGCAAGCACAGAGAAAGAAGCGGAGACGTCTAGTGAGAATACACTGCCACAAGCTCTTGATGTGCAGGTACTCGACAGACCTCTGGGTGGAAGAAAATCGGTACTGCTGCAAAAATAACTGAAATTCCTTTCGAATACGCTGCCTCATGCACATTGGTCTCACCCCAGAGCTCTATAGGGTCTGTGGGTCCATGTCTACTCTATAGGGTCTGTGGGTCCATGTCTACTCTATAGGGTCTGTGGGTCCATGTCTACTCTATAGGGTACACGGTGAGCTACAATGACACCCATAGCCTGGACAAGGACACCCATAGCCTGGACAAGGACACCCATAGCCTGGACAAGGACACCCATAGCCTGGACAAGGACACCCATAGCCTGGACAAGGACACCCATAGCCTGGACAAGGACACCCATAGCCTGGACAAGGACACCCATAGCCTGGACAAGGACACCCATAGCCTGCACAAGGACACCCATAGCCTAGACAAGGACACCCATAGCCTGGACAAGGACACCCATAGCCTGCACAAGGACACCCATAGCCTAGACAAGGACACCCATAGCCTGGACAAGGACACCCATAGCCTGGACAAGGACACCCATAGCCTGGACAAGGACACCCATAGCCTGGACAAGGACACCCATAGCCTGGACAAGGACACCCATAGCCTGGACAAGGACACCCATAGCCTGGACAAGGACACCCATAGCCTGGACAAGGACACCCATAGCCTGGACAAGGACACCCATAGCCTGGACAAGGACACCCATAGCCTGGACAAGGACACCCATAGCCTGCACAAGGACACCCATAGCCTAGACAAGGACACCCATAGCCTGGACAAGGACACCCATAGCCTGCACAAGGACACCCATAGCCTAGACAAGGACACCCATAGCCTAGACAAGGACACCCATAGCCTGGACAAGGACACCCATAGCCTGGACAAGGACACCCATAGCCTGGACAAGGACACCCATAGCCTGGACAAGGACACCCATAGCCTGGACAAGGACACCCATAGCCTGGACAAGGACACCTATAGCCTGGACAAGGACACCCATAGCCTGGACAAGGACACCCATAGCCTGGACAAGGACACCCATAGCCTGGACAAGGACACCCATAGCCTGGACAAGGACACCCATAGCCTGGACAAGGACACCCATAGCCTGGACAAGGACACCCATAGCCTGGACAAGGACACCCATAGCCTGGACAAGGACACCCATAGCCTGGACAAGGACACCCATAGCCTGGACAAGGACACCCATAGCCTGGACAAGGACACCCATAGCCTGGACAAGGACACCCATAGCCTGGACAAGGACACCCATAGCCTAGACAAGGACACCCATAGCCTAGACAAGGACACCCATAGCCTGGACAAGGACACCCATAGCCTGGACAAGGACACCCATAGCCTGGACAAGGACACCCATAGCCTGGACAAGGACACCCATAGCCTGGACAAGGACACCTATAGCCTGGACAAGGACACCCATAGCCTGGACAAGGACACCCATAGCCTGGACAAGGACACCCATAGCCTGGACAAGGACACCCATAGCCTGGACAAGGACACCCATAGCCTGGACAAGGACACCCATAGCCTGGACAAGGACACCCATAGCCTGGACAAGGACACCCATAGCCTGGAGAAGGACACCCATAGCCTGCACAAGGACACCCATAGCCTGCACAAGGACACCCATAGCCTGCACAAGGACACCCATAGCCTGGACAAGGACACCCATAACCTGGACAAGGACACCCATAGCCTGGACAAGGACACCCATAGCCTGGACAAGGACACCCATAGCCTGGACAAGGACACCCATAGCCTGGACAAGGACACCCATAGCCTGGACAAGGACACCCATAGCCTGCACAAGGACACCCATAGCCTAGACAAGGACACCCATAGCCTGGACAAGGACACCCATAGCCTGGACAAGGACACCCATAGCCTGGACAAGGACACCCATAGCCTGGACAAGGACACCCATAGCCTGGACAAGGACACCCATAGCCTGGACAAGGACACCCATAGCCTGGACAAGGACACCCATAGCCTGGACAAGGACACCCATAGCCTGGACAAGGACACCCATAGCCTGGACAAGGACACCCATAGCCTGGACAAGGACACCCATAGCCTGGACAAGGACACCCATAGCCTGGACAAGGACACCCATAGCCTGCACAAGGACACCCATAGCCTGGACAAGGACACCCATAGCCTGGACAAGGACACCCATAGCCTGGACAAGGACACCCATAGCCTGGACAAGGACACCCATAGCCTGGACAAGGACACCCATAGCCTGGACAAGGACACCCATAGCCTGGACAAGGACACCCATAACTAGTTAGCCGCTGACCTACCCTGAATGTGGGTTTAGGTACGTTCTGCCAGTGTAGTCGCATCGGCCGGTTTCGGTTGCAGCAGAAGTCCTGGCTCTTCTCGAGCACCTCCCAGACGCTCTGCCGGTTGCAGCGCTGGTTGTGCGAGTTGGCCGCCAGCCTGTTGTGCTGCACGCTACGCCTGGGATCGGATTTCTCGCAGAAGTGGACGATCTGCATGCAGGAAGAAAATATCACCAACAACACAGTACAACTATAGTAAGAGGAAACCCACTGGTCACCGGTACAAGCTCGTGTTGTCAACTTCAAGAAGTCTATAGTACGAGTCTTCCAGCAACTCAATCACACGGAGTCCAGCTTACCCGTGTACTCCACCAGTAGTCAAGTGAACAGCAACTTGTTCCATGGCGGTAAAGTCCGATGATCACTTCTCACTGAAGTGCAGTGCTGCTAAATGAAATCCAATCGAGCGAGTCGAGTATGCGCCGGGCGCTATGCAGCGCTAGACGGCCTGCCCGGACACTGGGATGTGAACCGGCGCAGAGCACAAACTAAAACTCGTGTTCGGATTTCATTGAGCAGCACTGTACTTCATAATACTGAATAGAAATTAGCGGTAAACCCGGCCATTGCAAACCCGGCCATTGCGTGAAATCAGCCGCACCATCACTCCTCATTGCTGTCTCGGCCGACCCATTCCACTTGAACATCACCACCATAGCGAGGACAATTCCATTGAGGTATTTGATGTTGCAGACCCTCCAGACAGCTGTTTTTCTCCAACAGAGCTTGTCAACGGCGATAGTAGATAATGCACGATTCAGGTGCATGAGTTATGTTATATGACAGGCAAAGCTGGCAGAATTGCGCCTTTCTACATAGAATTGCGGCATGCTTAGGAAACTGAGGCGTGAGGCGATATAATATACAGACAGTTCTAACAGGGGTGATACTGCAAGCGCGCATTGCTGGCACATGCATGATGGGCATGCAGCGCTAGTTTCCATTCACCTGGTCTTGTCACGTCGCTAAGCCTGACCAGTACAACCACCAGCCTCTCAATATTCGTATGTACGACGTGTGGCAACTAAGACTAAGTAGCACTGTAGTCTGTATCTCCTCAGTACTGTCAGTACCGTCAGTACCGTCTGTTGATTGCTATTTCCGCACCAGTTCTAGCACTGCATGCCATGTTCCAGCAGTGCGGGCTTGCAGTGTCACCTCTGTTAGAACTGTCAGTTAACATCTAACACCAAAGCTGCCTAAGGCATGCCACACTTCTATGTAGAACGTGCAACTGCGCCAGTTTTGCCCCATATAACGTCACAATGAATCATCCATCATCTACTACCTCCATTGAAAAACTCGGTTGGAGCAAAACAGCTCTCTGGAGGGTCTGCCATATCAGTATACCGACAGAGTTGTCCTCGCTATGGGGATTGGTAGTGACGTTCAGGTGGAATGAAGCGTTGCGAGAGACCAATGGGGAGTGGTGGTGCAGCTGACGTGTTACAGGTCGGGAGGGGGCTCAGGTTGCCCGCCGGTGTATAATGAGTTTTAATGACCAATGTTGGCATATTTAATTTTGCAGACAGCCGCTAGGTCGCATGAGTTGAGCTCAGGGTGACTGGTCGAACTGATTACACAGAGGCAGGGGAGGCAGGTAACTTACTTTGACAGTGGCCAGAAAGAGTGCTTGAATGACAAATACAATAATATAGTTTTAAAACAGCCTTCCTCCCACGCTCTATTTCCTTTCTTACCTGGTCTATTTCCTTTCTTACCTGGTCTATTTCCTTTCTTACCTGGTCTATTTCCTTTCTTACCTGGTCTATTTCCTTTCTTACCTGGTCTATTTCCTTTCTTACCTGGTCTATTTCCTTTCTTACCTGGTCTATTTCCTTTCTTACCTGGTCTATTTCCTTTCTTACCTGGTCACGGAATTGATGCCACATGAATGATGCCTGAGCATCGTGTGTTTCAAAGCCGCTGTACCGACCGGAGAAGCGACTGATCTTTGGTTCCACCTTCACCGAGCAAGCGGATGGCTTTCCGTCCGCACCGTAGCCATACACAGATTGGTAGTACTCGTCACCGACGCCATAGCGCAAGTGAGCAAACTCGTGCACGATCATCTTCTCTGCCGGGCTGGCCTGGTGCTGTGTGTGCGCCATAACACAGTGAACATACACAGCAAACAGTCATTCAGGACTCAGTGGATCATTAACTATAGCACAGCACGCCACCGGAGAGGAAAGATAAGTAAAAGGCTACTAAAGCACAAATGAAATACTTCGAAGTACCAGTATAGGAATGCGCAAACTAAAGAAGATCTAGAAGTATGGCATAGAAGCTATTCAAACGACGTCAGTGTATGCTATGTATGATTTGGCAAGCCTGTGCTTGCACATACATGATGTCATTCAATACAAAGTGCTTACGGATAATGACCCTGCGGCCCGCATTAGCTGCATTATCCTATACTGGCTATAGGCCAAGCGATTACATCATTCAATGTGTTCTGTATGGAGTGACACCACAAGCACTAGCTTGTCACCCCATACAAAGCACACGATGATGTCATTTGCATACCCTATTTACTGTAGAAAATATTGGTTCAGGATTACAAGTACGGTCTTGATGGTAGTTAATTAAATGTACTCACGCTTGCAGCGGCTATTCTCGAGGCAGTTAGATGCATGAGCATTCCCTCCTCTCCGCACCGTCCCGGCACAACATACGCACCGTGAAGTTCTCGTCCTCGGCTGTCCACTCGCGGCTGCCTGATCTTGATCTTCGCCCGTTCGTACGTCTCGCATTGCTTGGCGCATTCAAAGCTGGGATCTCCGCGCCACGTGTCGGGCACGACGACGGTAATGTCACCTACATACGCACGCTGCTTGGTTGCCCGGTACAACCATTGAGATGCCAGCGTGAACTTTTCCACAATGGCCTCCTTCAAGTCACGATAGTCATGGCGATCGCCGCGTGACCGCGTGCGCAGGACGTCGTCATTGATTCCCACCATCCACGAGAACCGTCCATTATTCAGTTGAATAGAACAGCTTGCATGCACACCACTGTGGCTGCATAATGCCACACTGAGCAGCACGACCACCGCCGCTATTCTCTGCATGTAGTAGGTGGCACGCATTTTTGGAAAATGCTTGTGCACTGCAGCGCACACCTTCTCTGCCCGCGCAGTTGCACAGCGCCTGCGCTTTACAGCGACTCACGACACACTCAAACACACGAACTCTTCCCTCAAAGCAACAAACTTTACTTGTCCGAAATGAATCTCCTCTGGAAGCCGGCTCAGCTCTCTTGCGAAATATTTCCGCAACGAATCGGCTTCAATTGTTGCTGTGTATGTATGTAGCCAGCAATGCAGATTCGACTCCGCTATTGTCCGCCAAATTGGTACAGATGAGAAGTTTTCACCGCAGCAATTTGTAGAAGTCCGAGAACGAGGAAACTTGTAGCGTTCGTGATGAGCCGAGCAAGGAATTACTGCAGAACACCAAGCGAACCTGTGCATTTGAAGACAATTGAACTACTAGTACTACTAGGCTGATCGTGAACGAACATGCCGCTGACTGTTGGCATGATGCAGCAGGCTAGCTACGTGCTTTCCTTGATGGGGCCTCAGGCAGTGACAGGGAGAGAGAGAGAGAGAGAGCTACGTGAACCATGCGAACCCTACGAACAGAGAGAGAGATGCCGTCGTAGCCAGAACTCAACAGAACAGAGCAGCTAGCTGTCAAGTGTCATCCGCGATCCGTGTCAGTGTGTCAAGGGACGATGAAGCCGCGAGTGTGGATTGTGGACAGATGAGTGATTGTGTCGCCAGGCAAATGCCACGGCACGCATGCAGGACTCTATTCCTACAATCATAATCATTAGGCGTGAATGCCTACGTGCAGCGCGTATGAAGAGGCATCGATAATTTTCAATGACATTATCATGATTTTGTCCTGACACAAACGAGAGGATTCACACCTCTCGCCCAGCACTTCCTTCGAGTCCTAAACATCGCTTTGACCAGAACGCCCTCATTTTCGGGAATGAAAGGCCCGTAGCGGTGGCCATGAAGAGGCTATTCATTTCTGGCGCCTGGCCCGGAAGGAAAGCCCTTGAAGGCGCTGTGACCTGCGCCACGGGCACTTGTGGCCCTGCATCACTGTCATCAGACCTTTCATTTTCACCTGGGTTCCGTGCCATTCTGGTAGCAGGCGCTAGGTGCTGACTGCTGACTGGGTACTCCGGCCGGGTGGTGGCAGGTCAGTCACAAAGCTAAACTGGAGAGCCTGTACTGGCTGTAGATCTACATGTATACAGTACATTCATTAGTCATTTTTACATACTCATACTCATAGTCATACGGATAGTCCGATTGCCAGTATTCGGGTGGAATGCATGTAAATAGTTCAAACAAATAAACATCAGTACTTGTACATCTCGTGAGGGGACATGTTTTATAACAAGTCCCCTCATGAGAGATAACAATGTTACTATGATGCTTCTGGCACAAGGTTGCACTGTATTTATACTCCCCAGGGGCGTCGGACACCGGTACAGTCACTACGGTATTGACCGTACCACTTTTTGCCCCAAGTACCCTGTAAAATCAATAAAATGCACTGATCTGGGCTCTAAATTTCCAAAAATGTCTTCTCAGCAACCCCTCCCCCACGAGTAAATTGTACTTCAAATGGCTGACCGTACCACACTAAAATACCTTCCGACGCCCCTGCTCCCATTCCCAATAATTCATTGCTGCGACAGTGCTTTGCTGTAGCATATCACTGCGTAGCAAGTTGTGTTGTGTACGGTGTTGTTATAAGTAAGTAGTTAGTTGTACTGTGACAGTTATCATGGTTCTATACATGATGATTGTACAGTATCATGTAGAATCTACCGCAGTTGCAGGCCACAGCTTCTACAATCATGTAGGCTAGAATTATTATTAGCTACAGCTGTACTACTACCCAGGATGAAGAACATGCCATGCCAATATTAGTATTACAGTTACATGATGCCTTGCAGCAGATATCTAGTACCTCAATTAGGTGCCCCCTTACTCACCCCGCCCTTCATCAGTAAGCACCTCTCACCCCCCCCCCCCACCCACCCGGGGGGGGGGGGGGGGATCCGGCTTGAACCCCACCATACAGGTTTCTGGGCCGTTTAGTTGTGATTTGTCAGATTTGTTTACAGTGAAACATGAAAGTGCAAAACTCAGAACTCACTGACGTGTAGGAGCTGGAGAGAGTCTTTACTAAAACAAGAGTCATAACATTGTACTATTGATAAACAGTGTCGTGCCAGACGCCAAAGCACGGGAAACAGTTGATCCTGCTGTGAAGCCTGGGGCCATCCGCCTGGACTGATATCCAAGCAAATGTGACAATATAGCTGAAGTGAAGGCAGGCAACTTGGTAAGAAAATCTTCATTCAAGTTATGAGTTCCTGACTAAAGTGTTGAAGTAGGCAATTGAAAACCCTGTGTCACCAGAGTTATTCGGAGAACAATGGCACAATAGCACTGATACAGTCATGATCGTTACACTTACAGTGCTGTGTCAGTCTTGGTATGTCAGTGACTCTGCACCCATACACACTCAGTGTGTATGGCCTATGGGTGCAGAGTCATGCACTGGATGCCTCAGGCAGTCAAAATCCGAAGTGATAGGTCACCAGTACAGCTACAGCTACACAAGCTTACAGCATCATGCAGTTCAGCACTCAGTCAGTCAGTGACTGTTGACATGTCCCTGGCACATCCCATGGCCCTGCACTCTGCTGTTTCTGATTCCAGTAACGAAGTGCAGTCACTGTGCAGAGATATGTGAAATCTCAGGACAAAATCGACATGATTGTTATTGTATCTGGGGGCAGCTGGTCTCACAAGTAATGTTACTCCGTGACCGGATCAAACCAGTGTATTTTCGGACTACTGTCGCCAGACTGCATTATCAGCCGGGTTACTTTGAGGTAGTTTATTAAAAAGGCAGTGGTTCGCTGCGGGTGAAAAGGCACAATTACAGACTGGTACATAAATACTGAAAGACAAGGGCACCTTTAAAGCTTTGGAAACTAGTACATGTATGAATTTTTATTCCGCAGTGCCAGTATGATACCCGGACACGCATGGAAAGGCATGCATCATCTCTGCGTTGTCGAAGAAAGTCGCTGCACTAGAGAGAAAGAGAGTCTGCTTAAAAAGAATAGGTACAGCTCCTTTGCTGCTGCCATGGTTCATACCGTCAAGCAAAGGCCGTATCATCCACCGGTTTTGATCCGCATGTTCTCAGTCATATGGGCCCCTATTCTCCCCGCACCGTTGGTCACACAGGAATGCTCCGGGCTGCACACCGGCTATCCCGAGATATCAGTGAAAAACTTTTAAAATCAACCAATGTCACTTGTTTGGCTCATTTCAAAGACACCCTGCATGCAGCAACCCAATCAGCAAGGACTATTAACGTTATGATACCAAACTGTGCAGCTCACTGGTGAATTAGAGAAGCCGAGCATTGTGAATTTGAGCTTACCAAATCCTACATTGAAAGCATTGAACTGCCCTTAGACTCTTCGGAGGCACATCTGAGCATACACACGCACACCCACACCCCCCCCCCCCCCCCACACACACACACACTGGGCAGGCACATTCTGATATTTGCACAAACTAAAAGGGGGGGGGGGGAGGGGGGTAGTTCAGATAATTGCCATTAGATATCTGCTGCCATGGTGCATGCATACAAATACAGTGCAGGCAGGCAAGATAACACGGTCGCCAGGCCAGGTCTCTGGAGACGTTGTGTGTCTGTGTGCGTGGTGAGTGTTTGCATGTGTGCACAATGATGATCAAGATCATTTGCAGCCAGCAAAGTCTCTTGATTGCAAAGCAGGGCCTGCAGGCATGCCCTTTCACCAGAGTACAGTGGCAGGCAATTTGTCACCTGCATGGTGCACGTGTGCACGTGTCAAATCAAGCCAGACAACTCGAGTCTATCTAGGCTATGCAGCACTGCTATCTTGTTGATTGTGACAAGGTGCACCTGTCAGAGGATAGTCATGTACTTGACACTGTAGCAGATAATGATGTGCACGGAGGCGACGCTGTCAATCAATGACTGTTATGGTCAATAATTATTACTCCATGTGCGTGCAGCACCCAGTGGCTACAGTACATGCCAAGGATATTACGTACACAACATCAACACCAGTCAATGATGTGCAGCACAAACTCCACTTACGGATGCGGACCGAATAGCGATATTAGCATCCAGGAAACGGATCCGCATGCCCACACACAGGTCACAGCAATTGTTTGCAGTGGCAGTGTATAAGCCGGTTGGGATTGCAATCCGCCCACAGCATGGGCACCTGCTCACAGTGCAATACATCAGACCTCGGTGGAATGGCTTACAAGTCACAATGCTTGCACTCTCCAAGTACAGCCGCAGGCGCACCCCAAACCCACTCACTACACACAGCTATTCCTCAAAGGCAATTGAAGGAAAATCTGAGAATGACGTTTTCATAGCAAACCAGTTACAATGAGCACGGAAATAGCTAACAGTTGGGAAAGGGAAACCCCCAAGGATACAATTAGTCAATTACTGTGGTAAAGCTGATAATGGGCACAGCCCAATGGCAGGGAGCTATCTACAATGTACATGATATCGATCAGGGAACAACCCGTGCAAGCACGCACCCTGATAAAGATGAATTTGTAACTCAAGTTGAAATATAACTCCATCAAGTCCGAGAAGGTACTTTCATCAATCCAGCAAGTACGGTTCCATCAGTTGTTCAGTGTGACGGTTCCATCAGATGTTCAGTGTGACGGTACCATCAGATGTTCAGTGTGACGGTACCATCAGATGTTCAGTGTGACGGTTCCATCAGATGTTCAGTGTGACGGTTCCATCAGATGTTCAGTGTGACGGTTCCATCAGATGTTCAGTGTGACGGTTCCATCAGATGTTCAGTGTGACGGTTCCATCAGATGTTCAGTGTGACGGTTCCATCAGATGTTCAGTGTGACGGTACCATCGAGCTGCTTGCGGTACGGCTCAAGACAAGGCCGTACTTCTTCGCTCAGGAAGCGTTCCACCTGTACGAAGTGGCAAGATGAGAACACACAAAGCAATGATTGCCAATGCATGGGTCTAAAACCTTGGCAGGCCACGTGGTGCAAGCACGGGCTGAACCACACGGGCACTGTCACTGTGTGTTGGACAGTGGGTTCAGGGAATTGTGCCGGAACACCGAAGGCATGTGCATGTTGTTGATAGCGATGCAGCTACGAGAACGTGCCTCTATGTACTGCCACATGTGCTGCATGTGCTGTTGCTGGTTTCATCTACTTCTGACCACTATCACCACAGTCATACGAAATTAACAATGCATTGGCAACTGGCCACACTCCCATACAGGTGAAGAGAGGGGTACTATCATACAGGTAAAGAGAGGGATACTCTCATACAGGTAAACAGAGGGGTACTCTCATACAGGTGAAGAGAGGGATACTCTCATACAGGTAAAGAGAGGGGTACTCTCATACAGGTAAAGAGAGGGATACTCTCATACAGGTAAAGAGAGAGGTGCTCACACACAGGTAAAGAGAGGGGATCAATTCAAAAACTTATAAAAAAAGGCTGCA